AACTGATTGCCTGACCCTTCTTTGATGGACGGCCTGGCTTCTTGCGGGTTGGCTATATGGATTTATCAGAGAAAGATTCAAGGATCAATGATATAAACCATACCTGTTGAGGAGGACCAGGTTTCTTAGCTTTAATGTTGTTGTCAGAAAGGAAGTCGTCAGAATCGTTATCCTGATAGTGTATTTTCTAGTGGAAATGAGTTAGATCTATGATGTATCAAGACGGGAATCTACTTCTAACCTTCTTAGAACGTCTAGAGCTCTTAGCATCATCTTGATTACTGGCTTTGATCTTAGGTGGACTGGCATCTTCAGACATTGATGTGGAAAGCTATGTTATTGGTTAATGTAGATCTAAGACAAAAGATATCAAATTATCACACTTACTGCTCTCTTCTTTGGGTTCTTCTTAGTTCTACCCATATCGAAGGCCAGAGATGGTGGTGGTAGAGGATCAAGGTAGCACAAGATCACAGCTGTGTGCAGTTGATCAGAGACATCCCAATTAGGAAATTGAAAAAAGCAGGGTTGGATCAGTACTTTTTATGAGAATAATAAGGGTTGGATCAGTACTTTTTATGAGGATAATGGGGGTTGGATCAGTACTTTCTCTTAGAGAATAATGGGGGTTGGATCAGTACTTTCTCTTAGAAAATAATAGGGGTTGGATCAGTACTTTCTCTTAGAGAATAATGGGGGTTGGATCAGTACTTTCTCTTAGAGAATAATGGGGGTTGGATCAGTACTTTCTTTTAGAAAATAATGGGGGTTGGATCAGTACTTTCTTTTAGAGGATAATGAGGGTTGGGTCAGTACTTTTCTAGCAGAATAATGAGGGTTGGATCAGTACATATTCTTAATCATAATGGGGGTTGATCCAGTACTTTGTTACACTCTGAAATAAGGGTTGGATCACAAGTTGAAAAAAGGTTGTATCAGTACTTTTAAAATGCTAGAATTGAACTTGAAAAGCAGGGTTGCTTCAGTACATCAAGAACCTGGGTTGGATTTGTAGTTTGGTATAGGGTTGGATCAGTACTTCATATTTAGTTACATCAGTAGTTCAATTTCTGGGTTGATTCAGTAGTTACAAAAGCCGGGTTGATTCAAAGACTGCAGGGGGTAGAAACATATTTTGGATCGGGATTAGGTATTTATTATGATCCTTCATTCTTTCTTCAGACTTTGGCTATCCTTCGATTAATAATTCATACATCGGACTTATAAATTAGTTTCCGTCGAATCAGACCCACAAAAAAGGGATGTAATTATAGCTCGTATAAATCTGCGGTTGAATACAGCGATGATAAATAATATTACGCCTGAAAAGTGATCCTTGACCTCTTCTCAGCATTCGGAAGTGCGAACTCGATTGGTTCGAATTCATGGTTATCCACTTCACCATTATGTCCACCAACTTCGTTATTCAGGGATCGCAGATGGAGCAATGCGCGGCTAGGGAGGATCGTGTGGAGCGAGCGCAGCATACTGCAGCCGGGGACAGATGTGGGGATTTAGGGCGCGCGTTCGGGGTGATAGAATATGGGGCGTACGCTACTGCAAGGAAACGATAGGGAATGGCGATCTATAACACGAGGTGAGCTTCACCTAGTGAGAGAAGAAGGACCAAAAGAGACTCATACCGAATTGTTATGATTTAGTATGATATTGACCGTAGAGGCCGCTGAAAGAGCGAATTTGGTCAAGATAACGTGGTAATCCTTCCAGAGACCAGGACGAACCGAAGAGATAGAAGTAGTAAATTATCCCTACGAAGGCGTGGTGAGTTCTGCATGACAACGGAGTATCTAAACTACTCGTACCTTCCCCATAAACGATCTTGAACAGTGCTGTGCGTCCGCTCCTATGGTCTATGCCAATAAAAGTGAGGTGAATAATGATGTCGAAGGCGATAGAACCCTTGAATCCACGCACAGGCTTTCAGTGCGGCGATGGCCATAAGCGAGAGCATCACTGTCAATCACCTGTCAGAAACGGGACGACCGGGAAAGCACCAGAGTTGGCGAACGAGGGCTTACCCGTGTCCCATATCAAGAAGAACTCGAAACTTATCGATTTATCAGCAGAGGCCACCACGCATCCCAAGAAAGGTGGTCGTAGGTAAATATCTGAGCGAGATCAACTAGGTTAGACTGCCTTGCATAGAAGGACATTCCGGTTCAGAAAAAACGTACATTTGATCGACTTCATAAATATGGCGAGCAACGTGATTGCTGGCACCCAAGACCCAGCGAAGAGAGCGGGTAGGAGGAAGCTCATGAACGTTCTGCGGTTCCAAACTGCCCAGACGCGGAAGCACAGGATGGCTGATGGAGGGGGCCACGGGCACATTCAGAAACTGGAGCGAATATTGAGAATGAGGGATACTCACCCTCTGAGGCGACAACTCCCGCAATCGACAGGAATTTCCAAGCGTAATTAACGCGTGTACACCTCGTCTCGCTAACATTTTCCCCGAAACTCACTATACGCGACACGGGGTGGGAGAGAGGTTGAAGAATCATTAGCACCCGGGATTGCACAGCACTCACTGTACATGCCCAGCACCATAATGTCGATGAACGGTATGTACCTCTGAAAGAGGAAAAGGACCTTCACGATCGTCCACCTGGAGGACCAAATGTGGTCCACCTCTAGCCCCAGGGTGAGGAAATAGTCCCATAGGAATATAATCGAGGCGGCGACTGTATGAGCGATGAGTAGAAGGGTGTGGGTTTGAATAAGCATCAGATGGACAGAAAGAGAACCCGGGAAAAGGACGCACGATCTACGCGCTGAAAAATGGTGGTGACGCGCAGCTAGATCAGTAATACGAGACAGTGAAGACGAGACGGAAAGGATGGACCTTGATAACAGTCGAAACCTTCAGATTTTCCACGAGAATGGCGGGGTCCATGGCTAAACTTCGACCTAGCGAATTATTAGACGAAGGTCAAAGGAGGATCCGAGACGGCACTGGAAGTCTCTTCAAATAGAACTCCCAGCTCAATTTGATTGACGATTAGTACTATTAAGAGTTTGAAAGCATCAACACAGCTTCTAGTTTCATCCCATCGCTTGAGAGAAAATGGAAGATGGAAGACAAATAACTCGCAGTGGTATTGATTGTGAAGATGATGACGACCTCACCCCTCTCTGATCCGGCGAAGTTGATCAGATCAGGCTGATATCAGACCCATGCTCCAGCTGTGAGAACCATACGAATGAGTTCGACGGAAACCAACAACGTCGACGACTGCCAAGCGGGCACCACGGGCGTCTTCCACCTTCCCTTCACATGTACGCTCTTCGGATGCATTCTGGTCCACGTTATATCGTTGATCCAGGCATCAGACGTTCCATTACGGCCCCGATGAAGGGAAAGCAGGCATACCAAACTCCTTTGGAGCTGTCGGGACGGAATTCACCTGTCGTCAACACCCGCTTTGAAAGGGAAATTCTTCCGGATCGAGCTCAGCCCAAGGTAGAAATAACGCGGGATCCACGGGTGAAAGATACAGGAGCATCCACTCACCAAGACTTGAAAACAGCCCCAGCGCTCTGAGTAGGGAAGCACAGCGGAGAGCCACCCAGACGAACGCTTATGAAGTGGTCCAAGATGGGCCGTGTCTTCAAGACCCATCTTCCTTTGTCTCCAATGGGTCTAGTGAGAATGATTGTTCGACGTGAAGGTACGAAGAACAAGAAACCGAAGCACCGAGGGAAACGAGAGACGGGCAGGACACGAGAAGATAGTTGACGACACGATAAGTACCCTGGCCGGAGCTGGTAGGGCCCCCTTGGACGTTGAAGCGGTCAAAAGCGGCCTCGGTATTGAGGTGAATCGTCGTCTAAACCTTTGGATTGTTTGGCGTGTGGCAAAAGAATCATTCCTGATATGAAATATACATATCATCTCGTCGAGCAGGTAATTTGAACAGCTGGAGTCGCACCTAGGTCTCGTCATTCTGCCTTCATTCGATGCAGGAAAAGCCGTTCCTCGCGCGGTGGTCGGGCTATATCTCTTCCTTCACGTTGGCTCCATGCTGTGAATTATGGTGCTTCAAGGTGGGTTCAAGGTGGGTTTAAAAAGGTCTGTAGCGCTGCTCGACAACTGAAACAATAGTCTTAGTGTTAGAACCTGTGATGGCGGTTCAAACGCACCTCAGGAATACCTCCCCTCGACTCCTCCGCCCGATTGTCGAGGCTGAAGCAAGACTAAGCATATTGTAGCCCACAAAAAAGGGATACAAAATCATCGATCCATCATGTGTGGATGTGAGCAGATGTGAGCGTGCGTATCAACCTGTCGACTTGTGATCCAAGCATAGACAAACAAGTGATGCGAGTTACTTTTTTTCAGCTTTTTCTTGTCGTTCTCAGCTTCTCTCAAGACTCACACTGAGTACCAACCACTTTCCTTACGAGCCTTCTGGTCTGAGGGGCACCTCCAGAACCGGTGAATCATATCCGTTCTTCAAGTATCCTGCCACTTACGTTGCGAAGTTTGTCAAAAGGCCCTCCTGGTGGTTGGTTTATGTTCCTTCTGTCTAAATGCTCAGTAATATGTTGGAATCTAAGGTCTTTGAATTCGCAAGCAAGAAGGAAGGAACCTCACCCACCAAGTATCAACTGTATCATGCCGCGAGGAGGAAATCCTGACTCTATGCGAAAGTAGGTCAGTATACCACCTTTCTTTCCTTATCTGCTAATTCAATGCACAAGACTGCCGGCCATAGAGAATTATCGGACCGCCATAACTGACTACTGTGCGCGGATCGGTCGGATCGGTCAGATTTCTCATTGTTGACTGCGACAGTGTGCCAAGACAAGGACTGTCATTTACCGGACAGGTTTGTGTACTTAAGTTCTTCCCTTTCGTAAACGTGAGGTCAAGACTCGGTCCGACAGACGTTATGACGAAGACGTACCTCCGAGTCCTGGGCGGTTCATTTCGGTCGTGCGCTTCATACGTTGGCTGCATTGCTTGCGACGACCAATAGATGACAGGTGCGTGCACTGCAGTCCCAGAAGTACTTATTCCGCTGTCGCGGTCTGGGCCAAGGGTGTGAAAAGCCAACACTCCGGAGCGGTGCCCAGGATCGAAGTACCCCTTTTCCTGTAGCGACACGAACAGTATGAGTCGCGTTTTATGCCTTCTCCGCGCTCGATTTCTTCATGTCGCTTTTCTGTATAGTTTCTCAGGACAAGCACATCAGAAGAACATTGGTTCTGGTGAAACTCATTGCTATTACCCATTACGTTGTAGATGGGTTTCTTTCTGGCCCCAGAAACGTTTAGACATCCCTCCCCCTTCAAAGATATCGGACCGCATCCGAACCTATGCAGAAATCTTTTTCAATGCGTACTGCCGCCATATACCTGTCAAGGCGATGTCAAGCCCACCCACGTGGACGGTCCGAAATACCGAGTAAGAATCTCCAGAGTCCATTAGTCCATTACGGTTCATTATATTTAGGAATTTATAACAGATGCCAGTGTCGATCCATTCTGCCTCAGTTTTTCCTTAACCAGCGAAGCACCGTCAATATGCATTGGAATACTCATGATAACTGGACTCAGCCTCTCTCGCGTTCTTTTCCCGCTCCTCACCGATCGCCTTGCCTATCCGCCACATCATACCTGCCGCCAGTTTACCCCCACCGTCCTCCAATACCCTTCTACCCCCTTCCCACAATTCGAAAAGCGCCGCCGGTCCCAATGTACCCGAAATCATATTTCTGGGCGTCACCACCTTGGGCCGTCCCGCATGTTCAGCAGCTATCGTCTGTCACGCAATCTTCGGAGCGAGCAGCTTTCAGTGCTCAGCCTGCCCCTGCGATGTTCAATGCGAACGATGTCTTAATCACTGGAGGCCAGTTCAATCAATTAACGTTGTTGGCACCCGTCGTTCCGGTGAGTTTTCGAGGACTGGTGTCGCCGAGGCCATCCTCTGATTCTCACGAACCGTTGTTTCCACTTCTAGGATTTGATATACTCCAGGATTTTGTGTCTCTCGCAGCCTTTCACGACTCAGCTGCACGCTTTGATGCGCCTAAATGCCACCCCAACACCCGCGTCGCAATTCTCGAGAAGATAACCTACTGGGCTCTCCACGTCCGTGAAGTCGATGCCTTCGTCCTATGGCTTTACGGACCCGCTGGCTCAGGGAAGTCTGCAATTGGCCAAACTATTGCGGAGATCTTCGCCGCGTGGGGGCGGATACTCGCAAGCTTCTTTTTTTTCAGAGCAGACCCTCAAAGGAACGACGGCAAGCGCCTTGTTGCCACGTTGGCTTACCAGATCGCCACCATAATTCCCCCGTTCCGCCCGCTACTCGAACAAGCCGTCGAACTCCATCCTCATATATTCCAGTGTGCTATTGGAGTGCAGCTCACGAAGCTCATAGTGGAGTCCCTCCAACATCTCACAAGGCAAGGCATCTTGTCGGCGTCGCTCATGCCTAGGCTCATCATCATCGACGGACTCGACGAATGCGAAGACCCTTCCATGCAACGACAAATCATCGAAGCGATTGCCAGCCTCCGAGGGACGACAGATCTTCCCTTGAAGATACTCGTCGGAAGTAGGGCGGAGTCACAAATCATCTCCATTTTCAATTCAGATATTCTGTCCCGATCTCCCCGCATCGTCCTGGACGATACATATACTCCTGACCACGACATCAACATATTCCTCAATGACAAATTCGATGAAATACGGAGAACACATCGCTTCAAGGCATATATTCCTGAACATTGGCCTGGCGATGATGTCATCCACCAACTGGTACTCAAATCGTCAGGTCAATTCATTTATGCAAATGTCATCTTTCGCTTTGTGAATTCCCCCCGCCATCTTCCCCCCGAACGCTTGGAAATCGCCTGCGGCTTACACCCTTCTTATGGCGAGCTCCCCTTCGCCGAACTCGATGAGCTATATCGCCAAATTTTCTCATTAGTCGAGAATGTAGACGGCGTGCTGCAGGTTTTGGGTATTCTTAATGCCCTCCAGACAATCCACTATAGACAATCGCAAGCGCGAGCCGTGGAGGAAGTGCTTGGTCTTCGTATTGGGCGCGTGGACGTTTTGTTGGCTGACCTGGCCTTGGTCGCTGCTTGTGACGCTGACGGCAATATTACGATCTTTCACAAGACCCTCTTTGACTTCTTATTCGACGCTGGACGTGCAGGACTTTATTTCGTTGATTCGACCCGAGGCCATATTGATGTTGCATGCTGGATGCTTCAATTATGGGGAAACCCGACAGGACACTTTTCTCAGCTGTCGGTCGGGTCACTCATCAGGTGTTGTACCAAGGCGCGGCTCACGAAGAAGCTTCGTACGCAGCTGTTGTCAATACGAGATTCGGGGATGCAATGGTCGACCAGTGATATATCTGCTCACGAATTACCGCCGTCTTATCGCTTCCTTGTTTGCCTTGAAGAGTTGGTGAGTTCCTTCATAGCGTTGTGTTTCCCTTGACACATTTAAATCCACCAGACTTCCGTTTCTCCTGAATGGGGAGAGATCCAACACCATTTCAGAAGATTGTATGATGAACGGCTATCGGATATCGTGGCCACGAAAGGGTGGCTTCCACTTGTCCTGCATGGATTGGCCCGAGTCCCTACTATCACGCGGTTCCTCGCAGTCATATTTGACGCCCTTCCACACCCATCTCACTGTCAGCTGGAGGAGTATCGCTTCCGTGGTGGAGATCCCGTAACTCTGCAATTCAGACTGTTCCTTTTAGAGTTTCTCCAGGACCCCCTACGTTGCCCCAGTCGCTCAAATTTAACCGACATCCAGCTCTCCGAGGCGGCTTTTAGTCTCCTGTGGTACATCAAGGAGGAGCATGCTAAACATACACCTGCTTTGCTCGAACAAGTCTCTTTATGGGCAAAACACTCAAAGAAAGCGCCATGGCTATCCCGTCGAGTCTACGGCAAGCACTTCAAACGATTTGTGAAACGCTTCCTGCTCATGTCGCCCCCAAAATCAAAGGTATATTATTGCAAGCACTATGACGACCATGTTGCAAAAATTCCGGCTACGGCCCTTCACAAGTATTACCGTCTCGCCCTCCAAATTCTACCCGAGCTACTTCCAAACGCCTCGAAGTCGCAGAAGATCATTTCACGATCTGATATCCGCTCATTCTTCAATTACAACTTCCTGCTTTCTTCGAATCTTGTAGCGCGAACACAACGCGCACTCAAGGCTTATGTGGCACGCGTTGATCGTTGGGAAGGCGAGAATGGTACAGACGCACCGTTGGACTTCCTCGACATAATATCGCAGGATCATGCATCATACCGGTACAGCTGGGACATGACTCGGCCACGCAGAACCTTGCCCGTCCCTGTTCGCATACGGGCCAGTGTACCACTGCGACGTTCTGGCGGAGCACAACGCACGATGGGATTTGCTTAGATGATGGCGGGATCCTCTTCTAGTTATATAGTCCTCCCTCTCCTCCTCTCCTATTAGATTTGCACAACATTGTTCGCTTCCAGCCACGAGTTCATTTTGACGCCAGTGTGAGCGAGGAAAAACTCGCGGGGGAAATCCTGTTGCATCATGGCTCCGATTAGCAGCTACAGAGGACATGGTTCATTATACGAATATAGGATACAACAGATTGACGGTCAGTCGTACAGCGATACAGAGTATCTGTTTGAGTTCGAGAGCATTGCGACAGCAGATATAAATCAGGATAACGGGTTCAAAGACCCATCGTCATTAGAAAATAAATTGTAGATTCGTGTCCTGCACGAAAAAGGGCAAATTGTCGCGATCAGGATTAATGGACAAGCCTTAGTAACTGGACTTACGATGTGGTGCGAACTCCCCAACTGGGGCTTCTGGCTGTATCGTGGGTGCAGGATAAGCCGCACAGAACGGAGGAGTTGCTGATAGGTTTGCTCTGGTCGGTCCGCTGCGAAGTTTCCGTCAGCATTTATTGCGAAGAACGAAGACGAAGACCACTAACTCAACGCCTTAATAAACGCATGGCTCATCGCGCCTACAGCCACGCCACCTGCGAACGTGTCTGCGCTCGTCTGGCCATCTTTACATCCCGACCACGAGATCTAAACGAGATAATATGGGCGGTTAAGGGGCAACAGGCCACAAGGAAGAGAAAGACATACCACATCCGCAGGTGTCGCCTTGCTCCTCTGTGCACGACGGCTAACATGGCTACCTTTAAGTCGCCCATGGGACGAATACTAGGGAGCCAAAGTTCTGACCAACTCTATCGCAAAATCCAAAAGGAACTTACAATGTAAGGCAAGTCGAGGACAGTTCCCGAATGGCACGCATCGAAGAGACCCTGCGAGAGGACCTGGTTTAATCATTGATAAAGAAACACCAGAAAAAACGCACGGTAAGCCGGCAGCCCGGAGGTAGGGGTTTGACCATGATATCGTGCATTTCCTGGATGCAAAACATTCTGATGAGTCGTAGATTCAGGAGACCCGGAATATTTACTCACGTCATCGACAATGTGACCCTTCTTCTTGAAGTCCACAGGGAAAATAACTAAAAGAGCGCCTTTAACAGAATATTCAATACTGACCATGTTAAGAAGGCCCACCTTCATCCCAACCGTCCACTTCGTCTCCGTCCTCGTCGGGAACCTGGCCTCCGTGACCCGAATCTGGAGCGAGGCATTCTAAGTCAGAGAGCTGAAAACGGGAAGATATATAACTAGTCGGGGAGCAAAACCAAAGATCGCGGATAGTGTTTGAAGGGTCGGCATGTCACGGCTAATGTCTCCGCCACAACCCTTCGACGACGTTCGAAAGGACGCGAGAGAACATGCATTGAAATCCTTCAAGGTGGAAGCAACTTCATAGAACGGAACGCCGGCCTCTCGAGCAATGGCTGGGCACGGAGAACGTCGAAGAACATCAGTTAGGTACGTCACTGATGTATCCTACCAAAAGAATCAGGCTCAAGCCCCAAGGCTAGCTCAAGAGACACTAGAAGATCACTTCTTGTCTTCCATCTCACCCCAGACGACGAACGAGGCTGCTCAACCAGACTTTGGGATTTAGAGCCAAGGTAGCGCTCATAAACCTTCGAAGGCCCTCCAAGCTTTGACTCAAGAGTTGCTTAGGCCCCCACGAAAGGATAGGGCCAACATCAGCAGGAGATCCGACCGGGAAAATGGAAGCCAACGCGCGCAGTTGGCATCTAGTCCACGCGGAGTCGTTCTTGGACGTTTACCACTCAGCTCTGATGCCACCCGGGAGGGCGAACCCCACAGTCGTTGGGGAGGAAACCGCTGCCCAACTCGCCGAAAACCCTCCACCAAAAACATCGGAAAAAAAGGAAGAGCACTCACAATGGAAAAACAATGAATCATCCTTACATGCACCCCTCACCAACCACTTCATCGCTTGGATGATGTTACTCCTGGTCGGCCAGTTCCTCGAGCTCGTCTTTGGGTCATCCGTCATGAGCAGGATCTCGGAGGGGTGGTATTTTCCGTGTTCTAGAGGGGTAAGTTCAGACGAGAGCTGAAGGCAGCGAAAGAGAGACCCACTTATGAGGAAATCACGGACGTGCTTCGCATCGTTGATGCACCCGCGCAGCTCGTTCGCTTGGCCGTGGTAGTTTATACCGATCTATAGAAAAGGGCGTCTGTGAGATACGGCATAAAAGTCCTCCAGATAGGCACACGAATGAAAATAGCCCATGGTACAACAAAGTCTGAGAGAAAACGTACACATAGAGCCCTCTTTCTCCCCGTACACCTCGAATACTGGAACTGCGGGTTCAGCGGCTCCATCGGCTGGTTGGCTGACGGCGGTGGCATCATCGGAGTAGCCATCTGCGGCATCGCCGGCGAGCTGCTCGAGTGGTGGTGCTTCGACGGACGGGGCTTATGCAGGACCATCGCCTGCGAATGCGCTGGGCGCTGGGCCTGTGGGTAAGAATGTGATTGCTGGACCACTGGCGGTCGTGGGAGAGGTCCAGCGGCGGTGGCGGTAAAGTGGACATGTGGGGACGGCTGTGGCCCCGATCCAGAACCGTAGGACGTGGAGGGTGTAATGGGGGAGGGTGATGGGGTGGGCATCGGGACTTGCACTTGAGCTTGGCCCGAGGAATGCTTGCGATGCCGGTGTCGGTGCTGGTGGTGCGAAGAATGGTGGATTACGTGGATGACATGCTGCGTCTGCACCATCGTCGTATTGCACTCGTTCGTGTTCGAGGTGGGAAGAGGCGGGAAAGGCACGGCGCGAGGATAGTCATAGGAGTGTGTCACGGTGTACTGCGCCGGTGGATGCGAGGAGTGCGCTGGGGGGTAGGACGAACTTAGAGGGGCAGAGTACCCGTACGGGCTTGGAGGTGGGTTGTACGAAGGACTGCTCTGCGGTTGGCTGTAATCGAACTTGTCAGTTCTACAGCTGAGAGTGGACTAGATGATGCGTACGCTATTGGAAATCTGAATGTTCGAATCCACTGGAGTTAGAAAACGAAGAAAATTATAAGAAACATGGAACCTACCCAGGACTAGGCATCCCTATCGCTCGTGGCTGAGGTGATCGACTTCGACTCAGCTTCCTGCTTCGCGGTTGAGCATCCTGACCGAAATCCCACATCATCTTGTTCCTTTAAACGATAGATCGCGCCCGTAGACAGGTATTTAGAGGATATCTGGCGCGAGATGGTGGAAGTAAGTGAGAGAGAGACAAGGGAACGAACGTAAGCCGAACGAGCGAGATGACTTGTAGATGACAAGCATGAGAGCCGCCCTCGTCGGGCCGGCTCTTGGCTGCCAGCGCGTGACGCCGCCAAGTATGGGTCGCCCGCAGCCATCCTCCGAGCGGCCGGGTATAAGAGAATGGACACACCATCGCCTTCCAATTGAAGACGTGCTAAGAGTGAGCATTTTCTGAGCTTCATAGATGAAACACGTAGTGGTCGTTTCGAGTCCTGACCGTAAGACTCAACTTGAGTCAGAAATAACTTCGAAATCGGAAGGATGAAAATGATATGGGAGCCATTGGTACGTATATGTGCAGTTGTGAGCAGCAGGACGTATTAGAAGAAAGGTAATTACGCACCTGATGTGGAATTCACACTAATAACACACCAAAGGCCCGATGGCGGGGCAAATCACGCAAGCATGGAGGGACAGCGAACGGAAAAATTCCCAACCCAGGTTTGGTAAAACAGTTAAGGGGAAAGAAGCATAAGAGAAATGGCCTTGAACTCACGATCAAATCCGGGAGGTTCGTACCTCAGCGTAAGCCTGTAACGACTACAGAGTTTGGGTGCTCTGTCCTGTCGGCGGTTGTGCTAGTCACACTTTAGGTTTTCAGGGAGGAATTGCATATGCCTGCTGATGTTGGAGTACAAACGTAAGCATTGTATGAAAGGAGAGAGGAGAAAAGAAGAGACTTGCTCACGGAGTTGCGAAGGTCTTAGCGGCTTCACGTTTTCGGTGGACGACAATCGCACGGGGTCATTACACCATCACACAACCCTGTATGGAATCGAAGGTTACCCAATGAGAAGAGAATACTGGGGCGCATATACGCTTGAAAATCCGAAATGCATGCATATATGCGCTTAACGAAGGCCGAAATGAGGCAGAAGAAACAGAAAACGCATGACGCCCAATATTTCTCGCCTCGCGGACGCCGTAGGCTCCTTGCGACAGTTTACACGTCCAGCTGATGGAAAGAAGATGTTGCAATGCATACATAAAGCAAAATTTCAGGTGCTTCGAGGTTTTGCCGCAATGCGAATGCGGGAAACTCGGATAGTTCGAAGATTTGTGTGTTTCGGATTTTCAGCGTGCTAGCTCACCGAGGACATCGTAGAAGCCAGGGAGGCCTGTTGTCTCTCCGGGACGTAGAAAAATGATTGTAGAAGTGGCAGAGGAAGAAAAGAACGAGAGGTTGATTAAGGAAGCTGCCGAAAGTTCTCCCACGCTCGGACGCTGAAATTGGTTGTCGTTAAATATTTTTGCCCCGATGTAGGAGAAATAGAGCAATAATGGCACAAATCATAACGTGCCTGAGATAGACGAAGAAGGGTGCCAACGTCGTCTGTCCCGGAGCAGTGTTCCTGGCTTCAAATCGTGTTCGAATGATTGCAAGTCTCAGAACTGCTGAGGCGAAACCATCACTGTACTCTTACATAAAAATTGTTCTCCAGGCGCTCAATGATTATCGTAGGTGGTAGTGAGAATCCTGAGAGCTGGGGCTAATAGATTCTTCACACCCTCCAAGACTAAGTTCGCGTATAACATTCAGACGAGTGCTATGACTTGAACCGTATTCCTTCATACTACTACACCTTTTGGGCCGTTCTTGACCCATAGCTTTTCAGACGTCATGCTTGAAAATGCTGCCATTAACGCACAAAAACAATGCATAATCGATACCGCGTCCTCTTTAATGTCCGATGGACCGGGATTTCAGCCATAGCCTCGCCCGTTCTCACTCACCCTTTCAGTCATACGAGAAGGGACACGGGTGTAGACCATACTAACCGTCCCCTTTCCACACTTCCAGCACGTCCACCCTCAAGCGGATCCTGATTCATCAGCCGACCGTTATACTTCGCCTGGAGCTCTGAGAAAAGTCCTGGTCGGTGGCTGGAGGATCTTACAGGACATCAACGGTGCTTGCACTCATCTTCTGGTAGAACTAAGGAAGCTGTCATAATAATCATGACTGTTAGAGCATCATAGGAAATCGTACTGAATCTGCCCTGTCCGGGTACCGAAGGCCTAGGAGGCTTGGAAGTCCGAGACTCGGATTTCTGAAGCACCTTTGGCATGCGCTCGGCGCTAAGCCCCAGCGCTTAAGGGCGCCTATCAATGCATCGACCGAAATGTTTCGAGATTGCTTGATACCAAAAATAACAAGATTCGGAACACTCAGCGTGCATTCAAGACGTCTATCGCAATTGAAGTGAGGAAGCCACTGGGAAGATAGATAGAAATTGAGGTGGCGAAGTCGCAGTTGTTTTCGGGGCTTCTGGTAAATTTCGCCGACACAGCTCTGCTGTGTCGAAATCATTATCGGGTCGCAGCTGATCTACCTTCGAATCGTCGAGATTTCGAGCATAGCAAGCCAAATTGTCTTACTCCCGCGACGCCGCCTACGTTGTGTTGTCATCAGCCATAGAACCTTCGAAGAACCCACGAAAGACGTGCCTCAGCAACCAAGGAACCCTCACCTCGGAGAACCCTTGCCAGCCCACAGCCCCGCTACAACTGACTTGGGTTCTCTTCTTCAGACTGAATCGTCGTCAAGTAGATCCCCGATGAGCCCTGAAATAAGTCTTTAAGCGTCCTCCTTACAATCCGTCTCCACCTGGAGGTTCGGGGGCCAGAGGGTTCAGAATCGAGGAGGTCTTCTACGTATGCGCAATTCTTGGTAACCAAGCAAGGGTGAACCCGATAAGCCCTTTGAAGAAGCATTTAAGTACTCGCTTATAACCAGGGCTGGATGATAACCGGTCTTGAGTTTTGGTTCGTCGTAGTAGAGAAGCCGACGAGGCAGTGTTCGCGGAAAGGGGGTTCAGAAGACGCAAAAGGAGGCGTGCACTTCCTTCGCCCGCACATCCTCGTTTCTTTGTAGGGGATGAGATAACGCGGGGGTGGGGTTCCGACGTCCGTTAAATTGCTCATATCCCTCGCGTACGATCCCGCGTTCCAACATCATCATCGACGATCATGGATCTCCCGTCGCGCCATTCGCTCCGCAAGCCGGTGCTGCAAGAAGAGAAATTTGATAGCAGGAGAACGAAAATGACATGGTGTTGTACAGTGTGTGGGTGGAGTGCTAGAGTATGCTGTCTAGTGTCGTGAGCGTAACAATGTGAACGCCGACGTGAAGAGATGTAGAGAAATGTAGTCCATCAAAATTCCACCGAAAGAAGAAACGTCCATGAAAGACGACCCGATGAGGAGGGAGGCGGGAAATGGATGGTCCGTTGAGGCAAAATAGAAAACAGTGGACAGCAAGAAAGAGATAGAGCAGACCGCTCCAGGCCAGCTGGAACGGTGTTAATCGTGGTAGATGGTTGAGGTGGTGGTAGATTTTGGCAAAGAAAGGGGGTTAAGTCGTGGATGCTGTGGTGGCGGTGTGGCGCACATTCTCAGTCGTCGATGATGGCGAGGGAGCGTTTGTTCTACGGCAGTCTCGTGCCGCATCCGATTCAGAGATTCCGCCAGGAAGGACGATTCAAGAGGCGCCTGAAGACCTGATTAGTACGACCCTCGCAAAGAATAGGAGAAAAGACGCACCCCTCACGCCGCCTCCATCTCCAACGCCGCCGTCTTCATCTTCGGCGACGGATTGAACTTGTACACGTACTCAAATTGCGCACCCGTCTCCGGGCTGTGCGGATACTTCTTGCACTTCTCCACCGTCTTCCACTCGCGCCCAATAATAGACAGCGCCTCGCCACCGTCTCGTGCCACTTGACTTTCCACCAGCCAACACCCGATCACCATCCCCGTCCGCCCAATCCCTCCACGACAATGAACGGCGCTAATCCTCCCCCGGTCGTGGTTATCCCTCAACGTATCCAGGACCCGGTACATGTGTTCGAGGGACTCGGGAAGGCAGCGGTCGCGGATCGGGAAGCGGTGGTACTCGATCTCGGTGGGGTCGATTCCGAGGAGCTCGCACCGGACGGAAAGGATGGAGGAGTAGGGCACAAGCTCGCCGCACTCCGTCAGGTCGATAAAGGTGCGCACGCCCGCACGGAGCAGCGCGTCGATTTTGGGCTTGTGCGGGTTCTTGGGCGTCCATGGATACTCGCATGCCAGCAGCAGCGGCGTCGCCCAGTACGAGTTTGGGATGGGCCGCGCGCAGACGGCGGTCAGCGGTCGTGGGACAGAGAGTGGCGAGAGGGCTTGCAGTGCCCTATGAGAAGCTTGCAGGTCCTTTGTTTTCGATTTGGAGGGCGAACGGGTCCGGGAGGTTGACATATTCGTGTAAGAAGACCTGGGGGGAATGTATTGGAAGAATTGATACGACAGGGTAGTAGCTGTTGTCAATAACGCGTCTGGGAAACTGGGGAGTTCGGTGGCGAGACGACCAGCATGTTAGGTTTTATATACCAAGGGCGTCGGATCAGATTCAGGGTCGGAAAACGCACACGACCAGGCGGAATCCACGTGTTCCCAAATAAGGCTGTTCTCCTTTTTCTACGAAGGTCCGGAACGCACTGGACTCAAGTCAACCCGAAAATAAACAGAAGTTCGCTCGCTTGGCCTAGAAACTCCAGAATCAGAGCAGATATTGCGCAGACCGAGCATCGAAACGTCGAATATTCATCGTCGGCTTTTTTGGGTGTGGGGTGCGATGGCATGCCGCACGCCATTTCATTGCACGAATCTAAACGGAGATACTTTCGCTAAAGCTCACGATCGGAGAATTTCGGGGTCCAACCGGAAGCCGCGCGTTTGCAGTACGTTATTTTCGTGTCTGGAGTCTTGACATCCTCAATATAATTGCTGCTTGGAAGCTTGCAAATAAGGCTTGTCTCTCCGAGAAAGAATAGTTCTTTCTCCTCCAAATGGCTGTACGGAAAGCCATCTTCACGATCTTCATGGTGTCCTCGGTGTCAATAATGTCGTGGTAGTTCTTGGCGATCGAGATAAACCGCGAAGCTCAAAGCGTTGTGCTCCTCACCGCCACAATCCTCGCTTCTCTCGACGACCACCACCAACGCCCCCTTATCGCGAGGCGAACGAACCCCAGCCCTATCACGATTCCTCCGCTTTGCCAGGAGGGTAAGTGGTGGAGCATGACGTTTCTTCGACACCTCACATTGGCACTTACTACCATTCATTCAAGTTGCCACTCACACCATTGTCAACGCAATAACCCGGACGCTCATATATTTCTCTGCGGACCCCACTCGTGAACTGCGGCGAAGCGGGCGCCTAACGTCTATGTATCGTTTGGTAGTTCATTTAGAGTACTTACTGAAGTGTGCCCGCGCCCGCAAATTAATTTCCGAAAGAGGACTGCCGGAACACGCGGGCCGTTTAACTCACTTGGCACGCGTGTTTGCGTGCCCGTAGGTAATGGGGATCTGAGAAACAACCTATCTGAGAATCCTCGCGAACGATTGCTTCCTACGAGACGGTGGAGTCCGTTCTCCTTGGACCTACCCTCTGTTTTTGGCGCCCACTCGCTCTACCCGGTGTTCCGACAGAGGATCTGCACGGTGATATCTCTCCTCCGAGCATTTTGCCACCTTTCAATTCTTCCAAGTAAGGAGCGCCTTATCGATGTGTACCTCGTCGTTGGAGAGTAGGTCGTCCGTCTGCGACATTTAACATTAAATTAAATTGTGACGATTGAACGTGCCACCCCCAGAACATGCGGAGCAATGAACACACGCAGACTGTACGAGAAGAGGTTAGGATAACACGCTAAATATGTGTGTATGCAGGCTTTACATAATTAAAGGATGACGTTCGACGAGGATATAATAGAATGAAAGTCAAATGGGGCTTTTGGCGCACGGGCTGGGGCAGGCTGGGGTATGGTCCGAGTGTGCTTATCTATACCACACGTACGTGCGTGGTACGCGGTCGTTCCCTTACTCTCTCCCCGGCGCCGAGGAGATTCTCGAGGCTCACCTGCGAGCCATATTCTCTATTCGTCGGATCTGAGTGAGGCGCTCTTACTTTAATAGCTTCCTGCGTGCAAAGTGACATACCTCATATCGTCATTTCCGCAATACTTAATTCAAGATGGCCATCATCTATTCGAAGACACCTCGATAAGCCCATATTTCTGAAAACCTTGGAAAGCCTTCAAGTAAGGGCAGCTTCTCGGGCTGATACATGGTGAGTTCTTTCGTCTGCCTGCCGAACGTCGACCTCCGATGAGTGCCAATTCAGAGCGAAATTTCACCAGAAATTCAAATGAAATTGTGAATAGTCCGTCAATTTCATTGATGTCAAGGATAAATGACCAGGCAAGAGGAGAGAGGGAATACGAGTCGAGGAGCAGGAGAACCCCCGGCAACTAACACAAAAATCTGAGGTTACTTAGATCAACGGATAGTGATGGTCTGCAAATTCGACGACCTCACGACGAATACGCAGGGATGCCCGAGGACGATGGAGGGAGAGAAACGCGAGAGCCAGAGACGGGAAGGGAAGAGGTGGATGGCGAGTATATATCTTCTAGGAGACAAAACTGGCAGGAAAAAAAAGCTTAATATGGGCATCGTTGGGGCAGGCGCCCAATTTTGGCAGGCCGATTCCTAAGTTTGGAAGAGATGGTCAGCGTCAACTTATCGAAGACAGAGGGCAAGCATCACCTCATCCTTACAGTATATTATGATAAATTAAATCCATAGTTAATGACGCCCGTGAGGCGAGGAATAGATGAGTTGCCGCTGGACTTCGTTTCAGTAGCGCCTGAACTGTCCCATTCTTTGCATCTGGCACGATTGCAATTCAAGATATCCTTCACATCGTGAATGCAAAATTGACGAGACATGGTCCGGTCACGGTTCGTTTAATCCTGGTCAGGTTCTCGGATCATCGGCCCGAATCCACTATGCTATTCCTTTCGTTCATTTCCACGATTAGCCGAGAGCACCTCTCCTTTCACTCCTCTCCTATCTCCTCTCGCGTTCATATATCAAGCTGCGACACCCACTTTCTACCGGCCAAATATGGGAGAAGTATTCACCCCAACGAAAAGCTGGTGGAAACATGCCGTCGTTTACCAGATCTACCCCATCTCGTTCTTGGACTCGAACGGAGATGGCTTCGGGGACCTCAACGGGATCCACGCGAAGCTCGACTACCTGAAAGACCTCGGCGTGGACGTGATTTGGCTGTCTCCGATATATCGATCTCCGTTAGCTGATATGGGGTATGATATGTGAGTGAGTTGTTCAAATGATGAGAAAAGAGAGGGTAGGATGAGCTACGTGATAATTTTCGTCGCAGTTCGGATTATCAGGATATCGACCCACGATACGGAACCTTGGATGATTGGGATAACTTTCTGAGAGGCGTGCATGACCGAGGAATGAAGCTGATGTGAGTATCTTGCGCCTCGAGGCTCCTGCATTGTGATCGATTATTCCTTCAGGATGGACCTAGTGATTAATCACACCTCTGACGAGGTACGTTCCTCCATTTACGTCTCCAGACGAGCCACTTGAGGATTTGCTGCCTTTATTTGTTCATTGATAGCACGAGTGGTTCCTTCAATCGCGTTCTTCGAAGTCCAATCCGAAACGAGACTGGTACATCTGGCGTCCTCCGCGGTACGACGAAACTGGGTACCGACAACCGCCGAACAACTGGCGGTCGGTATTCCAAGGTATCCATTTCTACCGAGCATCCTCAAGCTTGCCCGCCGACCCCCGCTGCCCCGTTCGAAAACTCTAATAATATTACTGACTGCCTTTCGTAGGCTCGGCCTGGGAATGGGACGAAAATACCCAAGAATATTACCTCCATTTGTACGTCGCGAAACAGCCCGACCTCAATTGGGAGAACCCGGAGGTGCGCGAGGCAGCCTGGGAGGTGATGCGCTTTTGGATCGGGAGAGGGTGTGATGGGTTTCGGGTGGGCCATTTCTCGTTCTCGCTGCCCGTTCAATTGGGATGTGGAAATGTTCAGAGCTGACGAAGTACGGCGACAGATGGACGTGATAAACCTACTATCCAAAGTCGATGGACTGCCTGACGCACCTATCACGGTTCCGGGGGAGAATCTGCAGCCTGCAAGCATGTGCTTCGCGAATGGGTGAGTGTCAAAGAAGTCGCAGGACATTCTCTTCTTAAGAGATTATTATTCGCAAAATAGGCCTAGAATCCACGAGTTTGTCCAGGAGATGCACACGGAAATTCTCTCCAGTACGTTCATAATGTATACTCCGAGTCGTTCTCCTTAGCTCGATCCCTCAATGTCCACGTCCAGAACATGACCTCATAACGGTCGGCGAAACCCCCTTTACCCATTCCGCCTCCGAGCTTGCAGCATATGTCCTACCAGCGAACAACGAGCTCAACATGGTCTTCCACTTCGAGATCATGGATCTCGACTCGCCGAAAGAAGGACAGGACTTTTCACCTTTGGTACTCAGGGAGTGGTCGCTGCAGGAGTTGAAGGACATTGTCGGAAGATGGCAGAAGTATAAGAGGGATGAAGGGTTTTGGAATGCGTAAGGACTATCCTAGTCATGTTCTGAGACGGCTGATGCAAGGATCCGATAGGATATTTATTGAGAACCACGACCATTCCCGCGCCGTCTCACGCTTCGGGAACGACTCGGACAAGTGGCGGGCCCTCTCTGCCAAGACGATCGCCATCCTGCAGGTAACGCAGAGTGGGACCCAGTTCGTGTACCAGGGACAGGAGCTCGGCCTCAAGAACTTCCCAAGGAGCTGGGGTATCGAGGAGTACAAGGACATTGCATCGTTGAATTATTGGAATCGAATTTTAGATGGGAGGAAAAAGGAGAGTGGGAGTGAGGAGATTGATATGAGCGATGTGCTCGATGGGTTTCAGAAGAAGGCTCGGGACCATGCGAGGGTGCCAATGCAGGTGCGTTTTCATGCGACTTCGATCGGGCATTGACTGAAGAATCATTGATCCTCCAATAGTGGGATAAGACAAAAAACGCAGGATTCTCAACTGGCGATCCATGGATGAGGGTCAACGAGGATTATGGACAGTGGAATGCTGAAGCCCAAATCGTAGATCCAAATAGCGTTCACGCATTTTATAAGAAGGCGATACGCGTCAGGAAGGAATATGACGTTCTGGTAAGTTCTTTTAATATGACTTTCGTTTGTCGTTAGTTTAACGACCCTATCAGATCTATGGAGATTTCGAAGACATTTCTGGGGCTCACCCAACGGTTCTCGCCTATATTCGTCGACTTGCCGGCTCTCTCGCCCTCGTTATTCTCAACTTCAAGGAGAACGAGGTCGACTTCGAACTTAAAACGCCGCTCAGCAGCGAATTGACGCCCGTGCTGTCCAATTACGACTCTGACCTGTTGATTGCGTCTGAAACTCAGGACGTGCATCTTCGCGGCTTCGAAGGACGTCTGTACATTGGCCTGGAGCGGATTTAGCGAGGGACGCATGTCTGTAACTCTGCAGAAAGAGTAAACTACAAAACACACAAGAACTGAAATAATGTCCAGTCTCAGGATGCGCCCTCAGGCCTCAGGCCTCATCTTTAAGCTTTAATCCTCATCCCCCTCATCTCCTGTGTCCCCCTGACTCCTCGTCTTCGCCCTCACCGCCATTTGATTGACACTTTCATCCCCTCCGTTCTCTTTCTCGCCCTTCTCCTCATCTTGCTATCTCCGTTATTCCTCTCCGCTTCTACCAGACTCAACATACCGTTTGAGCCACAAATAATCGTTATCTAAGCATTAGACATATTTCGTATTAAAAAGTCGGCGGCAAATATACTTGATGAATTGTAACAGATTCGTCCTCATCGATCGAAAAATTCGCTTTGACAATTGGAGCATTCATATCGATGGCTCTCCCAGAAGACCTCATCCATGAATGATCCACCCTCGAAGAAGGGCTGTACAACGGCCCAGAGTGATTCTAGCGAGGGCTGAACATGTCCCGAAATTAGCAAGTCGAGGTAAATGAAATCAGGCTCTCGTTCTCGCATCAGCTGTCCTCCAGCTTCGGCGTGCTGAAAAACCAAGCGCTTGTTATTTCAGCTCCTCAAGCCGGACAGGGAAAATGTTCCCTCAGTGGAGCCTAGTAGACGAACCCCCTTTCGAACCCCTTTGGCCCGACGGGGCCTCGATATTTCGCTTACAGTGCCCCGTTTTGAAACTTAAACTCGCGCCGAGACGCGTGCCCAGCACGCCCTTCAAGGCTACCGAGCGGCGCTCGGATCGGCAGGGTACTAGATGCGGTGCTTTCCTTTCATAGCATAAGGGCCGGCGTTTAGGCGCTGAGACGACGGGAGCTGTGCACCAAACTCGCACAAACTCTGGCCAGATTTGGGCATTGTTGTTTTCTTCTTCGTTCAACCTCGACCTCGTGCTTCTCCGACGATAACCCCACACCCCAGGGTTCTCAGAGCTTCCAAGGTCCGTTGCTCCGTATCTTGTGGCCCGGATACATGGCGATTTCGAGGAAGTCCGTCTGCGGGATGAAGCTAAACTCGAATGGTGATATGAGCTTCACTTCATTATCTCGTAGCCACTGATGTTCAGCTGCAGGACATCGTCGCAGAGGGTTGGAAGGTGTTCTCCAATTTCATATCTTCTCAATCATGTTGGAGGACATTTGGGTCTGTGAAGGTTCGTGTTTTCTTTCACAATGATTTCACTCGTGTTTCCCCATGTCTGCCTCCCGAGTGTTCATGTCCAGGTCTCACACTTTCTTGCTGTGCTCGCTTCCATTCATGTAATTTTCGGAGATTTACTTTGTTCAACCCGTCTTCTTACCCATTGGTATCTCCACGCCAATCGGACTTGGTCCTGGATCTGGCACCTGTCTGAGCATTCATCTGCTCCGGGATAGGGATCGAGGAACTGGGCCTTTCCACTTGTCGGAACTCTCTTAGCCATCTGCTCATGGCTCGACAGACAGGATTGGTCCATTTGTGCTTCAAGACCAGGACTTCATGAGGAGAGTGAAACCAGCGGGATATCCCCCTCTTCCATGCATGTCCTCAAACTCTCCTTCCTGTCGGTCCGTTCATGCTATTTAGAATGGTCCGACGCGTTCTATGAGCGCATTTACAAGCCATTGTCCTGATGAGCTGGGAGCAAGCCGACTGCCGGGACGGCAAACCTTGAAGCTATGGCTAATCTCTGGAAACCAAGTGACGTGTTGACAGGAAATGATAAATACGATTCCTCGTCGTCGCTATCCAGGCCCGATTTCGACAGACCTCGAGGCGAAACACCTGGCTGCACTGTGGACAGGGCGTGACGAATACTTGCCTTTCTGAGAACAAGAGCAAACTTGCAGCCCTTCACGCTTGGTGTCCTCCGACCAACATGGCCCTTTTCATTATCACATCTTGGGGGAATCCATAAACGAGTACGACGCCATCGACGCAACATATGAAGGCGCATTCGAGTTGCATTCGGTGATCTAGCCAGGAAACTACCATTGTTGTCCATATCGCTTGGACGCGAACATTCGACAAGTTTCACGACGTTCGTTTCATTCGCTTTCTGCACCCCAAGGGCCAGTGAAAGCAGCGGGGCTTCCTTAGCACGCTGCGAGCCTGGCAGGGCAAACTATCAGCTATGTATGTATACCTCTACAAGCGCGCCCACATCCGTCACTCCTGCTTGCGACATTTTGGTCTAACCTCACAGCTTCCTAGAGTCCCTTTCTTCTCGCGTTTCTTTCGTCGAATCATCCAATATTCACTTCGTCGCGTTCCTCTGAATTTGATCTTCGGTGTCGGCTACCTTTCCGTGCCTGTCTGGAATCAAAGCAAGGGCGCCAGCTCGCAAATTTTGTGCGTACATCAGATGGCGTCCTCGCCCGATTTCGATCGGTGTCTCACCTATCACCTCTTTTGGCCAGACTTTTCTCGATTATGAAGCGGAGTCCGTCAAATATGAATAAATCCACCACTCGTCTTCGGGATTTCTTCTCGAACCACATATCTCCCATGTTCCGACGTCGTTCTTCTGCGACTAGCCGCCGGTCTCGCACTCAGTCATTGACGCCGATGGATATGCTACCCAATGAACTTCTCGCCCACATCTTCTCGACCATAATGGATGAATCGACAGAAAATCCTTTGTTCGTCATCACCCTCAGCCATGTCTCCTCTCGGTGGAGAAACGTAGCCCTCGGAACGGGCTGCCTGTGGGCACGGATCAATATCACCTTCCCACTTTCCGACATCGACCTCGAGCGTACGAAGACCTACCTTACCCGTTCCGGAACCTACCCCCTCGACATTCTCGTCGACGTACGCGACCCAGATTGGGATTGGAACGAAGACGCACATCGTGCTACTTGGCAAGTGATGGTCCCGTTCGTCCGCCTGCTAGTCGCGCATATTCACCAGTGGCGCAAGTTCGAAATGCTCTCGGACACATGGGTTCCAATATTCACTCTTCTCTTCTACACCAAAACAGTCACGGCAGCGCCACTCCTTGAAACACTGTCTCTGTCAAGATGCAACGCGTATATGGCTGCTCGTGGGCAGATATTCCATCCTTCGGTCCTACGCGACGCTCTCCCTCTACTGGGCGGCCACGCCAGTTCTACGAGGAAGCTCAGAAGGGTCACACTAGTCGGCGTTCATACCATTTGGACAGACACCGTTCTACGGAACCTCACCCACCTAGAATTCAAGTACCACTCAAGCGATGTAATGCCCACCGCCGAGGCGTTCGGGGCGATCTTGGGGGGGTGTCCACATCTCACAGAACTATCCATAGTAGGGTGGGGTCCAATCCTGCATCGAGAAGTGCAATACGCAGAGGGTGTATTTCAAATGCCGTCCTTGCGGACGTTCACGTTGGGCTTTGTGGACGCAGAGTACGCCATGAAGTTGCTGTTGATGTTTCACACCCCGGCCCTGCGTAAGTTCGTCCTCGAAGACGTAAACAAAGTCATCAGTCCGACAGGGGTCGAAAATGCGGACGCATTCCTCGAGTGGCTAGTCGCCCGCTGTGGACCCACCCCAACGACACTGACCATTCCCGTTCCGCTTCGGCGCCTCCGAAGCGTCGAATTACATAGCGTCCACGCACATCAAGCAACTTTCTCTCGACTCTTCGCCCAACTCCCATCGCTGGAGCAGCTGACTTGCATTGACATCCCCAACTCTGCCCTCCTCGCCCTTACCCCCGTCTGCACACCCACTCACCTCCTACATGCCCGCGGCTGCGCGAACTCTTCTGCCAAAGGACGGACGCGGAGGCCTTGGCGCAGTTGGTTCAAGCAAGGAGGAACAATCCATCCGTGGAGCCGCTGCTGCGTGTTGCGATGGAATTTACGAGGGATCGATCCCCTTCGCCGACCGTTGCTGCTCGCCTCGCGAGTGCAGAAGTAGAAATCGTGAGAAGTGGGTAGAGGGCCCAGAGCCAGGATAAGGTTAAGGTCGTTTGCTGGATGGGCAGTTATCTAGTTGGTTTCGATCCCCAGTATACAGGCCCTAGTATCGAGCAGAACAATTTACCTTTATCACTTATTCGAAGTTTATATCCAAGTTTGCATGTGCGATACAGATTTACCATTGGGAGACCTGCAGTCGGAAGGTTGAAGAAGAGAAATCCAAATCTCCTTACTGGTCCGAGATTTAGAGCATCTATATGTTCACACGCTGGCTTCTCTCTCGAAACCCGTCGGCGTAAAATTTGAGCGCTTATTCGGAGATCTTTGTTGCGAGCCAGAACGCAATCAGTAATCGCACGTCCCAGTACTTAGAAATTAATGGACCGTATATGGTAAACCTCACCTCACCTCACCGTTCTCCGAGTCGCCGAGTCGCCGAGATGCCCCAACATAATCCTTGCCTCCCGCGTTAATGCTATTTCTCTGGACACCGCTCCAGACGGCGAAGGCACGACAAGAAAATCGTTATTTAATACATCTGCCGTGGAAGCCACCCTTTGGCCTGCACAATATCCGCCAGCATTTAAAGATGCTTTGCCCATTCCTCGATATTTATGAGCAGAAGGTGTAGGTTACTGTAACAGGATTCGTCACGCAATACCAATGAGTCTTTCAAACGCGCAATTAGCTAACCGTTGTCGGGACGAAGCGAACTTTGGAGATGCGGCGTACCTCGGTATACATCTTGCACGTGGCGTAAGAAACGCAGGTGGTAGGACCTGTATAGCCCTTCCCTCCGCACTGACCCCACTGTAAGGGTAACCCAAATATCGATCAGCTCATGTTTTCAGCCGAAACTTGGAGCAGATCATAAGAGGACTTGCAGGCTGCACAACTTCCGTGGTTGCCCTAGGTGGCGGTGGATAGACAGTTGTGAGTGTCGAGCAGCTGCCTTCCGAACCGTCGTTGATTCTGAGACAGTCGGAACAGGTGGAGGTGAGGTCATCAATGCAGGAGCGGCAAGCTGGAAGGGAAGAGATGGCATTTTAATACCTTCAGAGATGTACGGAGTAATGATTACCATGGCAGTGATCACATTCGCCAGAATATACCCAACGCCGATGCCAGACGTCCCGGAATTACGCATTGTTCTCGAAGATACCAGACAGCGATGATAGATGAGACAGCTCGATAGATCGAACATGACTAAATATATAGCATTTTAAAAAATCCTATCGGAAGACTCAACCACATTAAAGCCGCGAATAAAAGGCCGAGGTATCTTCATTCTATTAAAGATGGCCAGATCTCGGGAATTCTAGTGATATTCTAGAGATCAGGTGGTAGATAATGTGATCATTGTCGAGCTAAAGAATGTTTGGAACATATGAGAAGTGGGTACGAGAACTATAGGAAATGTAGATCACCCGTCTTATAGTTGCTTTGCCATTTGGACAGTAGGTGCTGAATGACCGGTGACCGAGCGGTGCCTAGAAAATCTTGGCGTCAAATTTTAAACTGCCCAACGTGCCTGCTCGTTATTTGCTCTCCACCCCTCGATCCAGAGGATTGAAGCGCCAGCATGTTGTCAAGAGCCTTAGCGAGAGTCGAATAGTGGAATGTAAGTGGTAGAGCTAAATATATTATTAGTGGTGCTGGACTACCACGCTTGGCCCCCTGTGTAAAGGCCCTGGAGATTAAAAAGATTCTTCCGAAGATTGACAGTAATGGGTCTGTCATCCCTGGATGAGGACGGGTTTATATATCGCTATCCAACGGTGCTGACTGGGCGCGGCGCGACGTAACCAAAAAAGGCAATTTGATGCGCTAAGCACCGGATCAAATGGCACGCACGAGCCAGGCGCGACCCATACCTCCTTTCGAACCACGACTACTTCGAAGACATCAGGTCAACATTTTCATACCACGAGAACATACTCATCTGAACAGTATACACCTAGACGTATTTCATCGTTCCTTATATCTCTGTCGGCGAGATGTCCATGCAAAATCAACCAGCAGGTGTTCCAGGTGCGGTTTCAGTCCACATTGACTTCGAAAAAAAGGTCTTACTGTTCATCCATTACCAGATGCAATGCTTCGAATGAAGGAAGCGACGAACGATCTCTACAAACGAAAGTCCTTTACGGTTGCTTTGGACTTGTATTCGAAGATCCTGAACAACTCTGAGCTTCCAAGCAGTGATGACACGAGGGAGTTTTTGAGGACAGTGCGGTCGAATAGAGCGGCGTCTTACATTGCATTGGGTGAGAATTTGTCCAGTTTTATAATACTTGCTGACATCAGTTCTTGTACTTAGGACAGTACACTCAGGCGGTCGAAGACCTTCGCCGCATCCTCTCCTCGGAGGTACACGATGCAAGTTCTAAATTTCTCCGATTCTCCCTCAGCTACGTCCACTCGCAAAGCGCATCTCAGACTCGCCCGCTGCTTCTACGAACTCGGAAAATACGAGGACGCGACCAAGCATTTAGATGTCCACCGTGCTTTCGTGGGCGACAAGAGTGCTTCTGAGGAAGAACTTCGAAACAAGATCTTGAAAGCGCAGAGCAACCAACAGAGCGGTTCAAGCTCGGCCGAAGAAATGACGGTCCCACTCAAATACATTGTACATATCTCACAATCCACTCCGACAGCGGCAATTGAACTCAACGAAACCGTACCCCTTTCTCTATGCAACACTCGTAATCCACCGGAGATTCCAACAAAAAAGCTCCTCGCAAATCTGGTCGAAAAGCATCATGCGTGGCTACTCAAGCAAGGCCCTCTCAGCGGCGGGGCGTGGAAGTGTTGGAGTTGCGGCAAACGAGCAACCGGGATGGTCCACACACCTGCGTCGTATTTACACACGTATTTGGAAGGAAACGAAGCGACGATAGTCGATTTCACTCAGCCAGTGTGCGTTTATCGCGGTCCATGCGATTGCGAGGCGAGGAAAGTGATGCAAGAGTAGATGACAATGGCGACCAATGTCGGGCGAAGAGGGTAAATGGAGTGAGTACTCACTCTTTGTCATTCATCGATATTGGCTTTTCAATTACGTAAATCTTTTTCCCTCTCTAGAATCCTGATCTCGCTCAAGGCAACCTTGGACAATATCTGAATGGTACAGACTCTAATATAAAAATATTGTTCTTCTTGTTATGCAGGCATGCAAACTCACGCTCAGACTATACTTCCAGCACCGAGCCTAATCTCAAGCACTCCGATCGCCCAATCTATTGGCCATGGGAACAGGCGAAAGCGAACTTCCACCCTTCCCGTAGCATCACCACAGCATGGGAGGACCACTCGGAAGTCATCGGGGCCCTCGAAAACGCTATCTATGGCCCATTCAGCCTCATAAATGATGTGTGGTCGTCTTTAGGTGAAACCGACATAGACCGGCATCTACTTATTACTCGTAGGCTCCGATTAAGCGCTAATTAATTGTGCCTTGTCACGGCGTCAATCATGGTAATTAGATTTAGGCGCCCGCCTAAGAATCAGTTTTCTCAGGCAGCGTCCACGAAATTATAACGAGACAACCTATATTCACTGTCAAACGCTGAGCTTTACCGGTCATCCCGCTGAGGGCGCACGCTCCAGACCTCAAGGATAAATTTAGGATGCATCTGCCCCTCAACCTCTGGCTGCCATGCGATTCTTATCCTCACACCCTGGGGACGGAACTTCTTCCAAGAGTCGCGTACACGTCCCAGAATGTCCTTTTATTTGGAAGCCACCATCTCATATGATCCATGCAGCTGAATAAGAGAATATGATAGACTACGGAAGTGTCGCGCTTACTGCGCATAGGGCTATGGTTGTCGTCGAGTGGAGCGACAAGCATCTTAAAGAATGGCCCATGAGGAAATTACTTATATCGGCCCGTTCCACGCTCGCTTGTGCGTCGGCGCCGATGCCTGGTAAGGAACCATGCTGACTCTGTGAGCTTTAATAGACATCAGCGGCTCGAAACAAGTATATCGCATGCCCTTCATGAGCTCGGTAAAAGAAGCGTATACTTTGAAGGAAAACTTCCCTCCGTCCAAGCTTGTAAATTCAGTCCCGTACACGCCGGGTACCGACGTGACCGAGGTGCCAAACTGTCAATCTCGGAATGCACAGGTCTATGTAAACTTGAGAGCCTGGCGTGGGTGCGCAGCTGGCTGCCGCTGCATTACAGCCACCGGATCGCCTCGAAGGCTCGCCATTTGGAGGAACATCAGCGAGGAATTTACCAATCAGCGAGAGCGTATTTCGTATCCCTGCTGTTTTTTCCCAAGGATTCATGAATTTGATTAGGTTACCTACCAAAATGTCGGTCGAAGAAGGCAGTCTCCTGTTTTAACCATCTCTCTCGACGACTGTCACGAGAACGAGGCACGTACTATAGGCGCATTCGCTCCCTTGACCGGCACGCAGACGACGATAGCATATATCAAACTTTCTCCATGTGAGATTCATTCTTCTGTATAAAAGCCTTGCTCCTCGTCAGCCTGTAGCTGTCCAGACCCTACCCAGTGCGACATGAAACATCCCTCTCTACTCCCAGCCTTGGTGTTTGCGGCGAGGGTCATCGCGTTTCCCTCCTATGCTTCGTTGGCCGGTCTCAGCGAGCGTGAATTTGAATCTATCCTTCCTACGCTCGAATACCGAGAACCAGCATTACCTCCTGGCCCTCAAAAGGACCCCTCGGCCAAATTGGTCAACGACAAGGCTCACCCGTGGAAACCGCTTCGACGAGGTGACATCCGCGGGCCTTGTCCAGGTCTGAATACATTGGCCTCTCATGGGGTAAATACTGGAGTGCAGTCGCAGCATAATTCAACTGACAAGTATCCTTGTAGTATCTCCCCAGAAATGGAGTCGCGACTCCGGTTCAAATCATCAACGCGATTCAGGAAGGTACGAATCGAAGGGATTTTCGATTCTTACTCCATCACTGATGTATACTGATGTACATTAATAGGATTCAATATGGAGAATTCACTCGCCATCTTCGTGACGTATGGGGCACACCTTGTGGACGGCAATCTCATTACAGACCTGTTGAGCATTGGACACAAGACACCGGTCACCGGTCCCGATCCTCCACACCCAGCTATTGTTGGTGGACTTAATACGCATGCAGTCTTCGAAGGTAATCACAAATATATCAACTCCGGTTGCTACGTCTAACGTTTTTCGTACAGGGGACGCTAGCATGACAAGAGGTCCTACATTTCCTTTAACCCACTCGATTAGGCTAATCTCGCACTGTAGGTGACGATTTCTTTGGCAACAACCATGATTTCAACGCAACGCTCTTCGACCAGGTACGGAATTATCCGCTCGGTATATCTCTAAGGGACTAATATAGCCTTCAGTTCGTTGATTTCAGCAACCGGTTTGGAGCAGGGAAGTATAATCTCACGGTCGCAGCAGAGCTCCGATTCAAGCGTATTCAAGACTCAATTGGTACCAACCCACAGTTTTCCTTTGTATCACCTCGATACTTCACTGCCTATGCCGAATCTGTCTTCCCTATCAACTTTTTCATTGATGGACGCAGGAACGACGGTCAGTTGGATATGGACGCTGCGCGAGGATTTTTCCAATTCAGCCGTATGCCTGACGGCTTCTTCCGCCCAAACGGAACAAGAAGCACGGAAGGACTCGACCAAGTTTTCCTGGCACATCCTATGCAGCCTGGAGCAAATCTTGGCCAAGTCAACAGCTACACTCTCGATCCCACATCCGCAGATTTCTCCACCTTCTGCTTGTTGTACGAGAATTTTGTCAACGAAACCGTCAAGGGGCTCTACCCGAATCCAACTGGAAAACTTCGAAAAGCACTTAACACCAATCTTGATTTCTTCTTCCAGGGGTTGAATGGTTCTGGGTGTGAGCAGGTATTCCCCTACGGGCGAGATTGATGGGACGGAGACTTGCCGAAAGTACACTACTAGTTCACATTTCCCATAGTTTGAAGATTTCTACTAAAATACATTCTTCGGTGATATTCACATTTTCTCGAGGGCCATACTTAATTCAGCAAGGGTGCCAGTGAGCTTATTAAGTCTCCAGACCGGCCCGGAGCTACCAAAAAGTCAGGTTGATGCGTAATAATAAGCGCCAGATCGAATCTTGCGCACGAGCCATCGCGACTTCCTTTCCAACCACAACTACATAGAAGAGGACAGGCCCGAATTTTCATACCGCAGAAACCTGATCAATGCGCCGCCATACGTCATATTTATTCATTCCTTAGATCCCTGGCGGCGAGATCATGCAAAATCAACCACCAGGTATCCTAGGTACGGTTTTGATTCCGTGTTGGGTTGGGGGAAAACGATCCTATCACTTATATATGACCAGAAAGTGTGCTGAAATTGAAGGAAGAAGCTAACCGCCTCTACCAAAAGAAATCTTATACGGCGGCCTTGGGCGTGTATTCGAAGATCTTGGACAACTCTGGGACCGAAGGCAACGATGACGTGAAGGAGTTTTTGAGAACGGTGCGATCGAATAGAGCTGCGGCTCACATTGCGTTGGGTAAGCAAAGAGTGAATTGGCACCTAAAATAGGCTTATCGTCAGTTCCTCGTGTTCAGGACACTACGCTGAAGCAGTCGAAGATCTTCAGCATGTTCTCTCCTCGTCCTCGTCGGGACACAATGAAGGCTCTAAGGCTCCCATAGGCTCCCCTTTTGCTACGACTACTCGAAAATCTTATCTCCGCCTTGCCCGCTGCTTTTGCGAACTAGGAAAATTCGACGATGCTACTAAGCATTTGGATGCACATCGCGACTTCGTGGATGGCATGCGCGCTCCTGAGGAAGACGAACTCCGAGAAAAGGTCTATAGAGACCAACAGAATGCTGCGATAGCAACTGAAGACAAGACCGTCCCACTCAAGTACGTTGTCAAAATTATGCAATCGACTCCAACTGCGCCAATCAGGCTCTACGAAACCGTACCTCTCTCCCTAGTCGACACTGGCTACCCACCTGAGACTGCCTCAAACCAGTTCCTCGCAAAACTTGTCATGAAACACGATGCATGGCTTCTCAAGCAGGGTCCCCTCAGTGGCGGTGCGTGGAAGTGCTGGAGTTGCAGGAAACGAGCGACTGGGATAGTCCATTCTTTTGCGTCTTTTCTGAACGCGTATGTGGACGGAAAAGAACCAGAGGTCATAGATTTTGCGCAGCCAGTGTGCGTATATTGGGGATTATGCGACCGTGAGGCAAGGCGGATGATGCAAGAGGAGATGGTACTGGTGATAAATCCTGGAAGGCGCTGGCAAATTAATTGAGGTAATTGGTCCTTCATCGCTATTAACTTTCCAATCTCATACTTCTTCTTCTCCAGACTCTTGATCTCGAACGAAACTTACGACGGTAGCTTGAAAGTTGAAACTATGATGTACAATATCCTAATATAGCCAAAATAAAGGCACTATTCGTGTCATTATCCAGACACTATGCTTATGAGACTCGTAGCGCTATAATTCGAACGTCGAGCCCAATACCCCTCATCCCAAATGCTGTGTCCACTCATCCTATTGCCCGTGAAAACAGGCGAAGGCGAACTTCCACCCCTGCCCGTACATCAGCTTCATCCTTTGCAGGTCACCGGGATCGTGGTACTCCCTTATGTGCGTCCCAAGGTTTGTATGCCTCGGGTACGACGTCACCTTCTCGCCCGTCTTCTTGTCCATGGTCTCCCTCTCGCGCTGCGGGCAGTTTACAAATGGGCACCGCCAATGCATCGCGTGCTTCTCGAGGACGTGTCGATGGTAGCTGCCGACCTCCATGACCTTTTGGCTCTTGCATTTGGGCCATGCGCAGCGAGCACTATCCTTGACATCCTTTGCATGTGGGATCTCGTGGTCGACGGTTAGGTGCCTGTCGAAGGCAGCTGGTGTGTGGCAAAGCGCTCCACACTCGTCGCTATCGGCACTAAGCGCTGCGTCCAGAAGCCCTCGGCGCTTCGAGTCTCGCGGCAGCCTGCACCGAAACATTTGGCGGTGCTCTTTGGCGAACTCGGTTGGCGATAGCCAGAGCAACGCCTCGTTGAAGTCGTCGTGCGTTGGGGAACGGTCGTCGGAAGACGTTGTGCGAGTAGAGGCGGCACCCTCAGAGTCAACCAGGAGATGGGGATCCAGCTCATCGTCGCCGAAGTGGAATGGAGCCGACTTAGCGAGCGCTTCCAACTCGTCGAAAAGCCAAGGCATCTCCACAAACGAGCCAGCAAGTACATTAGATGAGAGGCCGGGATATTCCCATGAAGATGGGAGAGCGTCAAAGCGATCCGTCTGCCAGGAGCTCAGCGGCGAGAAACTTGACAATCCAGGCCGAGTGAATCCATCGCCAGGTGCAATGTCGGAGATATCATCAGCTATATCCACTTGGGCGTAGGGCCCGAAAATAGGCGCGGGTTGGCTCATGATGGCGTCGCCCGTGTCGTTAAGTGAGGCGGAAGGCGAGGTTGACGTTGAATGCCCAGATAGAGATAAATAGGCGGAAGGAATCGTGGTCGAGTCTATGGCGCCATCGTACTCGCAGTCCAGATCCTCAAGTCGAATGCGTGAAGGTCCTGCAACCGCGTTTGAGGACCGCTGGGACGACTGGACGTTGTAACCACCACAGGGGTGTGGTGTCGACTCCAAAGGTACCAAGCCCCGGACTAAGGGAGCGTCCATACCGCTGCCACGGTGTGATTCTTGAGCCTTGTACTGACGGTGAGTGGTGGTCCGGTATGGGTGATACATTCGTCCCCACGCAGATGCCACCGACCGACGCTCACGTGGACGACGAGAAATGGGGACGGAGGCAAGATTGGGAGTGCCTTCAAGGGGAGGAAAGTCGGTGAACGGATCGATGGGGCACATCGAGTAGTTCGTTGCAGCTCTGAGAAGAATGTTGATTAAAATGAAGTATGAGAGGCAATAGGAGACTCGTACTGGAGGTCCTGCGCGTCAGAAAAGACGTAGGAGGTCTGGAAGGCTCTGTAATGACAGAGTATATTTTTAAAATTTTATGGAAGACTGCGAAGCAGGTAAACTTGAAGGACATACGAATTCATCGCGATACAGTGCAAGAGGCGACAGAATGGGCGGGGTAGCCGTTGGGATATACAACCCATCCAAAACACCTGCGCCAGTCTTTATACCGCCCAGTAACATGCGTGACCCTGACGAACTTTCCACGTCCGGAAGGACGACTGCCAAATTTGGCATACCAAATCCATGACGCGTGAAGCCAATGCGCGGCCGCGGCGGACGCCCGACTGCTCTGTCAGGGGTGAAAACAAAGGGAACTATGTCAACCTTGGGAAATAAAATGTGGCATTTATATGCACCCTCACCTAGACTCTTGCGAGGCGACCCGGCCAACGCCACGGTCAATATCGCTTGGACCCTGTGAGAAGGGAGTAAGCGCCTCGTGGTTAGATGGCCTATTGTTCCAATTTACAGAGAAATACGTACCGGTCAGGTATCTTGACGAACCGAATAGCATGTAGCGCCAAGGAGAACACAGAGAAGCTGGTCTGCATGCCCAATCGCGAGAAGGGTATCTTTTACCCGAATCAGTACAAGCGCCACTAGGCACTATCATTGTCCAGCACTTACCCAAGCCCAAGGTGACACCATTAAATCAAGAGATAAATAGTTAGACGGAAAAAACTATCCGGAGTGGAAAGAGTGAGAGGGAGTCTGAGGGAGATGTCCATTGAGCGACATGGATACGAGGAGTATATACACACCCCGCAACAAAGGGACCTTTTTTACAGGATTATGAAAGGACAGGCGATGAAGAATGCCCCACGAGATACAGCGAAATCCACAAATCCAACGTGGACGAAATAAAGATGTCTTTGTCCGAATAACGGCCACGGATCGATGATGTCACGCCAAACGAAGGCAGTAAAAGTGGCGCACGGGAGTATTTGAAAGTAGCAAGCGAGGATTGCCATGTATCATCGTCGAGCCCGATCCGAGACCCGATTTGAATCGCCCAGAGAATAAATCAAGAAATAGATGCATTCGTAAATCGACATGGGCATCTTCTCCAGAAATCCGTTTCCTCCGGCCGACGAGGACCCCTGCTCACCAGGATGCGAAGGAAAAAGAAATTGTCCGATTACCCGACCTGCTGCGTAGGCAAGACCACTGAGAATCATCGCATCTGTTGGGACATCAACGAACTGAAGATGAGACAGATGTTATTATATATTCGATGTATGGTAGGTTTTGAAGAAACTGATTGCTGACCATCTGAGCATTGAAGTTAATACTTTACGTCTCTTGCACCGGACCTCGAAGGTGTCCAGGTAAAAGAGGCCTGCTTCCCCTCGAAATCAGCTCTCCATCCAACATCACCTCCCCGAGCATCGGCCACACCTGCTGCTGCGGCCTCGCACTGACCCCATTCCTCCAAACGTCGAAGAACACCACTCGCCTCCCACCCACATCCTCTAACTCGATATCCGACAGGTTCGGAAACGCCCTTGTCATCCCCTCATAAGCCATCCTCCCAAATAGGATACCACGTATCCTCAGCTCCCGCAGCTCGGGGCACGTTGTTGGGAGACCGTTGTAGAGAAGTACGGCAACGAACCCAACTATGGCGTCTTGCGAGAGGTGGGCGAGGGTGAGGGATACGAGGGCGCAGTGCAAGGAGAGGGCGAAGAAGGTCGAGTAGGCGTCTGAGCGGTACTCTGCCGTGAATTGGGGAATGGGATGGTTAGTTGTGCCGCCTTCATCACCAGCTGCGACGCCTTGGCCTCCTTCATCTTCGTTGCCCCCGGAGTTGTCAACAGGCATATGAGGAAGCGGCTGCGGAAGCTGTAGACGCAGGTCGGATACAACGAGATCCCTGACGGATGACTCCCTCCGGTCCGTGATCCCACGCACATGCGGGGTAGTGCTAGGAATGACGGCACCATCCAACACGAGCGTAGTGACCGCGCTACAATTGAAAATGCTGTAGTGGCTCTTGTACGAAAGAAACGCCCCTTTCGCGAGCGTGGCATGACAAAGGTGCCATCGCGGCAAAACGGATACGAGAGTACCGTCAATCCTCAATGTTGTGACGTTCGGGGCGATTACGCCTAGGTCTGGAGGGTAGTAGCACGTCGTGTGGCTTGTTGGGATGTGGCTGGACGTCCGTATGATATGGAGTGCTGAAAGTTTGCTGCTGACGGCACCTATGAGTGGGTTGATGAGCATGTGGTCTACGAAGGTGTCGAGCACAGCCATGGTGAAGATATCGATTCCTTCCACTCTCAACGACCTACACCGGGGTACAGTAGTCGGCATAAACTCCTGTAGACTCTCTCGGAGATCTTCGAAAGTTTTTGCACCAAGTGTTATACGTTGAGGTAGCCGACAGTGGAGGTCGACAAGTTGGCCCCTGAGCGACGCAGGATGTCTTGTGTTGTCTCTCCGTGGCAGACAGAAGCGTTTCCAAGGTAAACCTTCGTCCACAGAAAGTGAATGTCGATCGCAGCGTCTCTCCATCTGCGACAGACATGGGAGAGTGTGACGCAATGTTTAGTGAAGTTTTTCAGTGGTGGAAGCATAGCGGGGTCAGCATAGAGCGGTCCTCGTCGTCGAGATGTTGTATCTTCCACCGCTGGGTAGTCTTCGGGCACCATCAGTAATCGATCAGCTTCTTCCACCATCCGCGCACTCAATTCGAAGATTGTGCAGAGGATTTCTGTCGGAAGGTTGTCCATGGACATCTTTACTTGTTGTCTTGCACGTGCTGTGTCGAGTTAGGGGTATGGATAGGACTTTCGGTCGAAGGAAGTTCAGAAATCGGTGGTATCTGCAGCAGATGGCGGCCTGTCATGAAGGTGAGCGGTAAGCCGAGGCATGCCACCTTTTTTACGTAGGGGGCCGTTTCAATGGAGTTTCTGCAACAGATTAGGTCAGCCTTGATAGTGGGTGGGATCTTATCTTATCTGACAGTCGCGAAAATGGGTTAAGGTAGCAAAGCCGATAGATTGAGCACCATAAATTTTAACACATACTACGCGACATCCCGTTCACTCGTAGGCAGAGTTCAAAAACTGCAAGAGATCCTTCCGGTTTGCATCCCGCTCATGGTCGCCTTTGTCCTTCTTAACCTTGAGTTTGATCTACATAAAGGAAACGTTATAATTGGACGAAAGGTTGCGAGGAAGGGAATAAAACAAACCTTCTTTCCGGTCAAAATGCTCCTCTTTTCCTCCCCCTTCTCCTTTGCCTTGTCTTTGTCCCTCCGTTTCCTCCTCTTCTTGTCCCTCTCCCTCGAGCCGGACCTATCACGATGTTTCCTCTTCCCCTTCTCGTCACGGGAGCGACTTCTGTGCCTCCTTTTGCGTCTGTGTCTGTCGGTGCTACGGCTTCTGCTACCACTGGACGAGGACCTTGACGAACCGGAGCTGGAGCGTGAGTAGGAGCGGTGCCGGCTTCGGCGGCTGGAACGATGATCATCCCGATGTCTCGAAGGCGAGCCGCTTGTAGAAGAATCGTGCCGAGGGCCAGTAGAACCGCGAGACTGCGAGCGCCCTCTGCGACCTGCATCTTCCTCTGAATGGTGGTGGTGCCCGCGATGTGATGAATGGTGATAATTGTAATCCCGGTGTCGACGTCGGTCATGACGCTTGCCATCTCGTTGGTAGTGGGAGAGTGAGGTTGCTTCTGAGTCCTTCTCCTGCTAGACAGCGCCAAAGTAATTTGGTACATGCGGCCGAGACACGTATACCTTTGAAGATCAGGAAACGGCTACGGAAGAGCACAGCGAAAACGTACAATGTGTTCCCCTTCGTGGTGTTCTCGTCTGTGAGAACGGTGGCGGTCTCCGTTGTGTCGGTAACGGTAGCTATGGCCATGACCGCATCCCTCGTCTTTGTCACGCCTATGAGAGGACCTTCGACCGCGGTAGTCTTCGCCCTTGCCAGCGTGGTCGGAGGGCTCATCGCCATCCGTCAAGTATCTGCCGTGAGGCTGGTGATGATGGTCTTCATACGAATCCTGCCTCTGTCGCTCATGACGCCGTGATTCTGACTTTCGGCCCTCTGTTGTTCCAGAAAGCACCAACATATAGGTCCCATTTGTGGAATTAGGCGACGTGTACGTGGTTGAGAGCGTAAACTAAGAATGAGCGACTTTCGTAAAGCGAAACTGGGATAAACTTACCTGTCTTCTTTCCCCCTTCATAGTAGGGGCGAGATGCCCTCTCAGGTCTGTCGCCATTCGGCTCGTCCATTGTCGTCGTCGTGGTGGTCAGCAACCAGGATGGTTTCGGTCGGAGATTGAAACAATTCCCACTGGCCTGCCCTGAGTTACTTTCAACCGCTTTCCATTCTGCCTCGAAGAAAGTGTTCTACAATCTAACTTAGTAGTGTCCGAAGGTTCGTTTCCTTGATCCAGCCTCAAGGATGTAATCGGCGCTCGGTATATGCGCTCTTAATTTTGATAGAAACGAGGTTAGCACGGTCAATTGTAAAATTCCAGAAGTTCTAACACCATAATTTGCAGCTAGGAATGCCCAATTTCATGGATTGGCGTCTGCATCGCGATATGAACCACATACCTGAGATCTTGTCATCCGAAGAAGCTACATCGTGCCCAACTCCAGCGGACAGTGCCCCCTGTGGCACAATCCTCTGCCGTCCTCCAAACTGCAGAGAAGTGAGGACGAGGAGCGACGGACACGCTCATTTCCACGGGAACACTGTACGAGCCTTTCTACAAAACGATAGCTGATGAGCGCTGAGCTTTTATCAGCCTTCGATGCGCGTCCGATGGGCAAGGACGGCGGAAGACGCGCCGAATAAGGAAACCTCTTGGGCAGCACGAGTACACAGTTTCGACTGAAACCTCTGCGGAAATAGGTCAGAAATTGCTGCTTCTGGCGTTATTCGGCTCCATTTTTAACATTTCTTCCCATCCTACACAACAGTGGAGCCAAGATCACGGCTGGCCGGAACTCGTGTCATTCTCACCACCACCGCTATCATGGCACTTTCGGGATCCTCTACAAGCATTACGAGCCACTTCACGGAACTCACCCATCACCGCCACCCGTGACCAGTTTCCCCGCTCATACATATACCCCTCAGCGACAGCGGGAAGGGACCGCTTTCCCCGCAACCCCGGTCCTTCAATACTCTGCTCTGGCTCGGAGTGTTGGAGCGTAGCCTAAACCCAAACATGTCCCTCGTACGACTCGCCGAAATCGCACTTCAACCGCAGAGCATTGCGGCGACGCTACTCTGCATAACCCTGGTCGCCGTCATCCACAAACGCCTGACGCAATCCAACAAGCTACCTCTCCCACCAGGCCCGCCAGGCCATTTCATCTTCGGCAATTCCATACCCAGTACCTTGTACGTACTCCAGCTTCTTTCTCTCCATTTCCAACCTGATTCACTCCAGTGCGTACCGCAAATTCGAAGAATGGACTCAAGAATACGGGCCTGTCTTCACCCTCCGGCAAGGTCTGACAACGACCATCGTCATCGGCCGCCTGCAAGCTGCGATTGACATCATGGAGAAGGAAGGAGCTGCGCTCGTTGACAGACCCCACAACATCTCCGCCGGGGACACGCTTTCGGGTGGGATGCGCGTGTTGCTGACACCCGCTGGCGAGAGGTTCAAGAAGATGCGGAGGTGCGCCGTATGTTGCTATCAATCTGTCCAACACCACTGATTCGCCGTTCTCAGAGCGCTGCATGCACACCTCCAGCCCAAGATTGTGGCCAATTACGCCCCTACGCTCACGCGAAACGCGAAGCAGCACATCCTGGATGTGATTGACAATCCCAATCGACACCAAGACCATGCTAAGAGGCGAGTAAGACCCGGACAATTCATTCGTCACGTCATCATACCACTCTTCATCTTACCACTCGAGATCCATCGGTATGGGCTGTGCTGACGTGAACTGGCAGGTATTCGGCTTCGGTGGTGATGGCACTTGCCTATGGGCGCCACCCCAAGTGTTACGAAGACCCAGATGTGCAGGCTGTCAACCGCTGCCTGACGCGCCTGGGCGTCACACTTCGCCCAGGTATCTGGAAGGTTGACGCCTACCCCTTCCTCAAGTACGTCTGTCCGCTGTCGCTACGGCTCCATGTCCGATTAACGCGTCCTGGGATAGATACATCCCAGGCTATCTGAAGGAGCTTCAAGACGGGCATGCCGAGGAGCTTGCGCTCTTCAAACGTCAGCTGAACGAAGTTAAAGCTAAAATTGTGCGCGCCTCCTCTCTCTTTAACTTCGATCCTCCTAATGTCCATCCAGGAGCGCAAGGAAGCCATCCCAGAGTCCTTCGGCAAGTACCTCCTCGAACGACAAGCGGAGCTCGAGCTATCAGACGACGAAACAGCCTATCTCGCCGGGTCGATGTTCGGTGCAGGATCCGACACGACGGCATCGGCCATCTCGATCGCGGTTATGGCATCTGCGTGCTACCCTGCTGCACAGGCTCGGGTCCAGGAGGAGCTTGATGCAGTGGTTGGACGGGAACGGCCACCTGAGTTGGACCTGATGGGCATTGGCGCGAGGGAGCAGGAGAAGCTGCCGCAGCTGATGGCATTTGTGCTGGAGACCTTCAGGTGGAGGCCTGTTTCTGCTGGTGGATTCCCGCATAAGGCGACAAAGGACATTGTCTGGGTACGTCTCTCCTCTCCTGTCGAGATGGTGCCCTGACGAAGATCGTTTAGAAAAACTACCTGATTCCCAAAGGCGCGAGCGTCATCGGTAATGTGTGGTAAGTCCTCGTTCTCTCCCAATATTTGTCTCGCTTGCGGCGGCGCTATACCCTACATATACATTCCCCATTCCGCATCCTTCGCCTCAAAACATTAAACCGTAAAATTCTAATCTCTTGTGGCCTAGGTCTGTCGGACGCGACCCTGCATATTTCCCCGACCCGGAGAAATTCGACCCCCAACGGTGGCTGAACAGCGAGGGGAGGATTAAGGACGACCTACGCTCGTATGCTTTTGGGTTTGGAAGGAGAGTATGCCCTGGGCAGCATATGGCTACCGCGTCAGTACTATTGTCTCCTCGTTCGTTCGTTCGTGGCTGACTTAAACATGAAACTTCAGCTCCGTATTCCTCAACACCTCCCTTCTCCTCTGGGCGTTTAACATCAGGAAGGACCCTTCGTCGCCCATCGACGAGCTTGCCTTTACAGAGTCGGCGAATACCCACCCGCTGCCGTTCAAGGTGATCTTCGAACCTCGGGCCGCAAGCTCGATGCAGGGTGTCAAGGAGCTCTTGGAAGATTACGGAGTATGAGCCCTCTTCGATGCACCATAAGAGACGTCGAATGGAGACGACAAACTTGTTACCTTGGAGGCGACTGCCGCATGGCATATCTTGGACGATGACATGCATGATCTAATTACATGTTTGCGTTATTTAACTTCACAACTTTGTATACTTACCATCCAGAAAGTATTTCTAAATCAAATGTAGGGATCTTCTTACGCAGTCAGAGTCGAGCCTGTGCGCCACAGTCGATTACACACCCTCATTAGGATTCTTTGATATCTCTCCTTCTTAGCTCAGCTGGTAGAGCGCGTCACTAGTAATGACGAGGTCAGTCGTTCAAGTCGGCTAGAAGGAATTTTAGGAATTTTCTCCAAACGCCAGCTGTAACAGCACATCATTTTCGCATTCCTGCCCAATTGCGCCGCGCTTCGTCGAGATCATACATTTTTAGTGAATGCATGCAAGTTGTCGTGCATACGCGACATTGTGGGTATATGTGGTACAAGAAAAGAAGGGAGTACAGACGCTAACAAGATCTACCTGCTGAACTTTGGAGAAGGTAAATAGACCATAAATATAAATTGGAAGCGTTGGATGGAGACGAGGAAATGATAAAACGCTCTAGATCTGCCTGAGGAGCTCGCGCTTTTCCGACTATTTGGCAATCAGTCCAAACGCACTCGCGTTCGACCCTCTTTTCCCATCCCGGCACCACCGAGCCCAACACCGTAGCCATAACCGTAATCTGCGGTGGTCGCGGCATAGTTAGGCATGCGGTTGGCTTCATTGTGCTGTTTTACGAGCTGTGAAGGCGGGAGGTATCCACCCGTTCCGTACGCTGTCTGAGGGGCTTGACCGTAGGCCGACACACTGGTCGAAGAAGGGTATGCATTGCCGTACAAGGATTGAGCATATCCTCCTTGCCATTCATGATCGTAGCCATACCCTGGCATGTTGCCAGTTGCCTGGGTCATCGGTGGACGATCAGGTCTAGGCGGGTCCCTCAGAACAAAGGGCTCGCCCGGTGTAGCTGGCGGGCGGTTAAAGACTGATGCAGGTCGTTAGAACCACATGAATAAGATGGCGCTTGGCACTCACAGCTCACGATACTCTTCGTCCGCCCGACGTCTGCTCCTCGCCGCCGCCTTCGCCAGAACATGAGCCCGAATATTAGGAGAAAAAGGAAAACCATCCCGCCGAGCACACCGCCGATGATAGCGCCTGCATTGGCCGAGCTCGATGATCCGCTTGTGGCGCCCAAGGCACCAGCACTGGAGCTTGGTGACTGTTGGGAATCGGCTGCAGTCGCTGCCTGTATGGAACTTGCGCTTGGCGTCGCGGTTACAGTGACTGTGATGGGCAGTCTGGACGTCGTCGCAATCGTGCTCGTCGTGCTAACGCTGCTCGTCGTGTCGATGCTGCTCGCGCTGTCAGTCGTGCTGGAAATGGACGCGCTGGTGCTGGCCGACGACGCGGAGGAGATACTGGACGGCTCGATTGGTGTCCCGATAAGGCGGAAGAAATCAAGGAAGACCGGTTCGGTCGTCTCAGGATGGGTGATTTCGAGAGTATGTTCGCCGTCCGGTAAGAGAGGGGACTGAAAGAACTGCTGGGTGAACTGGGTGCGGTCCGTCTGGGTCGCTCTGAACGTCACAGGATCGCCGCCATCAATGCGGTACGTCGATTCCGGCTCTCTTGAGCTGCGGAGGCGAGTGCTGATTGTCCCAAAGACCCCGATGGCCGTTCCTGCTCACCTAGATGAGCGCCTATTTCGAGGGAGACGAAAGATGATCGCACCGCGAAAGCTCAACCTCGCTGACGCTCCCGCAGAAAGCGTCCAAGTGGTGGTCCGATTAAACTCGTTGGAAGAGCCTGCTCTATTCCAACGGCCGGTATACACAATTGATGGGTCCGTGTCGTCCAGAATTAAGACAGACATGGCGGAAGGTGCTTTCCAGCGAAGGAGAAAGAGAGGGTATTCAAAAGAGCGGGAGGACGATGGCGAGCATCAATGTGGAAGTAGAAAGACGTATTTTGTCGCTCCTGTCAAAACAGCGCAACTGCGTTGCCATCGTCCGCCGTTTTGAGAAGTAAATCCGTTGTCAGCAAGCCATCATGTGTGAACATCTTGTCCTTTGTTGCCGTTTTAGGTCTCCATCAATCTCGGATTCGAGCGGGCCGCAAAGAAAGGGGTTGGGCGTGGAGGAAAGATGGGGAGTCAGGGTAGACAAATAACAAAAAAGGTGAAGGGTGTGTTCTATAAGATACAGCAGGATATGGCGGACAGTTGAGACCGGATTTGGCTTAGCGGCCAATTTGAAGTTCGCCAAGCAACGAATGAACTTGAGGTCAACGAGAACAGCACAGAATTAACAGGTTTTAGGTTTAGTGTAATCGACAAGCGTCCGCGGTCCCTGTATTTCTTAGGTACTGGGGGAAATATTCCTCAGTCGAAACAAATACTTTCTCCTACGATTATTCTTCCCGGCACCGCTCGTCAACGTCTGCCGAGCCAATGTTCTCTCACTTTACATCTTTTCAGCTGATCTCTCTTCCCGTGTCGAAGCTGAGCTAGTAGAAGATAGGCTACTGTCTGAGAACACAAGATTCGCTGGCTGTCGCTCTATCCCCTCGACGAATCGGTTCATCGGATGTTGTGCGGGAGTTGTATTCGTTTAATTAACCAAGGAAAGCTGCCGTGAAGATTGGCGCCCGAGGTCTAAAGGGACAGAGCAAGATGGGTAGATAGGGGTAGATTCGCTTCAAGGGTGGAATACAGAAATAACGGAATTCGTTGTCATGTTTTGAGTCCTTTTTATATTGATATATTGGAACAGTTTCATATAATGGAGAGGAGATATATCCCACCAAAGAGACGATGTAGAGTATCTGGCTGCCTACGGCACAAGGCCTCTTCAGGCGCTTTATCTCCGCTTTTCTGCAATGAGGGTCTCTAACGTCATGGATATGTCTTTCCGCGGAGGATATATCCCGGAGAAATGCATATCCGTTTCGGGGAAGATATACCGTATGTAGAAACCAGAATTATCCCTCTTCCTCTTCACCCTTCGTCATCTCCCGATATTGCGGACTGGTAAAATACCACTAGAGACAATTTATCGCGTATACGGTATAGTACTGCGTAGTACTTGCGTCACCAGCCATCCACGCGCTCGGGCTCGGGTTTTATGTAGCCGGTTACTATCGCGTATCCGCGTCGATCCGCAGTTGACAATGATTGTCCTACTTCCGTCTTTTCCCAGTATGTACCCCGACATGGGCCACACTCTCCAATATTTTTTTCTTGGGGTTCGGGTTGTCGGTGTTCATTCCCAAAATTTTGCTCAACGGATGAGGTTTTCACATGGACGCGTGCTTGGAGGATAAGAGCGCCTCGGAGCGTTATCGAGCCACTTCCCCTTCCGTCGACTCTCGAGATGGCTTTTGGCGACGCGTTCAACTCTTCCAGCAAGGCGGCGAATCTTCCGGCATTTGTCGGACTACTAGATTTAGTCTCACTGCCGACCATTTCTCAAGGAATCGTGGTAGTTACCAAGGTTGTCCTGTGCGTCCTTTTGCTCCTATGTGCTCGTTCGTTGCCATTCGTCTGGACATGTGAGTCTTTCGGTTCCATGATGTGGCGAGTGTTAATGCTTCTTATTCCTAGTCCGCGTTTTCCGAGCACTGATCGTCTGGAAACTCCAGCACAAATGGATACGGCTCCGAATGCTCTTCAAGTTTTCACTCGAGGCGAAGTTGAAGGTGGAGGACGAGTGGATGGATTCTCAGTCGCCTGTGGGAGACAATCCTTTTGATGAGGTCGTATCGTCGAAACAGTGGGCTAGTGAGTGCACCAAACATCTCGTCGCGGTGCCTTTCCTTACTATGCACATCTAGGCCTCGACGAGTGCGATATCAATCTACACTTAAGCAACTCGAGTTACGCCAAGACGCTAGATAGCGTCCGCTTTTCTGCGATGGCGAAGATGCTGCCAATGCTCATCCCCATCAACGGCTGGGTTCCCCTCGCTGGTGAGAAGCTTATCTTGAATTTTGATATTGAGCCTGACAGTTTTGAAGCTACTCACTACCACTTCATTCGGGAAATACCTATGCTTTCAACTTATGAGATACGGACGTCCTTCGGCTCATGGGATCAGAAATGGGTGAGCCATATCCATTATCTCCATTGAGGATGCTTCTCAACGCCATACCCTAGATCTATGTTATCTCTAAGTTTGTACGCAAGTCAACAGGCAAGAAACACAGGCGTCACGAAAAGCCGAATTCTCCTCCCGTTGAAGGTAGTGGGCGCTTCGACATGATTCGCACTCCCGGTTCCGAACCACTCTCATTGGGTGCAACGCCTCTTCCTTCTCCGAAAATTCAGACCGGCGCAGACACCGAAAAAGTTCTGAAAGGTGCTGCCGCCGGTCTATCCCTCGTCGAGCCGGACGGTGCGACGGTTCATACGGTCGCTGTTTCACAAGTGTGCTTCAAGATTGGACGTATCACGGTCCCTCCTTCCCTCATCCTAGCAATAAACGGGTACACGGGAGCGGGCGGATATTCGCTCGCTTCGCCTCATCCGGAGTGGTCTGAGGCGAAAAAGGTTATGTCGAAGCTGCACGGAGGAAGCCCCCGGAAGTTGAGGGAACTGCTTACTGGTGGCTGGAGGAACGTACCGGAGAAGGAGAGGTGGTGGGACCAAGCACTCTGCGGAAGCCTGGAAGTGCAACGAGTGAAGAATCTCGCGCTTATTGAAGGACTCCGTCGCGGTATGGAGAGTGCAGCTGATCTATGAAGGTTAGCGATGCTCGCTGAAATAGAGATATACATTATAGACACCGTGGCCGTGATTCATTTAGATTAGAGTAATGTATTGGAGGAACACGATCAAATCATCCTACAAGATTTTAATTGCCTCTCAGGCTTCATTTTACCAGCTTTGAGCATGACGGAGGCTCCCTCTTCGGAGTGGGGCGTACTTGCCTTATTCGGAAAGGTGGACTTCATGATACCTGTCGGTCGAAAACCCTACGCGACAGGCTCTGGCTACTCGTTTCCCTTAGGCGCCCAATAAGCGTCAACGGGTGTTAAAACTAGGGTCCTGAAAATCGTCTGACTGCGACTCCCTCAATATTTCATCATTAAATACGGCCCCCACCAACCTGCCATGTAATTCAGACTGCATGTATCCCCACTAATGTTTCCCTATCTTTGGCCACGAAATTGCACCCCTTAATACCTTTGGCGCACTTGGCTCGGCCAGTCGAAAGTTAGACCCTGAAATCAACCTGAAATAGGGGGTGGCTGTTATGATACAATTCGAAGTCCGACCCGCCCACGACTCCCTTTGCCTCCTCCCTTTCAACGAAGCTTGGCCTTAACCCCTTGAGACCTTGAGGCCTAGAGACTCGCTGTATCACCACCATTCAGTCGTAAAAATTCCAACCTGTAAGTATTCCGGTTCCGATTAAGTACCTCAGTTTTCAACTATCTTGGCGTTCCCCACAATTGGGAGCGTGGTTTTCGCCAGCAGCTGCACGCGACCGCAATCCTTACTCATAGTCATCTTTCGAAGAGTCTCTTATCTTCTTCTATACTCAGGTCAGCTCCGCTATCGTCTCAAGAAGGAGCCTACAATGGTGCGCCCAAGTCCCGATGACTAGGCTGTGACTCATTTTGACGCCGTGCACAGCATCCCTGCTCATTTTGTCTTCTAGAATGGCAATCTCGGGCTGTATTTCCTGCGAACTTGACAGGGTCTATCTTGGTGGCGTCGTCCGTAATAGACTCGCGATCACCGCCCAGGACACATAAAGGTACTGGAAGTTCGACTTTGAGCCCCCATCGTTCCTCCAACCCACCACCATGCATCGCCGTTTCTCTAGCCTTGTCAAAAGCGCAGCTTCCTCGTCGTCTTCGTCGCCTTTCTCCGATGAAAAGGCTATCGACGACGATGCGCAGTCGAATGTGTCGACTGTCGTTCGCGACGAGGCCCTTCCTGTACCCTCCTTGAAGGTCAAGCGCGTCGATTACTACTATAGTCGATGGACAAGGTCGTGGAAGTATCGGGTAAGCATTTCTTTTCTTCATATTTTCCCCGCTGGGATTAACATATCTTCTTTCACTTCTTTCAGAACATGAGCTCGAAGGTCGTCGTTGAGACTCTTCCCATTATGCAGAGCGGTACCAATGACACGTGGAAGGATTTCAGCTTTGTGTATGGGCACTTTTTCATGAAGCGTTTCCTCCATCTTGACCTCGCCCTCAAGGATTGTCCGCACTGTGCGCAACAATGCTGAACCAGAGTTCAAGATCGTTGTCAAGAGCGAATATATCCTCAAGATTTGCAAGGATGTGATCCAATCATGGCCTGGCATCTCGTGGAACTCCGATCCTCTCGAGGTCAATAACCTTCTCAACTATTCCTCAAGTTCGTATGCTGACAAGCTGGCTGTTCACTCTAAAGATGGACCCCGAGATCTTCCTCACCTTTTACAACGAGTTCATCGCCTACGGCGCCGCTCTCCAAGCCCAAAAACGTCGGTCCGAGCAAGAAGAGCACATGTTGTCCTCCGTGAACCTGCTCACCAAGACCCTCGCGAACGATTTCCGCGTTACCCTCGCCAAGATCGAGCGGCTTACTTCGCATGGCGAAATTACCTTCGCTTTGCTCTACGCAATCCTGGTTCCGCGCTCGCTCATGGTCGCACGGTGCAGCGTCACCGGCCTGCCGCGCCTCTTCCAGCTTGCGTCGTGGGTCCGCGTTGCGCTTGACGGGAAGCCGATGTATCAGCTCACGCTCGAGAGCGTAGACCTCGTCGATAGGCCGGTTACACACAGCGTTGTCGTTGGACGAGTGCAGACGACGGTGTATTTGAAACCGTTCAAGGGCACGGGCAAAATTGACGCGCTTGACGCATACCCGCTCAAATTCCATCACGACGCGGAGGGCTTGAAGGAGGCAGTATTGAGGCGAGGCAAGAAGTGGGTCAGCTTGATCGGTATGCACCACAAGCAGTACGATGGTATCGCGGCGTTGAAGTGCGGAGACAAGGTCATTCGCCATAATGTTCGTCATTCAGTCATTCCATCATTTTTAGTTCCTAACCTCCTTCCAGGTTCGAAGTCGGATTATGGTCGACCGCGCCACGTTTAAGCGCCTGAACGCCAACTACGTCTTCCCTGCCCCCGTTCCTCCCAAGACTGAAGATACCAATGGCGAGGAGCCTGTGGACCCTCGTTTTGGTGCTGTGGCGCACCTTCAGCAGTACGATAATTACGGTAACCCATTGCCCGTAGTTCCTACAACCACCAACGGTTCGTATGCACAGTTTTCCCCCGATACTCGCTCGTCTAATTCAGTTATCGTAGACATCGTTAGGGCCTCAAACGATGTCACCTCCGACGTGGAGCTGACCGAGGCTGAGCTCCTCCTTACACCCAGTGTCGTCTTCGGGTTCAGTCTGGCCGATAAAGTCTGGTGTATGTATTTATTTTCTTCCATTATTCGATCTCATACTAAATCCGTTTCGCAGTGGAGTTTGACGTGGAGAAGATCACCGATGTTGACTGGAACAAAGATGCTTTCGCCAACCTTGTCCTTCCTGAGGACCGTAAAAACCTCCTTCAATCCCTTGTCGAAGCCCATCATAAAGAAATCGGCTTTGACGACTTCATCAAAGGCAAAGGTCATGGTCTCGTCGTCAATCTCTTTGGCCCTCCTGGTGTCGGCAAGACCTTCTCCGCTGAGGCGACGAGTGAACACGTTCGCAGGCCACTTTACGTCGTCGGTGGTGGCGATTTGGGTACATCAGCTAGTTCCTTGGATGCTGCACTCGAGAAAATCTTTGATGTCGCGACGGCGTGGAAAGCCATTGTCCTCATCGACGAGGCGGATGTATTCCTTGAGCAGCGCTCGTTGCATGACCTCGAGAGGAACGCCATGGTAGCAGTCTTGTGAGTCTTTCAGGTTGAATTACTTTTGGATCTTTCCTTACCATAGCTTCAGCCTCCGCCATGTCGAATACTACCGTGGCATCCTCTTCCTGACCACGAACCGTGTCAAAGCATTCGACGAGGCCTTCCTCTCTCGCATCCACGTTGCTCTCCACTTCAGCGAGCTCTCTCAGGAGTCGAAGGAGCAAGTCTGGGCTGCCTTTATTGCCAAGATGGGCCCTGCTGCGAAGAATATCACAAAGGAGCAAATCGCTGAGCTCGCAACGCGCCGTATCAACGGGCGGCAGATCAAGAACGCTGCTCGTACGGCACACTCGCTCGCTGTAGGCCGTGGCGAGCAGGTGCGCTTCCAGCATTTGATGGTCACGCTTGACGCCATGGACGAGTTTACGCGTGAGTTTGAGAAGAGGAATTTGGCTTGAATGGGTTGGGGAAATGTGAATCAAAATTTGATGACCATCTGTAACGATAAATGTAATATACAATAAAAGTTTGCTCATGTACTATTAGACCTCGATTTTCCAACGATTCTATGTCCCATCTTTTTCTTGCCTTGTACCGTCCACTTAACCCCGACTCGTATTGGGTAAGAATCACGTGCCCTTTCAGGGACGCTGCCAGCAAGTTCAACAGGAACCCTTCTCCTTCTCTTTTGGCACCGTGACTGTACTCCACGTTCCTCGATTTACTGCTCTTAGAAATTTCCTTATCGTAAGTAGTTGTTTCTGCCTCCGAACCAAATTACTCTGATCAAAATGCCAAAATTAGGGCGAGCTTGAGGCTTGATGCCGACCACATGTTCGAAGGAAGGAACATACTGACTTCACACCTTTCACTTCTTATTGTCTCATGAACATGCCGCTATGTTCGAACCGCGTAAGCGCGCGCTTTTTCTCTCTGAAAGAGACGTATCTGATGGTCACGTCTCCATTCCAGAATCCTGGTGGAAAGACGAAGCAGAGATGTGTTCAGCGTTAACGTTCACCTCTCGAACCCACCAAAGGCTTATTTTTATTTGGACACTCGGACACAGCGTGCTTGTGGAGCGTGCTTGTGGAACGGGTAGGACGGTCGGCGTATTCGTACCCTGTGGACGTCCCCTGTGAATAGAAGCCCACGGCAGAACCATCATGCCATCTGGCATTGGCGCTGGGGTTCTAGTCATTCGGCCCAAACAAATCCCCCGTGAGTTCCAAGTATGTACACGATATCGACGGTTATCTGGGTGTTATATGCTCTCCTTCCGGTAAAACACTATATTGCCCAACTACGTCGCCTAAGTGGATCGAAACTTGCAGGGGCTCGGAGGCCAAACCTGCGTACTGCGGTATTAGGGTGCGTCAACTCCGTTCAAACCCAGTTTCCCCAATCCCTGCCTCATGTCCTTCATTTATAGCTGGTCCAGAACATCAAAGCTGTCATTCCACAGACGCCCAAGGTCCTCGTGAACGAAAGTCAGCGTCTCATTGGCGTGATAGGCAGCCTGACTGCCTGGGATGTCTTCTATATGTATTCGTATCTGGACGCTGTTCTCGATATAGGGTCCCCAGAGATGGCGACATGGCAAGCCATATAAAGCCCAGCAGTTCGACTATCCTCTACGACATTCCAACGTCTTCCAACCATTCCTAGCGTACCTACGATGTCGCGCTGGTTTTCCAGAGAACCTGCCCCTCCTTCGGAGATATCCTCTCAAGTCGACGCGACTTTCGACGACGACACAGGTGACACTGCCGGCGCTCGTGCGGAACCTCTCCCAGTCCCTTCCCTCAAGGTCAAGCGCGTCGATTATTATTACAACCGCTGGACGAGGTCATGGAAGTACAAGGTGAGCTAATTTTCGTGATCATTCAAAGGATGGTCCTGACCGTGCTCACACTTCAGAACATGGGCTCGAAAGTTGTGGTCGAAACTCTTCCTGTCACGCACAGCGGGGGCAGCAACGACGAATGGAAGGAGTTCAGCTTCGTGTAAGAATGAAGAGTTTTGCGTGCGAGGATGCAACCTTTGCTGACTTGGATCTGTGCCAGCCTCGTCCGGACCCTGGCACGCAACAATGAGGAGCCCGAGTTGAAGCTGGTCATCAAGAGCGAGTACGTCCTCAAAGCCTGCAAGGATGTTATCCGATCCTGGCCTGGCGTCTCATGGAATTCGAATCCTCTTCAGGTGCGCCCTGCTTTTAGGCATACGACCTCTTACTTACCGGTCGACAGTTGGACCCAGACGTCCTCATCACATTTTACAATCAATTCCTTGAGTACGTAAAAGCCCTTGAGGAGAAGGAGAAGAGGACCCAGCAAGAAGAATACATGCTCTCCTCCGTGAACCTACTCACGAAATCCCTCGCGACCGACTTCCGTGTTACCCTTGCTCAAATCGAACACCTCACAAAGTTTGGAGAAATTACGTTCCCGCTCCTCTTTGCCATCCTCGTCCCACGATGCCTTATGGTCGCCCGCTGCTCCATCGCTGATCTTCCGCGAGTGTTCCAGTTGATGTCGTGGAATCGCGTTTGCATCGAGGGAAAGCCAGGGTACCAACTCGCTCTGGAAAGCGTGGATCTTGTCGACCTGCCTGTTACCCAGACCGTCGTTATCGGTCGGGTGAGGACCCAGGTCAAGATTATGGCGTTTGGTGGGACGATCAAAATCGACTCGCTGGATGCTTATCCTCTCCAATTCCACCACGATGTTGAGGGTCTTAAGAAGAATCTCCTGGAGCGTGGCAGGAAGTGGGCCAGCTTGATTGGGATGCATCACAAGCAATACGACGGGATTGCGGCCACGACTTGGGGGTGTGGAGACAGGCACAATGTATGTCGTTACTGCTGCTATTTCTTCGGAGTGTGTTTGAAGACCGTCGCCCACCTCTCCACAGGTTCATAGCAAGATTATGGTCGATAGAGGTACCTTCAAGCGGCTTAATCCTAGTTATGTGTTCCCTCAAGCCGTGCCTCCAAAGAAGGAGAAAGTCAGTGGCGTCTCTTCAAAACGGTTTGGCCCTAGTGTTCCCATAGATGATTGGTCGGCGATGCCGCCGATGCACGACTTCGGTTGGTTTGGTCCTTTTAATATCATCTTAGGGGGGTATAATTTCTTTCATCGCAGATCAAGTGAGGTATCAGACACAGAACATGTCAATAAGCGCAGGCGAGGCTGTGTTGCGAGTTGAACTCTCCGAAGACGAGCTCCTCCTAACACCGACTCTCGTCTACGGGTTCAGCCTCTCGGACAAGCTATGGCGTGCGCATTCCCTCTTGTCCCGCTTTTTCATCGTTCTTATTATAGGCTGTAGTCCAATTCAACGTTGAGAAAATCATGGACATCGAATGGAATGAGAATGCCTTCGCCAACCTCGTACTGCCCGAGCAGCGGAAAACCCTCCTTCAATCATTGGTTGAGGCGCATCACAAGGAGATTCACTTCGATGACTTCATCAAAGGAAAAGGAAAAGGACTCGTTGTGAACCTTTTCGGTCCGCCCGGAGTTGGGAAGACCTTCTCCGCCGAAGCCACCAGCGAACACGTCCGCAGTCCCTTATACGTTGTTGGCGGTGGTGATCTTGGAACGACGCCCGGGGTCCTGGATGAGAAGCTCCAGACTATATTCGACGTCGCCACGGCGTGGAGAGCGATCGTTCTCATCGACGAAGCTGATGTTTTCCTTGAACGACGTTCGCTCCATGATTTGCACCGGAATGCCATGGTTGCAGTCTTGTGAGTTCTGCCATGCACTGTTTTACCTATCTTCGCAACACTGATTAATTGCCTTGCAAGCCTCCGTCACGTCGAGTACTACCGCGGCATTCTTTTCCTCACAACCAACCGAGTCACAGCCTTCGACGAGGCGTTCCTGTCGCGCATTCACGTCGCGCTCCACTTCAGCGAGCTCTCTCAGCACTCGAAGGAGCAAGTTTGGACGGCCTTCATCAAGAAGATGGGCTCAGCTGTCGAGGAGCTAACCAAAGAGCAGGTCTCGGAGCTCGCTACGCGTCGTATCAACGGAAGACAGATCAAGAACGCGGCTAGAATAGCACATTCACTTGCCGTCTCCCGAGGGGAGAAAGTGAAGTTTGAGCACTTGACGCTGACACTCGATGCGATGGAGGATTTTACAAATGAGTTCGAGAGATGCAATTTGGTTTGAGCAAGCAAGAGTAGAAATTCTCGTATCATGTCACAGCATTTGTCTCCTGTACCTCTAGCTCCTCGATGACCCTTCATGTACCAATACCCATTCCCACAATGGAACTCCCTGTTTGTGTTTTGCTCAGGAGCATACAGTAAATGTTTGGGTAACTGTGATAGTCAATTCGTCGACTGCCTATACTTGAGGGCTAATGTTAACGCACTTGTTGTGGGCAACGCTGTAGTTATTGTCCAGCAGCTACCCGTTGGATTGATTGTATCAGTCCCCGTTCCTGCTGGCAGCGGAATCGCTGGAGTTGGCACACTATATGCAGTGGTTATGGTCAGAGGTAGAATAGTCGTCGCCACAGAGGCTGCCTGTGTTCATGCTGTCAACGGCAAACAGAATGAGTGAGTTGTCGTGAACATACCGACGAGGAAGCATAAAGCGCAACCAGCGCCAAAAGAGAAAGAGGACGGAAAGGAGAGATCATCACGATGCTGCATCCCCAGTGTTGGCGAAGTAGCTCTTATACTTGAAGGATCTCAGGAACCCGAATCGGAGTCTCTTCGGTACTTGTCTTCGTCGGTCGGTGACAGTCATCTGACAGGATACGAGTTTCGGCTCAGCTGCTGATAAGTACTTAGTCCTGACACACTTGTTCTAAGTGGTGAAACCTGTGAAGTGAAAAGGGGCTTCAATAAGCGAATGGAGTCTCGCGTTAAGGCCATTTTTGGATAATGCGCCACATTGATCAGCAAAGGGGAATTTGACACGAAATCCGGTGCTTTCAGACCCCTCAGGTTCAGGATAATCTCTGACGTAGTATACAAGTAAACATGTGCATCTTGTTGCTGAAGACTATCTTGGCGAAGGCGGCTCTTAGTGGCCGATGACATACGACAGGCATCCGCGCTGATGACGGACGAATTCGTTCGTTGACAGTGGGGGGAATTGACGCTGACGCATGTCCATATGTCCAGGAATCCGCGAGAGGGCTCACCTCGTTAATTTTCGTACACTGAGGCTTCGTGCTACATCGGCAGGCGGCAGGACGAAAGTATCTCCACACTCCACACTACCACCACTGTGAAATGTCGCTGGTTGGAGAGGCCGCGGAGTCGTATACGTCGTCGTTCAGCAGTTCATGGGCAGAAAACGCGTCCGTGGTGGATGTAGGGTTAAGAACTGTGGGTGAACCACAGTCGAGGCGCCTGGCGTTTTTTGGGGTGGGATAGCGTTTGCCCTCTTTATAGTAGAACGCAAATCAGAACGCAACGTACAGTACAAAACCATAAAACGGACAAGGCAGAGGACGTTCAGTAGCAAGCGCCTGGAGGACAAGGAACAGCAGAAGGCTGCCTCTCGTTTCCGATGCCCACCTATTGGTCGTAGTCCACGAGTTGATTTAGTCCATCTTCTGTCCTTACACCTTCGTCAAAGAGAAGGCATCTACGAGTTCAAATAGCGCTTCGTCTGGATGCAACTCGGAAAATCGAATGACACCTCGCGGATAGTCACGGAGTTGAAGATTTTCGTTGGGATAGTGTAAAACAACGCTTAATCAAATTACTCTATTGAATGATTCGGTATTCCTCGCATCCCTCATTCATGACTAACCATTCTCAACGACACTACAATCCATGTCACTGCCTCATGTACAGACAGTCAGCGTCCTCGCAGTTTTCGCCGGCTGACACTGGGAGTACCACTATCGTGTCATGGACTCAGCTGCTTAACCTGAACAAGCGTTGAACCAAACGTACGTCGTTGATATACTCGCACGTCAGCCCAGACGCACAGATGGACGGACCGGAGAAACCCTTGCCGCCGCATTGGCCCCACTGTAGGATCATATTCAGTCAAATCGTCTCGGAACAGCGGAGAGGAGGGAATAAAGTTTACAACAGGCACAGTACCGGTCTCGGCTGGCGGAGGAGCAAAAGTGACAGTCGTCAGCCAGCAGCTGACCCCAGGGTACGTGGTGCTCTCTGGCGGCGAAGACGTAGGCGTCGCAGGCGGTGGCGAGCTGGAAGTAATCGTCACCGGCGTCGTCGGTTGAGAGGCTGTCGGTACGGGTGGGCCCAGCGTTATAGGAGGGATCTTGACCTAGAGTAGAAAGTCTAATCGGTTAGAATGCGTCCTAAGAGCTAACTGCTTACCTGAGAAGCGGCCCGCCCGACAAGCACTGCAACAACGACTAAGAAAGCTTTGTAAGAGAACATTGGTTTCCGTGAAACGTCAGCAAGGGACATTTCAATGAACGGGACAACACAACCCGCGAATATAAAGGACGGTGATCACTTACCGAATCAGAAGCGCCGACGTCAAAACCACTAAACCGTGCCTTAGAAAAGGCCGAGGTAAATTCTTACCAGAATAGATGGGCACATTTCGGAAGATCTGGCGGCGTTTGTTGTGGGTCAGGCGAAGCAACATCTGTCTTTCTGAGTTCGCCAAGCGTGCTTGGGGTTCTGGGTTGTGGTTTAGCATGGCCGCGAATGAGAAGCTAGAGAGATAAGTATCTCACTCAATAACTGACGGCGTATATTTTTCACGCCGATGGACTGTCGAGCATCCCTGTGACTGTTCGCGGGCTTGATCGACCTTTAAAACACGAGGCCAGCGGGGAAGGGGCGGGTCAATGTCGTTGCATGGATCAGCATCAACACCCGGCCGACGCTCAAGATGAGGGATTCATCGCTGCATCACAATGCGTCAATGTTGTCACCCACACTCTGAATCCATGCTTGAAGACAAGCGAACCTTGTAGCCCATAGGCAACGACGCCCTGCCGAACAGGCCAATTGACAATTCCCCTTCCGCCATCTTCCATCGCTGCCTTCATCTGTTCGGCCAAACCTTCGGGTTCGCCAAACTCTGTTCCTGGAACGGTGCTGCCTTGGTTGCGCATATGCTTCGTCATGCGAGTGTCGATGAACCCTGGTTGAACAGTAATGACATCCACGCCGGTCGGAGCAGCCAAGATACGGAGAGAAGTACAGAAATTATTGACAAATGCCTTTGTCGATGCATAGGATATCATGTTCGCTGGGCTGTACAGGCCGGCAATCGAGCCTACGACGCACTAAGGGATTATATTGAGAATGTGAACAAGAATTAATTGGAGCTACGCACAATTTTGCCGTACCCGCGACCTTTCATGAGGTCATACATCGATAGGACGGAAGCTACGGTGCCGGCGACGTTGACGCTGATCATTTCCCCAGTAATGTCCTACAGCAAGTAGTCAACACCTCAATAATGTTTTCTTCAAAAGACAACGTACCAAGCCCCAAACGCCATGATCCTTGACGTGATTCGAAATACCACTAACTTCGTACACGTGGCTAAATGGACCATACTGCCTGTCCAAGGACTTGATAGCTTCGGAAACTTGCTTTCGCGTCCCAGAAAGGTCAAGTTCGGCGCACCGAAGATCAGCAACAGTGTCGCCTAACTCGATGGCCATGCTCCTAACAGTTTCTGCAAGAAAATGTCAACAAGACGAAATCAAAAGTGAATATATGCGCATTTATGCACGTAAAATGTCGCAAAAAAGTCGTATTCACCAATTGAACGTGAAGTAGCGACGATGGCAGTGTCCGGCTCGTCGATGTATTGCTTGAGGATGTTGAATCCGATCCCGCGCGAAGCGCCAATGATGAGGACGGCTTTCTTTGTCTCGGTCTCAGGCATAGAAAGCTTGTCGATCGGGATGAAGAACCGAGTCATGGACAACGGTAACACTACGCAGAGCGTGAAAAAGAAAGATGCCATGGCGAAGGTCATCGCCGAGATGGATATCCACATGTTCTGGATGGTGTACGAGACGGAGGGTATCTGGCGTGGCGAAAGCTTGGTGATATCGACCTCTGGCATTTTCGTAGCAGATTTTCCCATGGCTGTGAGCGATATGAACGGCGTGGATGGGTGATGGTTGAAGGAAAAGGATAAAAAGAACGTGAAAGTTTGCTGGCGTCGTTTTTTGTAGCTTTCGTAAGGTCGATCGATCGAGGGAGGTGACATCACGCGTCTTTTGAGCCAGTCGACAATTCTTCAACTATCTTGAGGTTCGAATGCGCGATTTGACGGCAGGAGAATGGAAAGTTTACAAACAACTTGGTGGTTGTTGCATCTGCCCAGGTGCCTAGAGAGGTGAAGGATGCTCCTGAGCAACCCATATCGGAGTATTCGGTACATTCACGAGGATTCTATGAAGGAGAACGGTCAAGGAGGGAGCCCTGCCGTCTTGTAAGATGCCTTTCGCATTTGCCCTATGGACTATAGTTAGCATACGGATGAACAAGTCGGATTCACTGGCAATTTCTGACCTCATACCAGCCGCAGGATGTGAGTACAATAGAGGAATATATTACAGAGGACTTTGAACTCGCGGAGTGTTGGCAGAATGTGGTCAGGGAAGGAAAACCCAGAAGGGAGGACGGAAGAGTCGTCGACGATGGATGTGGTGGCTTTCTGCCGAGCGGCAATCATCGAAATTATTCCCACGGACTCGGAGGGAACTTAACATAGAGTTCCCACAGGCTCTCCTTTCTAACCTGCCTGAAGATGCCTCCAAAGCGATAAGAAGGTATTAACACCTACTCTAGTCATCCACTCCGGGGCGCGTTATCTCTCGTTTCCGTAAAATGCTCTAGCCTTCTGAGGCCGACTAGGTTGAGTCCCATTTCTGAACTCTCAAACAGCAGTCTTCCTGGTTGTCCTGAAAGCTAGCAGGCTTTCTCTGTTGATGCTTGTCGGACAGTCTCGAAGACGTTCTCTTATGTGTCCCATGGTTCTGTCCCAAAGGTCCCAGTTCTGACGGAAGTGCCTATCCGACTCGGGGTCAGCAGTTCGATTTCTATCACCGACACCTCTTGGTTCCTGTGAGGCTATATTCTAGTCCTTCCACCTCTTCAGTTTGAAAATCCCTCCTTCACCCCGTGGCACAGGCCCTCGACAGCTCATTCCGAGGTCCACCCTGTTTGACAGAGGTCTATCATTGATCTCCGTTATCCAGCCCCACTGTGCACTCACGCCAAGAAGTGGATGATCCAATTAACGGGAGAGGCTTCCTCCGAATGTGATCCAGAAGCTATATATAAGCCCTGAAGCTGGTAGAACGGACGAACATTCGAATTCCAATGTCTGCCAACTTCAAATTCCTCGTTGCTCTCCTCTTCTTGTTGGCGTCGACTGTAAGTTTTATCCCTCTCTTCTCAGTCTAATTTCTTGATACTTGTGCCCTATTAATTACAGAACGCCGCGACTATCCCGCCCGTCGTACAGACCACAAGTACAGTCGTATTTCCAACCTACAGCTATACGACAGCAGCACCGCCTCCGGCTGGGACAACCGTTGTGAGTATCTTAAATATTCCTCTATACTATACCCGACCTTACACCCACTGAAGTACCCGGGAAGCCCTCCATACGAAGGCGGTAGGACCTATTACCTGAGCTACCGAGAACATATTTAATGCTTATGCTCACAATTTGACAGGCACGACCACCTGCATAACCTCGTGGTTATAGTTCACGCGTTGTCTTAGTATCGCAATAAACAATATACCTTATCTCCTATCCTCAAATTTGACGGAATTCTGGTTCAGCAAACCACTTATACAAGATCGCTGCATATGCGTATGAAGCGGAAATATACCTCGCGAAAGGTCCATGATGACAACGCCTCTCACTCCTCCGACTCCAATAATTCCTTGTTTCCTCTTCTTATGCTTCCCAACTGAACCCTCGAACGGCAGTCCCTCGGAGGTCATCGTCGGGCCCAGATCGTCCGCCTGACGGCCTAAATAAAGCCTGAATCGATATGATCAAGCCCAATACAAGGAGCAATGGGACCCGCTTCTGGAGGTATCAACAAGAGCGAGGAATAGGATGGCGAAGCACGACGTGCTCTCATCTTGCAACTCGTCTGGTAGTTCCTCTAGAGTCTAGTCGGGAGGGTGGGTGCGCGAATGCGGTGATAGCGCCTGTGTCCATGAGAGCTGGTGACGCCGACGTCTGAAGGAGACTAACAGAGCTGCGTCCTTGCCTCGAGTCTAGCTAACATTGGCGCTGGTTGTGGCTCTTTCAACAACGATGAGCAATGTGGGGGTGTCCAAGAGAGTAAATCAGGCGCTAAAGCTCGACCAAAAGGAGTATTGAGAGGGGAAAACGATAACGGCGCGGTTCATATTGTAGCGCAGCATCAATCTGTGATGTCGGTCAGAGTGTCGTCTGCACCAGGGCCTACTCACCAACGTCAATTTATTCGCTTATTTTTCCTCACGACGAACGTCGTCGGCTCCGCCTCCAGATGCCAGGCGTGTAGTCAAAGAAAAAAAAATCCTAGCAAGCACTGTCGTTTCCAACGGCGTAAAGAGATACCACTGTACGGTTGAGAAGTTGAACGAAGGGAGAAGAGTTGGATTTTTGGAAGGCTATTAGCGCGCCTTGACTCATAGATAGCCTTATTGGTGTTGTTCACCGGTATGTGACGAAGCGGAAGGTGAAATTTACATACTTTATAACAAGTGGGCTATAATAGCGGACTCCTTTCGAGAGCACATGGAGGCTGAGTTGGGGCGAGGGAGACAACAGGGAACAGCCCGGGCATCAAAGGAGCTGAAGATCTGGAAAGAGCCACGTGAGAGTAGGAGCATTGAATGTCTTATTTTCTCTTGTATGTTGACCCGGAGTAAAATGGAAAGCTAATGAAAGAAGAGGTGAAAAGGCCTTCCTTGTTGTGAAAGTAATGTGTCCCTTGCTTTAGATCTAATAATCCCGGAGTTAAAAACACCATCACTAAAAGATTTCACGTTCTCCTAGGAATAAATCTAAATATTTCTTACCACTCGTTGGATGGGGGTAACTTTATTCAAGCTTTACTGGTGGGTTTTTCGGGTAACAATCTGTCCATCGCGAAGTTTGTTGGCAATTATTTGCTATGACTTGAGAAAAAAAATTCCCCAAAGTTGAAACTGCCCGCGGGATGACCTAACTCGTGTGCTACGCGGTGATGGTGAAGATCTACATAGGTCTGGACCCGACGAGCGGCGCACCTACCTAATCAGGTGTAACGCATCAACGCAGCGCTCAGCGCTAAACCATTGACACAGCCACTAGACGCCGACGGTGTCCTTAATTACATTTTCGGCACTATAGATATCTATGCAAGACAAACGCGATAACGAGAAATAAAGGCATGAAAGAGCTGCTCCTTTCTAAGTACATATCCCTTTGTCTCTATAAGATAATATAAAGTGAAGTTACTATGCGCTCTGACTAGTGGCTGTTTATCCACTTCGTTACTGAGCTGAAATTTTGGTCATGGCGAGTCCGCTGAAGCAGAACATCCTTAACTTACACTACGGTCAGAGTCACGTCGCTCTGCTAGTGACGCACACTTACGTTCGCGAAGCAGATGCAGTCCAGTTTCTCTCCAGCACGGATCTCCGATCCCGAACGTGTTCACGCGACACGCAGAAAGCCACCCGAGAGCTGGCCCCTGAAGATGCGCTCAAATTGCTCTGGGAGAGGTCTGGTCAGGGTGGCACTCTCGCATATTGCCTTCCTTTGTCAAGTCTCCCGTCACGAGGCAGGTTCAACGCCCAGAACAATGAGCATGCCAAGCCTCTCGTGATCTGTCTCCATATGGGGAATATAGAGTCGCGCTTCCCTCGTATGTGCGCGTTGATACATCCTCTCTCGACTACGGCCACGCTCGACGCGCTTCTCCCTTCGCCGCTCCTTGACTGTCACGATGAATTTCGTTGCCTCCCTCTATAGCTTGTAAGTTCTTCCGTTCTTCGAGACACAAGGGGATCAGTCTGACACTAAGCTAATGATCCCATGTAGGTCCTCCAACCTCAATACGTCTCCCCAAGGCGTCTTGGATATCTTCCAGGAGACCATCTCCGTCGTCAGCGCCCAGCAGCCAGAGGTTCAACACGGTCTCGAGCTCGACGCCATGGCGTTCCGTCGCAAGAGGTCCAGAGATGAGACCTCGATCTCGACGCGTGCTTGCCACCGCCTCGATTCCCCCTTGGATCGCTCCTCCTCCACCTCCATCAACATCTATCCGTCGTCCACCTCATTCCATGTCGATGAATATCTCCTGCCAGATTCATCGACTCCTTCGAGCACATTATCAAGCCCGACCTTTGCCTCCGAGTCGCCATCCCAGTTATGGCTTCATCCATCCGTCGCGGCCTTCAACGACTACCCTCTCACTAGTATAAATCACCGACATCCGCGTGGTTCTACCACCTCTCCTCATGCACAGGCTGACCAGATTCTGACCCCGTTTGAGGCGACGCTCCGCCGTGCCACTGGCGAATTCAAGACGCCCGTTGGGCACCATCCTTCCAATGACTTTTTACTCGGATTACAGTGGGAAGACACGATTTCGGACCATAGTGCTGGACTCGTTCAACTGCCTGTGGGTCCTGTACACGATGGAAGTTGGGATACACCAACCATACTCAAGGATCACCTTCCTGGCCCTGGGTGGAACGACCACACTGCGATAAGTTGGGATGTGAACGACGAAGGACTCTTACCACCTCGCTTCGTCCCGAACGGAATCGATCTTCACTATTCCACTTCTTCCGGCGAATCTTACGAGGTTTGTTCGCCTTATTCTACAAGTAGCCAACCTTCGTCTTCCACGACTTCTTTGGCGCGAGATTCGGGGGAGACAGAACAGGCCCTGCCACTCATTCTACCGAATAGTCAAGAGCGAAGTATGAACAAGTCACATAAGAGCGGTCATCATATACAGGCGGGCACAGTTCAGCTCGTGTACCCTCCTACCTGGGTGTCTTTGGCAGCATCTTTGGCCTCTTCGAGCCCTGTAATCGTCACTTGCCGTCTTCTGACGAATTTGCCGACTCAGGCTCTAGCACCCGGACCGTCGATGTTTGCAGCTCAAATTCACGAATGTGGGGCACTTATCAACACCGTCGAAGCATTCATCGCCCATATGGAAGCGCATATTGGAAAGAAGCGTCGAAAGGGTGGTAACAGTGCACGCTTTCGCTGCACCTGGAACGGATGCCGTACTACTCACCAGGTTTTCGACGAGGGTGGATATCATCGCCATCTAGAACAACATGGCCTTCGGTGGCACTGCCCTCATCTCAATTGTGACTTCGCAATCGGAAGACGCGACTGCCTGCTCGAGCATCTGAAGAAAGTTCATTCAGCGGAGGAAAAAGATGCGCTGAAGAGAATCAAGAATCGGATGGTCTTTGCGAGATTGTACACCGGCACATAATCTAAATATTAGAGATGATAATACTCTATCATTTATACTATATCCTTATTTTCTGTATGTATTTCTTCTGTTGTGGTCTCAATTCCAATGTTACACTTTGTCCTCAAATTTTCTTGAGTACCGGGATTCGAATAACTACCTGGAACATGTTGGCAGTGAAATTGGTGCTGATATACTTTGTGACTCTTTATCTTGATGATTACTTCGTGTACGTATTTCCATATCGACTCTAGCGCTATGTCGAGGGGTTTATTTCTTGCATTCTACAGAAGGGGATGCGATACGATTGTCTTGCCCCACATTTCCCCAGTTTTAACACCGCCGGCACAGCATTCCAAATAAATGAGCCTGAGATATCAATAAAGTTCTTGAATAGCATCTCTCAGCGATCGCGTGGATGCTCGTGGCGGTGTGCCTTGATGCCTTCAAAAAATTTCAAATCACTCTTCGAGTGGAGCCCCGAAGGCGGACAGTCGACGATTATGCGCGGCCTGAACATGATGGCGTAAGCCAGACGAAGAGGACGTCAGAGATCCGAGTTCTTATCTCTCCTACAACGTGGCGTAGGGCACTAGTGAAACACGAACTCTAACCAACGTCGACCCCATGGAGCTAAACTTGCCTTGGTTGAGGCAAATTATGGGATCGTCTAGCTCGGGCCTCCTCCAAGAGGTTCAGATATCGATTGCCACTCGTGTCGGAAATAACTTGATTTGATGGTCATTTGCGGCATCGATCCGTCGATCCGTCGATCGAGAATGTGTTGTAATCCTGTCAGGAATATGAGAGGAGACGTCCGAATCCTTGATACAGCCCGTGTGTCACCGCCGGTGAAGGAGGATGCTTGGCATCAGAAGCCGACGGGAATCGCCGCGATGAGGCGCACTTTCCAAGTTGGGAGCGACGAACGCGAGGACGTGCGGCACAGCCATGAGGCCTTGAACCTTTATCGTTACGAATAAAGGTATGAATCGCGATAGTTCCTTCCAAATGACAACGCCCTTTGTCTCTAGGATAAGATATATATTCGAAGAGACTCCGTTTTCGCTATCTGTTCCTCTCGTCATCTCTCGTCCATCATGCGGTGACCCTTTTGATTCATGACCACTCGATCTTCACTTAGTCGAAATGCGCAATACAAGTAAGTATTATAGACTGTGAAGTCAGTTATTTATTCACGTTCACGACGCAGATGCAGTTCAGCTTCTCTATCGAACACCAGCCGATCGTATTCACACGGCGTAAGCACAGTCGCCCCCGCTGGCCCGTGAAGAGATGCTCAAGTTCTCTGCCCTCATTCTGGTCAGGGTCGTCCGCTCGCGCGTTGCCCTCCTTTGTCAAATCCCTCGGCACGAGGCAGGTCCGACGCGCAGAACAATGCGCATGCCAAGCCTCTCATTATTTGTGCCTATATGGGGAATCCGGCTAGTGGGATCTAATCGCACCGTCTTCACGTTCGCGCGCTGTGGAAAACGAAGACCAAGCCCGTCTCGCTCTTACTCCCGTCTTTGACGCGTCTTCTACTCTGGCGTAACCCTCCTTCATCTTCATGGAGTTCTTCGCGTCACTCCATAGCTTGTAAGCCACTCATGATCCTCTTATACGTAAACGCCCTCGGGCTAAACGCTGGACCCATTTCAACTTAGGTCGTCTCACCTGGGAACATCCCCTGGTGACCTGCTGGATATCTTCGGTGCCACAATTTCCGTGGTCAAACACCAACAGAACCTCCAACACACAAACAATACAAAAGCCATGGTTGAGATCTTCGATGAATTTCAGCGCTTGATTCGACCTACTCAAGATGCTCCAGGCTTTCTCGAACCTCTCAACACTTCGTCAGCGTTCTATCACCTTGGACCATTCTCCACAACTGTTCCTACAGAGCAAAAGCCTCCAAACCCCCTTGTATCGACGCACTCCTACTCGAAAGAGTTCTCTGGATACCCGTTCGTGCCTCATTCACAGCAGTGGCATTTGGTTCCACCACATCATCCCGACGTATGGGGTGGTCCACACGCACCCATTAACAGGTTCCCTGACCTCCACGGCGTCGGTACTTTCTCATATACAGCAGCCCATTCTGTGCGGTTCTTTTCCGCTGATCGACACAAACTCATACCATGCCACCGCTAACTTAGTCAACACGTCCATCAGCTCTCCGGTACACGTTCTGGAGCTCGCGGATTGGCATGTTTCTGGACAAGAGCCTGGATCCACCTGCGAGGTTATGCAAACGTTCGTATTCCCTCAAGGTTCCAGCACTCATGACGACGTTTCGTCTCCGTTTCAGCGCCACGGAAAAGCCGCTCGTCACTACGCCTCCCGCGACTATGCCTCCCGCGACTATGCCTCCTGCGATTTGAATGCAGAAGCTTACGAACAACCTTCAGCGACCACCGCGAACGACCTCTATTACACGGCTCTCATACCTGGATACGCCAGTAGCAATGCTTCGTCGTCTTCGAGTCCGCTTACAGGCAATTCGGAAGAGACCACAGTACCTGCAATACCCTTTGGGCCTCCTAGGAGAAAGGGGCGAAGGAGCAAGAAGCGTGGTGGCAACAATTCGACCACGACAATGTATCCTGACACCTGGGTACCTCTGGCAGTCATCAAATCTCGGTCTAGTGGGGTTACGGTTACCTGCCGCCTGACTGCGGGGGCGGGAAACGCTGGACATGGACAAGTAGTCGGGCCGTCCGCAAAAACACCTCAGCCTCAGCAATGTGGGGCGGTACTTAACACTGCCAGCGATTTTCTCAGACACATAGCAGCCGACCACACCGGGGAGAAGCGTCGGAGGGGTCCAGGAAGCCCAAGGTTTCACTGCACTTGGAACGGCTGCCGCTACACTTATAAAAGCTTTGATGAAGCAGACTATCATCGACACTTGATCCAGCACGGTGTCCATTGGAAGTGCCCTCGCACCGAGTGCAGGTCTATTCTAAACCGATATGATACTTTCCAGGTTCACATGGGCAAAGTTCACTCCAAGGAAGAAAGAACTTTTTTGGAGAGCTTCGAGGATGAGGCAACGTTTGCAAGGCTGCACATTCATACCTAATTGATAATCATTGTATTACCTTGCATTCTATCCTCCTTTTTGTGCATATAGTCCTTGTATAGATCAGACTATTGTTACGTCAACAATCCATTATCTTGATACCGACGCGAACGGAAGCAATCTCAACGATTTTCATGCGCCACGTTTTCCTAGTTTGACGCAGGACGCCGCCGGCTATCACGAAATCATATTAAGCACTTGACAGCCGAGAACGGCCCACGGAATGGGCCTGAGAGACGATTTTTCGATACAAAGAAGTCTTTTATCACGCCCTTCGTACATAGCCAGGAGTGGTCATGGGTACAACCCTTCAGCCGCCTTTGATGATGACAAACACCTTTGTTCTAGGGAATGTGCATATAGTCCCTAGGCCTTGCGTCGTGTTATTTCTTCATAACTCCCAGTCGCCTCCTCGCCTTCTCGTCCTTTACGATGTATACATCTAGTCAGCTGTGGGTATTATTATGAGGGTGGCTCGCGTTCTGATTTGTTGGCAGGCATCCACTGGGCACTCAATATGCAGACCAGCTTCTCTACCGACGTTCCGATGACTCCAAAAGGAAGTCCTCAATTTCGCGGTATAAGCCGCTGCGTCCTCACCGACTCTTCACTCAACGGATCCTTGCCCAGTGGCACCACGGGAGCCGAACAAGAAACCGGAGGTATCGCGGTGCGCTTATCCTACCAATCGCGCTCGTGCAAGGTACGCACCGCATTGGCTCAAGTACCGGAAAGCCACATTGACATAATTTACAGTTCGCTTGGTTTCCTTTGTTTCGTTAGGGGGAGGCGTCGTAAGCTTAGACACCGACGCGCGTGCGCAGTGCGCTCAACTGCCTCATTTGGTAGTCGGAATGCCAAAAGCGGGGGGCCGTCGCTGGTATAAAGTCCAGTGATGGCCGCTTGGGTTGGGTATCGTATTATTTCCCCGACTTCCGCTTACCACATTGAAACGCCATGAACCAGTACGTGTGTCTCCTCCCCGCGACTACAAGCTCTAATCAAGCCGCCAACAGCGAGTACAACGAGTTCTATACACCCGAAGTCGCTCAATGGTGCGTTCATACTTCTCATTCGATCATGTAGCTGGTCCTGACGCTGGTTGCTGAATAGGCTCGCCGACAATGCAGCTATGAACAGCCTCCATCCGACTGTCGTTCCTCTTCCTCATCAGGCGAGTCGGGAGATTAACCTCGTCTCACGACAACACGGGACGACCTCCCGTAGCTACCATTTCAATCCATACTCTATGGCCAGTCGCACCGGACGTCTTCTTCGCCGAAGCCCAACGGCCTTGTGGGTAGGCGGTCAGCGAGGGTTCGAGTGCTCGGCGTCACGAGCCTTCCACCCGCAAGGACTCCAATCCATCGGACCGACTATAGGCGCACACACAGGGCCATCGACAGTTTACGCAGGCAGCTCCTCCCTTCCCCTCTTAGGTGGTTATCCCAACTATGCAACTTCAAACGGCGACAGCTCGACAGCTCGGCTCTGTGCAACGCCTTGCCTGGACATCCAACAGGACCCCCACCCATCATGGATTCCTTTCATTCAACCGGCACCCCAGCACAGTCTTCAGAACCCTTCAGCTACATCTGGGACGGCTCACTCGGTCGTCCACTCCCCTGGATGTGGACAGTTGTCGGCTTCGTCTTCTCGGGTCGCATCTTGGCCCGAAATTGAGCCTTCTCCAAGCCCAGTACTCGATGACGGGCATCATGCGTCCCATTTGCCGATCTTTACGCCTCGTCCTACCCCGGCGCCTACACCCAACATCTCCGCTGATCCCTCCGAGGGTGATTTCAGCGAGGCTGGTCCTTCATCTCGGCCTCTGGAAAGCCTCCGCCGGCCTGTCTCTATCACCACTGATGGTCGCTCATCTTCATCGAGCTCGTCTCCAGACGTCCAAAGAACCTCTACCATGGAGGTTGCTGAGCCCTCCGGCGTAGAGGAGGATACGGGAGTATCCACAGAACGGGCCTGGTTTTCGCCAGAGGAATTCGCGGAGAACCACACTTGGAACATCCTTTGCCGCCTGGCAAGGGACTCGAAGACGAGAGGGCTCTTCGACGCGACTGGTACGGCGCTGGACCCTACTATCAACCAGAGCGTCGAGTGCGGAGAAGTCTTTGAGGACCCCGCTGCCTTCGTGCAGCACCTTGAACGCCATCATCGCGTAACGAACGCGAAGCATGGCCAGAACGGGAACTCCAAGTGTGCTTGGGGGAGGTGCACCAGCGAAATGACGGTGGGGAGTTACCACCGCCATGTCACAGAGAAGCACGCGATGCACTGGCGCTGTCCGTACAAGGAGTGCACGGAGCGCCAGATTCGTAAGGGCGTCAACAGGACAATTGGGGGGACTGTACAGTCGTACGCGAGAATAAACCTTCTGGAGAACCACATCCGGAGTCACCACTCAAGCGACGACTTGGTGACGATGAAGGCGGCGTACGGAGATGGGTGGAAACTTGCGTACGCGGTGCTGACTCCGCAGATTGGAGGTGTCCCTGAGAGCGGATAGATTGGGCCAAGTTCAAGTCGTAATGATAGAGGAATATAAGACCACTTAGATTAATGTCAGCAGTATTGTTTAATGAACAAATCTTTACACGACGTGCCTATCGAATCTCCTCACCTGGGTCACTTCCCGACCTTCCCTATGTTCTCTGCTGACAAGAGGTTGGCAGCTGTCGCAGCGCTCTCCTGATGCCGCAGAACCTGGTCAAAAAATCTCTTCAGACTTTGCTGCGTCCTTTCCGTGAGTTGTTGTTCGGTTGGCACCGGTGGTATCCCTCCTGGCGAGGTGGGTCCTGGGAGGACTGGCAATGCGCCGACACCCGATGAACGCATGATATCGATTGTCAGCTCGAGGATCTGCTTCAGAGTGCTTATATCGGCTGTAAAGGCGTAAACGAAGTTCGATGGTGAAAATAAGACCTATCGCACCTTTCGTATGGGCTGGACAATTCCCAGCCTGGTATGCATTCTGGCTGCATGATGAGGTGAACAATGATCTTCATATCATATCAAAGCACGTACATTCCAGAAAGCACCCTCCTCGCACACGATTGTAGCTGAATGACCTGCTCCTGCACGTTTGCAATGCTTTGTCTGAAGACCTCCGGTGATGTTGGATCTGCGCCTTGTATCAGAGGGTCTTGGAGAGGAAGATAGGGTTGTTGTTGTGTCGGATTGAAATGTGGGCCAAATGTGGGAGGTTGGGCTCCCGTATCAAAATTATGCGCCGGATACATTGGCGTCAGCGTCGAATATTGCCAAGACTTGAAACCCACTTTTGATTGGCGGCGGCTCTGGGACCAAGCAACGGATAACCGGCCCGACGACAGGCGCTTGGCACGGTTTCGCAGTTCGTACAGAAGTAGCACAGAAGTAATTTTTTTTTTGAAAAGACGAATCGCTGATGTAGTCCCTAAATCTCATCTGATTTAAAGTCAACACATTAATCTTTGCATTTCGTCCAGCCTCTCGCCTCAAAGTCGCTTAACACATCTGTCAAAATATCTTCGAGGGTCGCATATTCCAATCCGAGAATTTTGCGACTCTTAGATCCATCATATAACGACACAAGCTTGAACTCAAGAGTCGAATTACCGCGTGGAAGAACTCCGGAGGTGTACAAGCTCGGATTAATCGTGTGGACCACGTGACCTATGACAGCATTAAGGGATTGAAAAGGTGGAAGGACGGAAGGGAACCATACGGGTTTCTTGCCAGGTAGTACCACCTAGAGAGTAGCCAAAGTGAGTGAACCAGCTTGCGCAAAAAAAATGCTCATTAGTTACCGGCCGAAGTTATAAACCTCTCGCCAGCCGCTTCAGCGACTTGAAGTGCCTTTACATGCGCTAAAGCGACGTCCCTGACGTGGGCGTAGCTGTAATTGGCCTTGAGTACTTCGTCACTCTTTTCCCGGAAGAGAGAGTCATATAGCATGGCAAGCGACGTATTCAGGCTGGCTGGGCTTGTCACTTCCTGGAGTGGGGGCTTGAAAGCGTTCGCAATTTTTTAGCACATGTTTCGCGAAATGCGAGAGGGTTACAAGTAGCACGTACCCCGAGCACCTAATTAGAGGGGATCAGAAATGGATATAAGAATTGTGAGGAGGGAAGCGCACAAATGGAGGCTGGAGAGTTACCAAATCCCACGCGATCTCCGCCTTGTGATCCTCGACGAATTTCCAGGCAGCTTTCTATGACCTCAGCTCAAAGAACAAACTATTCAAAGGGAAAAATCACACCTTTCTCAGCGAGACACTTTGATGCCCGATATTTCGCCATAAACGGAGCTTTCCTTCCGTCCTTCCTCACAATGTCGACAGATTGATCGGCCCAGTCCCTTTCCGTGAAGATATGCGTTGGCTTGTCAGGCGAATGGGCGATGTCGCGAGCAATTGCAGCGCAGGAGGAAGTAATAACAACGCGCTTTACGTTGGTCCTTCAAAAAGGGCAAGGTTAAGCCATGCAAGTCGATGGAAATAAATTCACGCACCCGAACTTCAGAGTGCTCTTTAGAACGCCTAGGGTCCCATTAACTGCTGGGTTGATTAATTCTGCAAAGACGATATTATTCGATCCGCATTATAAGTTCCATGGAATTATAGGACCAAAGCCTGAGGACAAATACCATTGGGGTCGTCCGTCGTGGCACTTAGAGGAGATGCCGTGTGCTCAATGGCGACGACGTTCTTCACGGCCTCGTCGAATGCACCTTCCTATTGAAGAGATTAGACGTTATTTGAAGTAAAAGGCAACTGGATTCGACGGCTCGCCTTGGCGATATCCTCAACGACTACCCATTCGAAGCGGTCCCCGTAACTTCCAAAGTATTCTCGCAACTTCTTCCCCTTTGCATAGGACCTAACAGCTCCACGCACAGCGTAGCCGTCTTCCAGAAGGGTGCGGATCACCCACATGCCGATGTATCCATTGGCGCCAGTAACGAGGACGCGAGGAGTGGTGGTAGAGCTAGATAAGACAGCAGGCATGTTTGTATTCAGGTTGAAGGAGACTATCGCTCGCGAGAGGCTTTTATACTGACGCACCTATGGTTTCGTGCCTCGGGGACGGCGGAGTTTGAGCGTTTCAGTTCAAGTCTCTGTCAGACGATCGGCAATTGCTTGCGTCATCCTTAGTGGTTGGTAGAACCTCTCGGCTGGCGGCTTTCATGGAAACCGGGACCGATCCTTCCCTCGTGGGCAGCGTTGACAGACCAACGCAGAAGCCCTCGTTAACGTTGGACTCGGATGCAATTCTTGAGTATGATGCCCAAGCTCTGCATTTTTTTGGATAACAGAAGCTATTACTAACCGACAACGTCTGGCAATTTAAACCTTTTATTTAATGGTCAACAATAATGTCTATATGGTGTGGCGAAGGTTGTTGGCGCTGCCGGATCAGCCAATACCACTGAGAGTGGGGTCTCCTATGCAATCGGAGAAAAGGGAGAGCTGAGGGCTGCAACATTCCATTGAAGGCCTCCCTTGCTTTCGTTGGGATCTCCATGTTGATAGGAACGGCGAAACCCAGTGCTGAAGCAATTTTGTCTAGGAAATTTCGATTGAAATATGTGAAAACTCTGCATTTCCAATCGTGATTGACGAGAAGACGGGCGACTCGGCCCACGGGGGTCAAAAGGAGGAATAAGCCTAAGACCGCCTGAGGGAGGCGGACTTCGATATATACTCTGTATGTCGGATTTTTCTACATTCCTATAACTGGTGCGCTGGTTCCCTGAATCTCATACTCGGAAGCAATCAATGAAAGAAGTTGGTGTGTGGCGTGTGGCGTTCGTGGCGTCCTAGAATCGACCTTCTTGCCCCGTTTGTTTCTAGCACGCGTTGATAGCGTTAGATTTAATGCCGATCAAATCTTGAGTAAAGCGAACACGACCCGATCGTGTCAAAAGTCAGGGTAGAACCCGAGCTTAAGAAGCGGTAACCCGGGCCGCGCGCTGCGCGCAGTTGTGTGGCGCACCGACGGCCTAAATTGGGTATTTCTCTCAACCGCGGCCGCGAAGCAGCCTTGGAGGTTGCAGAAAGTGCTAGTAAGATTAGTCATGAGAATAAGTCACGAATTTTGATCTTCCGAGTCGGCAAATAAGGACGGCGCCATTCGCGCTTTCTTTTTTTCTCGAAGCTAGCAATCAGAAGTTTGGTCTGACAAGGCATATTTCTGGATGCGGCGGTCGTATCCAGTGATTATAGCCCCATGGTATGGTGTGCTGCACTGGTTGGCGGAGGAATGCTACCTCTCTTTCCTGCGAATCAGGCACTCTTCATAAGGTCATAATCAAATGAGCTGTCTCATGCTTCCTGATAAATGGCAAATTGACACACGTTTGGAAGCCTTCTTCACCCTGGAACCCCATCGTATTCTGAGGGTTGATAGCGACGGTCGCGCATAGCTGCTCATCAGCTTCTCCCGTGCATTTCTCAGAGGCTTCGTTTCAGGGGCCAGACTTCTTTAATTTTGAGTGTCATGCAGACACTATTGACTCCATTTAGACATCGCCGAACAAGCAGTTAGTGCCTCACTATTCAGGTCCTCAATTTCAAGATCGGTTGTTCCTGGTAAAATATTTATTCTACTGATTGTTCCTCCAATAGGCTTCCATGCAATGCCTCGTCATCTCGATCTAGCGTGCATCAATACTTCGGTTGAAATTGGGAAGGGTTTCTTAAAAATAAACTAGACTCCGATCGTTATCTCGAAGGCTACGTCCCAAGGCTCCGAGACGGGCTGTTGTCATTCTAGCTCTACGGCGCCGTGAACGAACGTGAACAGTGACGCTGACTGCGGATCAGCATAGCATCCCTCGGTCATGCTTGAGGACTTCTGGAACTTCATTATAGAGGGAAGATACAGACAACTCGGAGACGATGATGCCCTATCAGCATGGCGCCTGCGTAAGCACTCTGGCAGATTGGAGAACGGCAGAGAGCGGCCGAAGTACACCTATCCGGATTCTAAGTACTATTTAACTTTGGAAACACACAATACACCGATAACTCACACAAAGAAGCCTATTCTTTAATTCTTATATTCTGATAGAACATTGAAAAGAAGACTGCGAAGCAGCGTCTCGTGTCGATTAAGGAAGCGTTGGCCTTAGCCCTAGCCCTTTTAAAAATTTCGTGGGATGGCAACTTCACGGTAACTCTAAAGACGCCTTTGGAGGTTAGATTAAACAGTAAATTAGAGAGAGTTGATAAATAGAGGGAAATGAGGTTTCAGCGAATCGATTGGAAAGTGTCACGGTGTGACTCAATCAGATTTGTTGCACGTGACCGTGACATTTCGTGGCAAGTTGGCTTATTGTCATGGTGGCAAACAGAATGTGGAAACAACTACCACCTTGAATTTCTAGGTTCCTTCAAAAATCCCTCTTGTTGCTCCAGATTCTCGATATACTCTTTCAAATCTCTCATGGGTGGACCAAAATATCCCAAAGTCGTCGGTAAGATCTGCCAATGTCGCATTAATCATGTAGACGCCAACACCAGACCTCATAGGCTACGAGCTCGTGAATGAGATTGGAGGAGGGGGATTCTCAATGTGAGTATCCGTTATCGTTGATCATGCAGATTTTGCATGCAGGATGTTGTTGCGACTGGGCGAGAAGATGTCGCCGATGTTGTGGAATTGCCTTTGTTTCTTCCGACTATCGCAGCTAGAAGGTATGGCGATGAGCTGGTGACAAATGAACACGTCATGGGGTGTATATCGCGGCTTCGCGTCATTTCTTCGGGCTGCCTCTCGTCTATTTGTTCGAGACGTCCTTCATATTGTTGACAACATATACCTTCTAGAGTTTTTCGAGCCGTCAACATCCCAGAACATCGGGTAGCAGCATGCAAACTCATCAAGCTCACCGAAGAAACAAGCGAGAAGGACCGCAAAAATATTGAGAAGGAGATGCGAGTGCACACGGCGTTGAAGCACAGACACGTCCTCGAGTTCCTAAACGCGGTCGTTGTTGAATTAAAGCATAAGGCGTCCTATGTCCCAGGAATCTACATGCTCTTAGAATTCGCTGGGGGTGGTGATTTGTTCGATAAGATTGGTTAGTTCCTCATCTACAGTTTGCCTGTGACACTAAAGTTAAGGTTCTACATTAGCCGCTGACGTCGGTGTGGGCGAGGAGGTCGCACATTTCTACTTCCTGCAACTGATATCGGGTATGGTGCGTAGAAACACTGCTTTCAGTGAATCGCTTTCCCATTCCCCCCCTGACAGCATTACATTCATTCCGAAGGCGTCTGTCATCGCGATCTTAAGCCTGAGAACCTTCTCCTCGACGTTGCGGGCAATCTCAAGATATCTGATTTCGGCCTTTCTTCTGTTTTTCGTTTGAAGGAGTCAGGGAAGACTCGTACGTTGACGGAGAGATGTGGCAGTCTGCCTTACGTTGCTCCAGAGGTACGTCGGTTCTTGGACCATCCCTGAAGAGGCTAATCTCGCTACCGAAGTTGAACAGCTCAGCACCATATCACGCGGAGCCAATTGACGTCTGGGGCGTCGGAGTTATTCTGTACACTCTTCTAGTCGGAAGTATGTTTGATCTCTCTCCCTCGATGTTTCGTTCTTTCTCATCACGACGCCCAGATACACCCTGGGATGAGCCTACAGCAAACAGCCCAGAGTTTCGGCGTTATGCGGCTGGAGCCGTTTTCCGGGAAGCACCTTGGAATCGAATAGGCCAGGAAGCCCTCTGTAAGCATGCTGCTCGTTAACCATGCCGTGCTGCTAAACCGGTTGCCTTAGCCCTGATTAGAGGGATTCTCACAATAGACCCGGCCGAACGGATGACGCTTGATGACGTTTTTCAACATCCTTGGTGCATCCGTCCCAGCCAGCTTGCCGATAACAATCCCGTCGAATTAGCAGATAGACTCATCCGGTCAATTCGAGACAACGGTGACTTACAGCTCGCAGCACCTGACCTGAATGCCCTGAAGTTGGTCATTTTATCCTTCCTTATTCTGATAACATTCTCACAACTTCGTCGACAGCAACCCCGACAATGGGATGGACGTCGATGAAGACGAGCCCATGCTCACCGCCTCGCATCAATCCCAGTTCACCCAATCGCTCATGCTCTTCTCTCAGACGCAGTCGGGGACTCGGTATACGCCACATCTAACGCGTTTCTACTCCTCCCTGGGCCCGTCCCTCCTCTTCCCCTTGGTCCATGAGGCTTTGGAGGCCTTGGGCGCCAGATGCAAGGTCGGGCCTTCCTTCACGAATGAGCGTGGAGGTGAGGTGCTGCGGTTGAGGATCGGTGGAAGGGATATGCGGCAGCAAGTCTTCAAGGGATGGGTGGAAGTCGAGAAATTTTCGTGGCGGAACGGGGAAGGGAGCTTCTGTGTCATGAAAAGAGACGAGGTCGGTGTTGCCTTGTTACCTATGGAGATGTGATTATCACCTTGATTGACTTCTGTCTCTTCATGTCAGGGAAACCCAATTTCGTGGAGACAATTGTGGAAGGCGCTCATTGCCTCGGCTCTCGTGGAACCACATGTTCTCCGCAAGTAACCAGGACTGATAATGACAGGTCTCCCGGCGTTTTGTCGCCTCCACCTGGACGATAACTTCAGACGCTCTAATCTGGCGCCTTTTGGAGTCGATTCCGAAGGTTCCATCCAGCCTAGGAATCGTGATTATTTATAGCCTGGTGTATACGCCATGCTTCTGCATATCCTCAGCATCTGTCCGTCTCTTTATCAATTTCCTTGTATCACCAGCATGTCTTCTATACCTGTGAACACCCTCGTTCTAATAGCATCGCTAGCCTGACACTGATTGGAATGAACCTGATTAGGATAGGAAAATTTGGTGACATTGAGGATGGGCGGTGTTATCTTCACCCTGTCACGCCTGTGCATTTCCGTATGTTTGGTTCGGGACGACATACTCATAATAGATTAATGCAGCGCATCGCTTCTTGGCGTAATCAAGCACTGGAGAGACCAAGGACCCAAAGGTCTTCTTCATCTCAAAGACCGACCTGTGTCATATGTTCATCTTGAGAACAAGGGCACGCTCTTTTGGATCTCCAGCCAGCGGCGATGGAGGTGATAGGCGGATACGACCATCTATGACGGAACCAATACCCCTGATCCCCACACTGCTCATGGAATAGACGCCCGCCAGATGCCAGAAATTTTCTCGAGCACGGGATATCAGATAAGTACAATAAACATGGTGTCGACCTCAAGTCGCCACCCTTGACGCTAATCCATTTTTATTACTTTCATAGAGAGAAGCATCACTGAAGTCAAAACCGATGATAGATCAATCTGTGAGCATATGCTTCCCCGCCGACTGTACCGATACCTCGTGGCTCTTGACAGTTCCGTTATGCGTGCCTCTGTGTCATGGGCTGGACTTGAGAGTGAGCGGCGCACCGAAATTAATGTAGGCGAGTGTAGAGTGGAGTCAATTGGTTCCCCTTGTTGCCTGTTGAAACACGGAGGAGGCTAGACAGAGCTCGACATGGCCCTGAAACGCTGGATACAGGGTTCCTTCGTGATGATGAAGAGAAGGACTACCTCCCACATGTCATCGATGACATCGCACTTCGGTAAGCGCTCGTGTGATTGTAATAAGATGTACAGAAAAAAGGTCTCGACTGACGAATCTACGGAGATTATTATAGGAGTACATGGATTTCCCGCTCTGCAGGTTCAATTGATACATTGAGAGAAGAAATTTTCGCGAATTGCAGCGTCACTTGAAACAGACGAGACGATTGGTGCTAACCAAGGCCTTCGCATCGCGGTCCCTCGAGTTGTGGCTTCTAACAAGATGCTCAACCAAGCGATCCGGGCGAGAGAATGCTCTCGCTGGTCCGCCTTGGCAGTCACGGTGTGGGCACACCCACTGGATGCAGTGTGTCTTGAGGTGGCGCAGGTAACTCCCCGCTGTCATATTTGCTGAGGGTCTGCAGCCTTTCCACGCGCAACTGCAGGGATCCGTCAGAGTGTGATTCTCAACGACACGATGAATGTCCTTGAGATGTTGAATTAACTGGTCGGGATGGGTGAGGTGTGCGTTGCAGAGGGGGTAGTCGTCCGTAACCGTCCTGCCCGCTATTCCGGAAGCAAGCGACCCTCTATAAAGCCGGCAGCGCATGACCTTTCCGTGCGCTTGCCGAAACTGCTCCTGGGTGATCAAGTCCTGACGTGGAAATTGCTGCGCTTCTGGAGCCGACCCGCCGGGGGGGAAAGCGTCGAAATGAAACCCTGTGGCGGGTGCGCCGTAGTCCAAGGGGTGGTAAAAAGAGGGATCGTTCAAAGAGCCATCGGAACTGCCAGTCAGGAAGTAGTTCGCTTGTTGCGACGATTGAGTGGCGGGGAATGCAGAAAAATTGTCAAAGCTGTAGCATAGGCCATTAGTGGAAGATTTGCTTGGAAGCTTCAGGATAACGGACTATGGAATGACATGCGATGCTCCTGGTGCAGGCATTGGTCGATTGTGCTCTACATTGCTCGAGCTATAATGATCGAGGACTTGAGGGGTCTGATCTAATCCCCACAGCGCTTCGTCTGCGTGGTAGCCTGGAATGGGATGGTGAAATCCGCCATAACCTTCAACCTGAAGGCCGGAAATTTGGTGGCCATGTAGCTCATGATAGTGCGGATTGAAGTGAAAATGTGCTGGACCAGAAGAGGTGGGTTCGTCTCCTCTCTCCTCTTCTAACGGGCTGCATTTGGTAGAATGATTAAACCTGTATACACCCGAAATAATGACAACCCTACCTGCGACGTCTGTTCGAGTTCTGGATAGGTACATGGTGTCCAGGCCAACCTCCAAACCCTTGATTAGACCTGTAAAAGCGTGCTGCTGGTCAGACCGATAAGAGGAGAAGACGTTGTATGAAGACTCACATGTCTAAAGCCGCGGTGAGCTTGTCCCTCTACAACTTGGTGACAAACATTTTATACTGTGTTAAGGCATCGAACTCGGACCCATCTTTCATCTCACGAAGCCCAACTTAATCTTCGCGAGCAACGCCTCCACATCAGAGATAAATCGGGCCCCCACCATAGTCTTGGATGTTTTACGGTGAGACAACTTGAAGCGTCGTGCACAATCTTCTAAGCATAGCGCCACGTATTCCGTGACGGAAATTGACGCGGCGTGGCTGTCCAAGTAGAGGTTGAGCAGGGGGATCTCAGCCTGATTAGGGTCCCTGTCGAGCTTAAACTCCTCGATCATGATCTCGCAGATGTAATTCTGCAGTGACGACTCGACGGCTGTACTCACCGACGCAATCAAACTGGAATATCATAGTCTCTTGCCTCCGACGTCCGTTCGGCGACTTATGAGAAACTAATCTTGGCAATTTTGCGCCACTTAGTTCGACATATGTAAGTTGTGGGGTCGTATTTGCACCCCAAACTCCATCGCGGGCCCCTTCAGCAGCGTCGGTCTTCGAGGAGGAGACCGAGATAACGACGACGATAATGCCATCAAGATTGACAATTGACCGTTAATATCAAACGGGTTTTCCCGTATGGAAAATAGAATGAAGGCATAGTAAGTATTCTGGATGTTGGACAATAAACGGATGGCTGTGATTCAACCTATCATTGTGCTTCCTTTCACAATCCAACAACTGTCTTGTGAGTAGCGTTAGTCCAACTACAAGGTAGCTCGAAGCCTCGTTATCGTTGTGGTGCGTCTTCCAGAGGCAATTTTCTGACAGCTAGCATGCCGCGGCCGGCCGCGTTCCACTTTTAGGCAACCCACAGAATCGGCGAAGTTGTACGGGTCGTGACCTCCTTCCATCCAGCGACCGATGCCGGCACTGGAGACCTAAGAAAGGGAGAGGTGGCAAATACTGTCAGCATTAGTGCTCGTAATTTGTGATAATGTGAGTGTGGTGAGTTGCGTTCGGGGGCTCCCTGAAGGCTCACGGTGTTTCATGCCCAACGATGTGTAGAACGGGCCGAACCCCTTGGCTTTCAACATAGCCAATAGCGATAATTGAATAAAAGACGGTGTACACACCGGCTAGTGAGTTTTGCCGTCCCGTCCAGCCACGAACAATTGGGACTTCTGTTTCTGTTTGGGTCTGTTATTGCGCGGCCAGCGCCTAAATCCGATTTCCGTGTTCACCGTATATCAGATATGCTCATGGTCGCTCTAGAACATCATCAGAACCCCTTATCTTTGTCATCAGAACTCGTACCGTGTCCGAGAAGAGCGCCGTTCTCGATGTAACAAAACCCGGACCGGCGCCTATGAGCCCTAACCCAGCCACACGACCGGAACGCTATGCGCCTCACCACTGCCTCACACTGCGTTTCTTGAGACGCGTGATAAAATCGTAAGCCAAGCGAAATGCTCCTCTCTCTCTGCTTGGCTCAATCGTCTGCTGTGCGCGTTCAGCGCGGGGAGAGGTTTCTCGAACTCGGAGGGATTCGGTCTAGAATGACCTCCGACCTTCTGTGAAAACGGAGCGGAACGCCCACAGCGAGGCATTGCAGAAGAGGCTAATACTTTGCGCCAATTCCTCACAGAAAGACGCGCGACAGGGACGGCTAGTCTCCTGCAAGCATGATTTACAATCACAAAACCTATTGAAATGTCAACGGAGAACCACTGCGGATCACGAGCGTGAATGATCAATGTGGACTATTTAGAGTCGACTGCAATGATGATACGAGGATGCGATACTCCCATAGGCGCCTGCAGTTTCTCCGGCGTCTCCAGACTGGATTGACGGCAGTTCATCGCCACTTGCATAGGAAATTTGAAAAAGCGACATTGCTGAACGGCCAAATACGAGCTTTGGGGACTGAAAGTGTTCGGTGATAGGCCACGTCCGCAAATATTGACGTAATGAAATCGTTGAAGCAACCCCTTTTCGTCCTGGAGAGACTCCAGAGGAAGATGTGTCGTCGACATCAACCTTCGATTTGACATCCCGGATCCCGGGAGTCTATAATGCGGTGAGGCCTTGACTAGGTGAAGGAGAGTAACTTGACTCCGCAAATGTACCGCAATTATCAGACCCCATTCCTTGGCGAGCATTACAGAAGAAAAGAAACGGGACCAATGCGCGTATCGTTAGGACAATTCGGACCGGATTCTGAATCTTAAGTCCTCCGAACTCTGGTTTATCAGACCCTAATTGTAGATTCCTGATTTCCCGAATTTCTGAGACGGAAGAACGACAATCCACCAGCACTTGAGAATCCGGGAGGATATAAATAGTCGGGCGCTCATAATATGCTCTCATGAAGTCGGGAGAGTTGCGATGACGGTCCTTAGTATATCTCCTGCTGCTATTCACCTGAAGCAATTTGACTGTCCCATGCTCTCATATCTGCAGTGTGTCATCCTCCTGTCCCTCTGGTTTTTTGCTTACTGGATTGCATGTAACCATAGATGAAAAGCTAAACCCTGATCATCTTTTCGGCGCCACACGAACCCATCATCCTGACCCTGTACACATGGCAAAGGGTACCGACAAACGTCACTTCCTAGCAATCACCCGATCAAAAATTCCCGTTTCAGGGAATGTGGCGATAGCTGACTAAACTGAGCTCGGATCTCAATTCCTGGACTCCGTGTGATACGGCGAGAGAGTACAAGCTGCTCCTTGAATGTCCTTCCGTTGTTGGCCCTGCTGGGGAGCGTGTGTGCATTTTTATAAATTTATCTTCCTTCCATTGAGCCTGCTTGACAAAGGTCTTTGCCTAAGGACCTCTGTTTTGTTGGGGCAATAAATCTCGGTGATAATGGATCCCCCTTTGTTCCAGAAAACCAAGCAGGCTTTCATTTGATTTCCACAAAGAGGATCCCTTTGTGCTATCGAATGCCACAGTTTCTGCATGGGGCATTGGGACTGTCGCCTGTGAGGGTATAATTAAGACCTTCATCCCCAAAAGCATGAACTCTCCTCTCCTTTTCCGCGCACTCGCAGCACACTCAAAAGACATATGTGCTACTTAAAGCCAAAGTATATATTCACCTGGATGTTCGGCTGTGGGCACGCAGAGGAGTACATTCGATTCAGCAAGGTGCGCCATCTACACCTTATTTCCCGATGGCTTAGGGAATTATTGTACAGGAAGACTGCCTGTACCTCGATTGTCGTCATAGCGCTACGTGCAAGCATAGATGCCAATCGCATCATAATCACGACACGTGGACAAGGTGCCCGCACTTTCCGTCAAAGATTGTCACTAAACAGATGGCGGGATGCACAGCATATACGGGGATTGAGTACGTTAAAAGAATTAATATCCATTGACTGATGATCCTTACATCTTCGTGGACGTCGAAAACAGAGGTGCGATCGAGAAGCTATCAGCCGTGACTTTCCCGGATGCGTGTTCCTGGTGCGTCAAGCCACGAGCAAGAGTGGAATATGAAGGTGCCGGGTAGACAGACAAAGACTTTAAAGGAAGAAGAGGTCATTGTCATCTCGTCCTGCCTTCGTAGCCGGGATTGTCTAGTGTGTCGCCTGTCATATCCTCCAACGCCCTTGATCCTTTTCACCTATAATTGGAGACGAATAGTTCAATGCGGAACCTATTGCTTAGAGCCAGCGGCCGCGGGCGCCAAAAACATGGCGGGCCGACTCTAGGCAAAGGCTGTGTTACATAAGCATGTCCCACAGTCGACGTGAGCGGACCCGCCAAATCTTTTCTTCTCGCAGTGAATCACTGCTCCGCTTCCTCGCCCCAAAGTCTCAGTATTCTTTTTTTGGGGACTATCAACACTGTGACGCCACTCTGCCATCAATACGGGCAACATTCCACCCATCGCAATATGGCACCTCGCTCTCAATCTCCCTCAGACGACGACGATGCACCAGAAACAATTGCACTTTCCCAGTCTAAAGTCAGTGAAAAGAAGCGCGAAGCACAGCGACAAGACGCCGTCGCCGCTGGGCGTCATGCCCAGAAAGAAAAGAACCGGGAATTGGACAGGAAGCTCAAGGAACGTGCCCAGAGAACGCAAGGGAAGGCCAGCGCGGCTCAGCACAACACTAATGCACGACAAAAACGGAAACATTTAGACCGCGACGACCACGGGTCAGAAGAGGGTGATGATGTCAGTGACAACGAACTGGAGACGAGGATGAGGCGGTCCATGCGGGAAGCTGACGAAGAGGGCTCTGACGAGGGCAAGGAAGATGAAGATGACGGTGGAGGTCCTCTTGAAGATGGCCCTGACTCCGATGGTTTAGAGTTCAGCGAGGAGGACGGAGATGAAGAGGATGAGCACGGGGATGTCGCCACTGACGCTGATGACGACGACGATATGAAGCAGGAAGGCCCGTCGAGAAAACGGAAGGGGAAATTGAACCCGGACCACCTCCCTGACGAACTCTTCGCCGCCGCTTTCAGCTCGACGGCCAATTCAAAACCCAAACGAAAGGCAGAGGAAGACGTCCCAAACCCATCAGCCGTAACCAAAAAGCGGAAACGAACGAAGCCCAAGACGCCGAAGGACGTGATAGTCGGGTGCGTTTCTGTGATTTTCACCAACGTCCAGGGCGCTGAATCTAATGGTATCGGGTAGGTCTCGCGCTATCCGCGTTCTTCCGAGCTCGCAAGCACCTTCGACGCCCTCAGCACTTCCGTCGAGGAAGATCAGAAAGTTCCTGGATCGGTCGTTGGCTTTCAAAGACGGGAAACAGGCGTTGAGGACGAGAGGTTGGGAGCGGAGGTCTGGTAAGGGCGTCGTGTATGACTGCGAAGTGCGAACTAATTCTATATCGCAGCTAACATTGGTGTGCTGCGGAGAGACGGCCCACCACTGGCGTTTGTCCGGAGTCGATGATCGACAGCGCCTCGTGTTTGTATACGCATGTACAATTACTTCCAATGCATCACACAGACTGTTACTCGCTCGAACCAAAATGGACGACCTGCTCCCGCTGAGGCAGAGTACAGGAATCAGTTCGACTTGTAAGATATCATCGGAGACGTGAAGACGCAAGGTGATGCAATTCTTTTACTGTTGAATTCAGGTAATGGTTGATTGCAGTCTACAGTAAGTGCTCATGAAGTGAAAGATGATAAGGCCTCATGAATGCGCTAGTATCCTTCACAGACCAGTTTGACGATACCGCCAAATATATTAGTGATTTTACAGGTCAATTGACTGGGCAGGTGCGTTATTTCTAGCTCATTTACCTATCCCCGACATTTCATGTAGTACTTTGCCTCCTGCCAGGGAGTAATGTTGCCAGCCCCGCGAGTCAAATGCACTACTTTATACATGCTTGGACGACGAAGGGGTCATCATATTGACATCACCGCCGGATAAAGGTGATGTGCATTGGGTAATCTCTGAGATTTTCGACTCGCTTCACACACTGACTGAATTGTGAAATTCACTTATCTAGCAGTCGTGAACTGAGCTGGACTCTCGATCGCACTTCCGTTCCAGCCGCTGATCGCTTTCGTTCCCTCTTTTGCTGCCGTTCTTAGCGCCCATTTCCCCTCGGGGTCGAATTTCTGGCAAGAACAAGGACCTCTCTCGACTTGCTGTCCCTATCTGCGTTCGGCGAACCTGAAACTGACAGGAAGTGCCAGGGTTTCACGCGCTGTGATGCCGTAAAACCGAGCCATCATTGTCGGCGAGCGCCCGAGTAAGTGGGCGTAACGCGCGCCGCCCTTTTCCATATATATGGGAGGGCAGGCCTCCCAATCGACATGGAATCCCTTCGCAGCCTTCTCTTGTGCATCTTCTTCCTCTATTTGTGCTGGCGAACAGTCAAATGGATAGGATTCCCGCTAATTTTTGGGACACCATTCCGTGATATACCTGGGCCAGTTTCCACTTCCTGGGCCATGGGTAAGTCCGTCGTGCACCTGTGATTCGAAATATTTACAGCGTGATCTACAGGAAACCTGGGACAGCTATTCAACGCGAAGGGCCTTCCGTTTCATCAGTCATTGGTTGATATGTATGGTGGAATGGTGAAGGTGTATGGGTTTTTCGGTGTATGTTCCAATTCATTGACAAAACTGCATTCTCTCTCAACTCAAGGACTATAGGATGAACAACTGTACGTCGCAGACCCCCGCGCGCTGCAGCAGATTATCATCAAAGACCAAGAATCTTTCGACGAGACGGCCGCCTTTCTTGAGTGAGCTCTCCTGTGCTTCCCTTGTTGCAACTTTATTTGACCTGCGTTCCGTCAGAACGAATCAAGTCATTTTCGGGCCCGGTCTTGTGGCTACCACGGGTACGTCGGTCTCCGATTACGGACCTCTCTTGTGGCCTGACATTCCTCCAGGAGAGCAGCACAGACGTCAGAGACGGGTAGTAAACCCCATCTTTGCTGTTCCTCAGCTTCGCCGCATATCACCCGTGTTTTATGAGATAGCGGAGAAGGTGATGAGGTGGCCTTCGGGAATGGAAGTGAGCTGGATCTAACTCCGTCTGTTTTTTTAGCTTGCAAGTGTCATGGAATCAGAATTGCAGCAACACTCGTCGAGCAAGGCGGTCCTGGACATGTCGGACTGGATGTCTCGCGTCGCTCTAGAATCAGTTGGCAGAACCGTCCTCGGATATTCCTTCGACCCACTTGATTCACCGCATAACAATCCGTACACTTCAGCGATCAAAGAGCTCATGTATGCTCCTTCTATCCTCCTAGGCGCCGGGCTGCCGCTAACGCATCGTACAGCCCAACCTTATTTAGGCTTTCGCTTATACGGCAGTTCGCCCCATTCCTGTCTAAATTGGGTCCAGCGTGGTTCAGGAGGAAGGTCGTGGAATGGACTCCCCATGAGACGGTGCAGAAAGTGAAGGAAATGTCCGACGTGATGCACGAGACGGCCCAGAATATTCTAGAGCAAAAGCGTCGAGAGCTTTCGAGCGACCCGGATAATCAGAACGCCAAAGATATCATCAGCATCCTCCGTACGTGCCCCCGCCTCCCACTCCGCTCGAGCCCGCATCTCATCCTACCTCCGTATCTAGTGAAATCAAATGAAGATGCTAAAGTTAAAGGAGGAGAGCAATTGAGCGACATGGAACTTACTGGGCAAATGACGTGAGTTGCTTTGCTGATGGCTGGACGAAGCCCATTTCTCATTTTCATGGTTTAGTGTCCTCATATTCGGAGCACAAGACACGACGTCGTCTTGCTTGTCGCGGATTCTCCACCAAATTTCTAAACATCAAGAAGTTCAGGATTGTATTTGTGAAGAGCTGCGGAATGCTTCACTCGAGGGCTCAAACACCGACGAATACGGAAGGCTCACGTACGATGCATTGTCCAACCTGCCCTGGCTAGACGCCGTCTTGAAGGAGACACTACGGCTGTGGGTGTTTACCGTGCTGGTGCGATGGTTTCAAGCTAATATTTAACTGCGCAGTTATCCGCCTGTCCCTTTCGTGCGGCGAACGTAAGTCGGCTCTCTTTACATATGCCCGAGTTGGCCGATTATGGTACCCGCTTTTCAGCGCCATCAAGGATACCATCCTTCCGTACTCGAAATTAGACAGCACCTCGGATGAGATCGCGCATGTCAAGGTCCCGAAAGGAACGATTCTGTTCGCCAGCATCGCAGGAAGCAACCGCCTCGAAACAATATGGGGTCCCGATGCGAAGGAATGGAAACCAGAGCGGTGGTTTGGGGCGAGCGTAGAGGTCAAGGATCCTGCAAGAAAATTGCCGGGTATCTATTCGGGAACGTAAGTCGGCCTTCGTGAATTTCGTATTCGTGCTGACGACAAATCACCCAAGGCTCTCTTTCTTAGGCGGTGGTCGGTCCTGCGTGTTAGTCGTTTCTTTCACTATACGTGATAAAGTAGCATGCTAACTTCCAATACAGCGGCTATAGATTCGCACAAATAGAAATGAGTAAGTATGTTGCCAACAGTCAGTGTTGTCCCGCTAAGTCATTTCACAGAGATCATACTTGCCACTCTTCTGACAAGATTCAAGTTCTCTTGTTCCGAGAACGATCCCGACGTAGGATGGAATCTTTCGCAGATTATTTCGCCCTCTGTTAGGACAACAACTGCTGAAGGAGGCGTGGATGAAAAGAAAGGATTACCCTTGATAGTAGAGTCCCTCGTTCAATAAATTTGATATAAAGTATTGCATTCTCCTGTGGGCGCCGAATTGGCAAGATGCTAGAATTCAATTCGCCCTTTCCACATAGACAAGGTCCTTTTTATTTCATCCTCGCTCGTCTTTCGTGAATGTAGGGCTGATTGACAAGAATGTCGCTGACGTAAACGAGGTGGCATGATGGGCCTTTGCCTTCACCTGTTCCCTAACCTCGACGCTTCAGCTGACTTCAAGCTCTAATTACTACGCGTACAACCCGATATTACGTGGAATTGGAATTATTATGGTTCAAAACAAGGAGGCTTATTCCTGGACGGACTACCGACTTCAATGACAAAGTGGCACGTACTATTGTTTCTAGATGCGCCACTTTGAAAGTTCCTCTCACTAAATGCTAACCAGTTGTTCAATTGGCACCCTCTGGGGTGCGAACAGCTCATCTACACTCACCGAAACATTGCTTCACGCTAGATGTAAAGCTTTTGACGAAGGCTGCAGCCTGGCCGTATGCTGCGGCTTGAAATTTACGATCGTTAGACTCGGCTATGGCATTCACGCATAATGGTGAGTACTCTTGTTATACACTCTAATTACTTATTATCGTGTTGTCCCTCAGACCCAGCTTGCCTCCGAAAGTTGTCAGTCAACATTCTTATCTAATCTCGGCTAGATAACAACCCCCCAAAGTAGGGCATGCAATGACAACACGTTTTGATGCCGTTTGTTTCTTCTCCTTCTGTCACGACGAGGGAGGCATCAGGCACGTTGTGCGCCTCTATATATTCGCCAATCTGACTTTTTTTCTCTTCCTTCTCAGCCCATCTTTCCACTCTACCCAAGATTTTACGCCGTCAGCCATGGAGACTTGAGTTGCCGAGGTCCCTAGGGCCCCCTTCTCAAGTACTTTGTTCGCTGTCTCTGGCCTTTGCGCCACGAGATTGTCCCATTCAAGAGTGTCGAATAGCACCAACGAACATACGAGAATCATACTCAACCCGAAATCCCCATGGATTCCACAGAAGACCCCCAGCTCCTTGAAATCACAGCATTACAGTCGATATACGCCGAAGACTTCATCGAATGTCCCCCTCCCAAAGCCTGGAAGGTTTGTTGCGTATCCTGCTCATTCGACGTAGCTGAATCCGATGCAGGGAGCTGCCAGGCTCCACGAATTCATCATCAGAGTTGCACACCCAGAACCCGACCATGCGTCGAAGATTAGCATCCACCTACACGTAAAGTTCGTCTTGAGCCTCTATCTAGGCGCCAAATATCCCAACTGACCGACCTGCTCAGATTTCCCAAGACATATCCACGCCTCGCATGCCCAACTTTTACCATCGAGAAGCCTATCAAAGGTATCAACGACACCCAGATAATGCGCTTATCACAGGAGGTCAACTCGGAAGCACAGAGACTCAGGGGGTTCGAGATGGTCTTTACCGTGCGTCGCTTGTTCTCCTGTACTTGGTAATAGCCACTGATGGTAGCCGCAGATCGTGACCTTTGTGCAGGATTGGATGGCAAAGAACGTCACGCCTGTTGTCGGTTCGCTGGCCCTACAAATGAACCAGCGCGCGATGGACGAAGAACGGGTGAGGCTTCCTCCTTGACCACCATGGACGTGCCACCTGACCCTGCCTCACAGGCGCGCAGGCAGCGCGAGTTGGAAGAAGCACACCTCGAAGAGGAAAGAGCACAGCAAGCCGCACAAGCCCTGGATGAGCAAATTCAGGCAGACGCTATGCGGCAGATGCTCGCACGAGAGCAGCAGTACAAGGCTCGTCGACGCGCAAATTCCGAAGCCACCGAGGTCCCCCAAATGCTGGGAGAGACGGAAACTCCAACAGAGACATTCCAGGATATGGAGATGAATGGCGTCAAGTTCAACACTGTCAAGCTTTTTCATCCGCGAACAGGTGAGTTTCTCCTTTGGGTGTGTCAATAACGCCGATCGTGTCAACTATTCATAGTCCCTCTCGGCCTCGTTTACATGGCGGAGCCTGTCGTGCACGACATAACCTCCGTCACGCCCCTCGAATTATTCGTGGTCAACATCCAATCAACCTATTACACCACGTCACAAGGGCGAAAGAAGCTCGCACAAGTGGAGGACGAGATCAAGCACTTGATCAACACCCGACACCCGAAGCTCCTCAGCGTCTACGCTGTCAAATTGACAATTCCGCGTTCCAGTGACAATGGCCCGTCGCTGCTGGTAGTTTTGACGGAGCAGACACCAGCTTTGACGCTGCATGACGTGCTGGAGGATTGTGAGTCCCTTCGGGAAGATCGGGCAACGGTATGTTGTATCGACGCACTGCCTATCTCCTTATGCTAATACCCCCTCCTCTAGGATTACATCGGCCAAGTACTAGCGGCTCTCAACGCAGTACACCTCAGCGGCCTTGTTCATCGCGCCATCACTCCACGATGCATTGGTCTCGTCTCATCGAAAGACAGCCCCAATCAACCCAAGACAATCAAGCTCTGCAGAACATCGTTCCATACCCGTCTGCTCGATCTCCACCGATCGAACTCCTTCGGCGAAAACACCCCAATGCCACCAACCAGCAACGTAGGATGGGACGAAGCGTCGCTGAGTTCGAGCGGGAGTGGAAGTTTTCCAGAAGGGTGGTTGAGTCGAGACGTACAGAATGAGAGCAGTTTGTTGTATACGCGCCAAAGGGATATCCACGACGTCGGCATTGTGCTGCTGCAGATGGTGCTTGGATTGGACGTCATCGAAAGATATGCTGATCCCGTTACGGCGATACACTCTTGTAAGTTGCATTGGTCGTTTCATTGGATGATTCAAGTCGGTCGCTGATCCTGACCTGCAGCATCGATTTCGCCTATCTTGGCCAACCAGGCGTTGGTCATGATCCAAGCAACGAAGAAGCTGACAGTCATGAACCTCCTCTCGGACTTCAACGATGGTATCTCACATAGCCCTTTAACCTCGAAAACCATCCCTTCGTTCCTTAACGGTAAGAATATCTCTCTTTGAGCTCGGCTGTAGTTGACGTTCTTGTTCAGATCCAAAAACCCCGATGCCGTTTCAGTTTGGGTCGCCTGAAGGAGATTATTTCCGCGTGCCACCACCACCTGCAAAGGCGAAACAAGCGAGTAGATGGAAGGAGGACTGGGAAGAGCTTGAGTTACTGGTGCGTGTTTGTTCTTCTCGAGGCTATTGTAAATGTTGAATCGTAGAACAGGGCAAAGGTGCATTTGGCTCGGTTGTGAAAGCGAAGAACAAGATTGATTCTCGAATATATGCTGTCAAGAAGGTTCGCCTGCGCAACATGCAGAGTGACAAGATCTTCCGCGAGGTCAACGCGCTGAGCAGACTATCGCATCGGAACATCGTTCGGTACTACACCACTTGGGTAGAGACGTCCGAGCCAGATCCGGCAACCGCCTCCTCAGACGACTCTAGTCTGTCTGATGGTACAGAAGATGGCATGACCTCCGTACCGGATAGTTTCGGCGGACCCTCCCACATCTATCACGGAAATGGCTATGGCCAAAATCATCCCCGTAGCCCGCGCGAGCGCAACCTTCCTCCAATCAATGGCGGTTTTCATATCAGCATCGAGGATTTGGACGACACCTCCATGTCGAGATCGAGTTTCCCAAGTATCCACTTCGGGCGGAGTACTGGTTCAGGAGACGAAGACAGCAGCGCTAGCAGTGGCAGCGAGGAGAGGGACGAATTTTCCGGGCTCTTCAAGAGCAAGAGCAAATCGGGACCGAGCTCGTTGAAGACGCCCGCGAAGAGCGAGCCGACCTTGACGAGGACTCTCTATATTCAGATGGTATGTGTTAACAATCACACCTGTTCAGCCCACCACCAATCTATTCCATTAATTTTAGGAGTTTGTCGAGCGCCAGACCTTGAGAGAACGAGTGGATGAAGGGATTTCGGAAGACGAAGCATGGCGGCTTTTCCAACAAATCGTAGACGCTCTTGTACACATGTCCACTCTCGGTATTCTTCATAGAGATATTAAATTGACGAACATCTTTATTGGTATGTCTTGGTTTATCTCTGCATTTACTTTGCTGAAATGACATGTTCGCAACAGATGCGAAAGGCGATTGCAAAGGTCTGGCGAACCTTTTTCGTTGTTATAGTATCCTGACTTGCAATCTTTTAGTTGGAGATTTTGGGCTTGCTACCTCTGCCTTAGCTGCAGTTGACCCTTCTGACGTAGCGTCTGCTGGCGCAGCCCGGGAACCAGACATGACCCTTGGTAAGTCGTTGGTCGATGTTTCTTATATGATTTGTTCCTTGAATTGTCACAGAGGTTGGAACACGTCTTTACATCGCTCCAGAAGTGCAATTCAATAAACGAGGTCATCGTGGCCCACGCGACCAGTCGAAGGCGGACATGTACAGCCTTGGAGTGCGTCCCTTTTCCCTTTTCTGGAGAAGGTCATTTTCCTAATATTCCGTAGATTGTCTTCTTCGAGATGAATTTCAAATTCAATACTGGAGTTGAGAGGATAGTTGTTCTAGAAGACCTTCGCAAGCCTCCAATTATTTTCCCTAGTGGCTGGGATCCCGCCAGAATTCGCCAGAAAGACATCATCACCTGGCTCCTCCAACATGAGCCCCAGAAACGTCCGACTGCGTTCGAGCTTTCGCAAAGCCCCTTACTACCGGCTCGCATGGAAGACGAATACTTCAAAGGCGCTCTGCGGCTGATGGCCAAGCCTGACTCCCAATATCACCAAACTGTCCTTACCACACTCTTCAAGCAACCTCCTCGACCATCCCGAGTGTTCATCTATGATATCGAGGTCGAGCCGCCGCAGTATGCACTTCTCAATGAGAATGTCCAAGAATGTCTAGAGAAGATATTTCAACTCCGTGGTGCCATGAATTATGAGCCGCCCTTGCTCATGCCCATCATGGACATTGAAGAAGAGCGAAGCCAGGCGACCTTCATCGATCCACATGGTGATATCGTTGCACTTCCGAACAACATCCTGGTTCCGTTTGCTCGCCTTGCTGCACGGACAAACCAGAAGAGGATCAAGCGTTATCATATCACGAACGTTTTCCGCCCAAGGTATGATTTCGTCACTTTCTTTCCATCCGAACGGCCTTTAACGGCCTCTTAGTCCCGTTGCTGGGCACCCTAAATCCCAGAAGGCGGCACTGTTTGATATCATTAGCCCTGACCTTCGTTGGGGCCCTCTCGCGGCTGGCGCCGAGATCATTGCTCTAGCAAGCGACTGTCTTGATAGCTTCCCAACGTTGTCACAACATCACGATATCCACATCTCTCATTCGAAGAGTGCGTCTTCCAATCTACTGTGGTTAGACAACTACTCACAAATTTACAGTTGTCGAGATTGTCATGAACAGGGTCCCAGCTGACGCGAGATGTTCTGTAATCGAAACCATCCAGTCGCCCAAGTTGACTCCTGCTTTGAAAAGGGCTGCGTTGACGAAGAAGAATCTGCTCAGGAGCACCATAGATGAAATAGAGCTCCTTGCCGAAGTTTGTGAGCATCGACACTCATGGTCATCACGACTAGTTTGGTTGACTTATTTTGCGTTTAGCCCTTGACATTGATGAGACTATGGCTCGGTTGGGCAAAGTTTCGCCTAGCCTTGCGACTATGATCGAACCTGCCGTTCAAGAAGTCAAGGACACTCTCCAGCTAGCCAAATCGGCCAAAGTCGCCCACCAGGTCCTCTTCCACCCCTTGATGCTTGGTACCCATCATACGCATTTCAAGGATGGCGTCCTTGTGGAAGTCGTCAGGAAGAACAAGACATCAGACGTTCTAGCCGCAGGAGGAAGATATGACAACTTGATCTCTCGCTTCCTGCCCTTGAAGCAGAAACTCGAGCCGAAGCAGAAGTTCGAACCTGTCTGTGCCTATGCGATACAGATCGCCGTGGAGAAGATTGCAGCTGCCCTGGCTGCATACCAACATGTTTCAGTACACGCCCTGGTCAGTCAGCAGCGATCGTTTGGCTACTGGAGCCCACGACGATGCGACGTCTATATCGTCTCGTATCAGCCGGGGTACCTCCAAGATCGCCTCGAAGTTGCCTCCTTCCTGTGGCAGAACAACATTAGTGCTGATCTGATGTACGAGACGGGTCTGCCAGATGCTGAGCATGAGAACCATCTCGAGACCTGTGCAAGAGAGGGTATTCTCTTCACCGTCTATCCGCGTCCTCGCACTGCGAAGAACCTGCCTCCGTACAAGGTCAAGAGCATCCTCAGAGGCACTGAAGTTGACCGTAAGGCTTTCAATATCGATGGAATGCACGTGATACTGATTGTTCCGTCAGTTTCTCGTCAGCAGCTCGTAGGATGGCTTCAACAGGCCATAGCCGAGCAGAAGCGTGTCGATATGAGCACTTCTGGTGCACCTCTACTCCTGGCGGAGGTTGCGCCTGACATGCCTACGACCAAGGACACCGCTGTCGACCCGCAAGTCAAGCTCGTTCTGCCAGATCTCAAGAAGCAAAGGAAGACGAACAAGCAGATTTTGTCCGACAAAGGTATATTCTGCTTCTTTCATGTTTGTATACTCAAACTCATGGTTCGTTGTTAGCTTTCGAGAAGGCCAAGGCGATGAAAAACTCATTCCAGAACGGCATCTCCGTCCTCGCAGTGGATGTTACTCCGGCTCATTTTGACGCTTTGATCAAGAATTCCCACTGGGTCACGGACGAGGAAGCCTGGAAGGTCATGAGTGCTATGTTCCCCCTTCAGCACGCGGAATATGCGCCGCAAGTTCGTGAGGCAGCCCAGAAGCGCAAGGTGGAAGGTGATGCCTACGTCCTGATGTTCAACGTGCGGGAGGAGCGTGCTCAGATTCTCGCTCTCAGCTGATATGATAGATGGTGGTTTTTACTCATTCTGCTTCATCTGCTTATGATCTGGGAATTCGGTAATATGTATCCTACTGACGACACTTTTATGACCTCTCAACATCCCCTATCTATGTATTTACCATGTATCCACCATCAATTCACCATTCCATTGTTTATGGCCATCCAATCCTGTAGTAGGCGTACTCGATCTCCTCCCCCTTTTCACCACTGTCCGCATCGCAAATTATAATCTCTTTGTGTTTGATGACGAGATCCGCGCCTTCGATTTCATTTTGGTCCTTGAACATGGCCTCGATTGTCTCGGATTCAACTGTATGGGTCTTTCGAAGAGGGATGATGAGATGGAAAGTAGGTGCATCCAACGAGGGTTTCTGCGATGGTTTCCGAAGAACTTTACGCGCACACCTTTTTATCCACACTGAGTGCTGTGCCTCGTAAACAATGTCTGCGCCATAGACGACATCGAATGGGCTTTGAAGAATCTCGAGGTCGTTTGATGGGTCGGATGAACAAAATTCTGACCAGTCAAGACGAACTGAGTCGATCCGAGGAGAGGTGGAGTAGAAATTGGATCGGATATTTTCTTTGAGGTTAGCGAGAACTGAAGGATAGAAATCCGTTGCTACGACTTGTGATTCGATTATTTCTTTTCCGAGTATACCTTGAAGCACTTTTGCGACAGTCAGGCTGACAAGACCGGTTCCAGCACCGAGTTCCAAGCATCGAAGAGGGCGTCCGGGAAGAAGACCAAAAGTAGCTGGGTTCTCAACAATCATCTCTGCCATGATGCATGCCCCTCCCCAAGTTTGAGCACCCAGGCTACCGTAATCTCGATTTTCTAGGGGAATGTCCTTCAGGTTTACGACAATAGGTTGCGCGCCGGGGGAAGATTCGGGCGAAGGCTCGAAAGCGAACTGCCTTGTTATGGTGCCAGCAGACGCTGTGCCCGCGCAAACGGCCAATAATGCTGCCCCAGACTCGACTATGGCTTCACGTTCCGAGGCATTTGTCACGTCTTCAGACTCCCCGAGTTGGGATATCAACACCGTCAGCCATTTTATGGCATACGCTTGCTCGAAGGCATCCGTTCGCAGTGCATCCAACAGCCGGCTTGCGTCCTTCTTTGAGGTAGTTCGACGACGCGAGCCACGGACTGGAGGGTTGTATATCTGTCTGAGATAATCCAGGGCTTCATTTAAACTGGAGATAGGGTATGAAGCAATCCGTTTAATCGGTGGAAGATGCGAGGTTGGGGGAAGGACCATGTGCGAGCACAGTCAGAGGGATCTAAATCGAAAGAGTTATTCTGAATAAAATATCAAGAGCCTGCAACAGGCTCGGAGACCTTGCCTTAAGAAAGAGGTATAAAGAGCAAGTAAAGAGTGGAAGTATCAATGCACTCAAAAAAAGTGGGTTTTTGATCTCACTTGGGAGATCTTATCTTATCTAATTACCCCTATTCGGAGTCAATTGGCAGGCTCTACTCTAGCAGGAAGGGTAGGACTTGGGCAACTTGAGGGTGGCCTCGTTCCAACCAAATGTCTCCTTACAGCTACACCAAACGCCCAATCTAGAGTGACGGCCATGAATAAAATTACAGCCGACCAGTTGAACGCCAAGTGCCATCCCAGATTATGGAATCTCCCCAGCGCTAAACTGGACAGGACGAAAGTGAGTAACAGACCCAATGTCGGATCTGGGCCAGAGGATAAGGCCTTCGATCCATAGTTTTGTTCAGTGAAAACTCGAGAATGAGGAGAAAAAAAGACGAACGAGGACGATGAAGAAAACGCAGTTGACAATGCCTTCCAGGGCGGTGGGCGGTGGAATAATCTGGAAAATCCTCCTCAATACCGCTGGAGACTTTCAACGAGAATACAACCCCATTACTTACGTCGATCGCTCCCCATGCCTTCCATATTCCCAACACCGAGGTTGCGATTCGAAGTTTGACAAGGAGATGTGTGAGGATGTTGACTGGAGGAAATCGCTGGCTCCTCGAGCCCCCAAGGACGCTGGAAAAAGCGTACACTTGGAGAAATAGGTTAAATAGAAGGGCAATGGCACAAATATCGTAGTGCCTTGTCATCCATGTCGATGACCATCCAGCTATCCGGGGCACGATTAGCGTCCAGAAGGTCAAGACATCAATGGGACCTACCTTGTAAGACACTTCCAAGAAGATAATAAGGTAAATATGATATCTGAGCAGGCTGAGGCCCGTTCTCCGTGTCCTCTTTCTCTTCCATTGCTTCCTCATCTTTGGATCCTAGACCGTTAACAAAGTCGCCTTCGGGTGGTTCGAGAGGTCTTGGGTGTAGCTTGATGAGTCAGATAATTTGCACAATTACCCCTGCAGCGAATAAAGCTAGCGACGCAATTGGGTGGGGTGCATAGGCGACGTAGATCGCGGACGGTGAGGACCGCGAGCTTTCGGCGTCGCTTAGCAGCGAAAGCACCTGAGAGAGTGTATCGAGGCAGAACGAAAAAGCAGCCACGCGCTGGATGAAGGAGAGTCGGCCCATGCTCGGAAAATCGACATACGAATTCCTCTGTGGAGAGGAAGGGGATGAAGCTTGATGTAAGCGTCGTTCGGGTAAGCGACTCGGTACATTCATCACCTAGTGCGAGTTAGTACATGCACGTTCTCACAAGGAGCTGGATGAGGTTAGGAGAGGAAGTCATTTCTTCAAATTGAGCAGCCCCCGCCGGGTGCGACATAGACCCCAGCAGTGTGAAATTCATGAAGGATTGTGAGCTACCAAATAATTGCTTGATTTAGCGCAAAGAGCAGGCACAAACTAGGATCTTATCTTATCAGCGAAATACCCTACCAGCCGCGTCTCGCGAAGTCCTCCAACGTCGCCTTCGTCGTCTCCACTATTGTGTTAAACTTGATGCCCAGGAGGCGCTCTTCCTTGGATTTGTCGTAAGAGATGAGGTATACTTTCTCTCCCTGAGAGATCTCAGGAAGCCCGATAGCCAGCTTGTGCGAAGGGAGAGGGTTGGGGTTGAGGCTATTTGCAGCGTCGACTGGGAATAAAAGATGATTAATCGAGGGTATTTTTCAGAAGAATGGCGAAGTACTTACGCCACTCTTGCCAAATGGTTGATCCTATTGAATTTTACAAAGTCAATAAAGAGTCAGGCAGAAATCATCGTATCCCCCTACCAGATGTAGTGATGATTCGTTCACCACCCGCAGCCTCTTTCTCGATAGCTAGGACATGTGCTAACGCAGTATCGCGAACGTCCACCCACGGGATTGTCTGGCCAAGGACCTCCTTCGTCTTCGGAGAATCAGAAACGACTACGTCGTACCACGATTGAAGAGAGGTATTCAAGGACTTGAGCGAGGTGACATCGTGAATGGCGGGCTAAAAGAACGAGCCTTTAGATGATACTATTGGCGATAATGCATTAAGGAAACAATTACCCCAAAGACCTAAAGTACGTCGTTAAAAAGTTGTCCCGGGAGTATAAATAGAAATAGCTTACGAATGGCGGGTTGATAACGGCTAGATCCCATTGAACCTGTGACTTGTGCTGGTTGTAGAACTCCCATGCCGCTGCAGATTCGGACAACCCTCAGGAATCGCGATAATAACGTGAGACTCCAACGTACCCTTTTCCGCAAGCGTCTTGGATGCACGATAGATAGAGGCTCCCGGTGATTTTGAACCGAGCTCTTCGACCTCCTTGGGCGAAGCCTCGTTCCAGTCGTTCTCGCTGAAGACCTTGGGCACGGACAGGCCCGGAGTGAGAACTGACGCGCAGGAAGAAGTGATGACGATACGCTTGACGCGAGTTCTGTTAAATATTAGTAAGGGGTGGAAGAAGATAGAGTGCTGTAACGGACGCGTTTTTCACGGCGCTCTTGAGGATGCCAACCGTTCCTTGAATGGCAGGCTTGAAGAATTCTGCACGCCATTGAGATACCTGCTTCAGCAGCGATGAGTCAAGAACTCGCCTTGTGGGTCGCTGACATTGAAGTGGAATGGCGATGCCATATGCTCAATAGCGTCGACATCTTTGACGACTTCATCGAACGCGCCTTCCTGGAAATTGTGATCCATTATACAATCTCATACATGGGAGCCAAGCAACGCATACCTTGACGATATCCTCAACAATCGCAAATTCGAACGCCTCCGCATAACCGAGCTTCGCGAAGTAATCGCTCATAAACTTTCCCTTGTCTGCAGAGCGTACTGTTCCCCGAACGCGGTAACCCCGCTCGAGAAGTATCTTCACGGTCCACATAGCAATGTAGCCATTTGCACCAGAGACCAGGACTTTGCCACCTTGAGGTACTGTCGGCATTGTGTTTCTAGGGTGCAACGGGTTTGTGAGGACGAAATGTGGGCTCTTCGTATTGGGAGAAAGGAAGGAAGGTGAGGTGAGTCTTTATAATTCTGTCATTGGTACTTATGACGTCTTCTGATCAAATCTTGCAAATCACTGATAATGGTTGCCCTACTAGATGTGCGGTAGTGCGCGGTGTCGGACGGGGATGGATTACAAAGGCATTGCTTGCCTATCGCTGATCGCCAGAATCTATTACAGATGGAGTCAGTTGGCTGTATTTTTTTCGTAGGCGGAAGGACTCCATAAGCCTAGAACGAAAATGTTCTCTGCGGAGCGCCAGCTGGCCGTAATATTCCGACCTCGAGTTTTACATGACTCTTTGGTGCGCTGCCATCGGAAGCGAAGCCGATGCGAAGGGGCTACGAATTTCGAAGAGTTGGCGAATTGGTGGTCGAGCCGGTGACAGGAAGAGACCAGATGAACTGCTGAGGACGATCGATTAAATACTACCAGGCTCTTGTCAGCGCATTGACAAGCTTCCGTATACCTGGTTCTTTCAAAACATGGATGCTTTGTACGCCTGAAGTGTAAAGCAGGACAGGAGGTCTTCGTCGTTGTATTCTCTATTTGGAAAGAGTGGCGTGAGCCGATGGCGCCCGATCGCAGTATACAACATGTGCTCCACTTCTGTCGCTTTATTGAGAAGATACTTAGCTATAGCTCGTGACAATCAGGCTTAAGTAGAAAGGGCTCTACCACCCACGCCTGGCAAATTCCTCCAACGTATCCCTGGCCGTCTCCTCCACAGTCTTGAATTTGATCCCGAAAATACGATCTTCCTTGGACTTGTCAAAAGTAGCAAGAATCACTTTCTCTCGACTAATTTCGGGGTACCCAAGAGTAAACTTGTGAGATGGGAGCGGGTTTGGCTTCAGACCGTTTACTGCGTCGACTGGAAATGATTTCCTTTAAATAATAATAATAACGTATTGCTTACCCCATTCTTGCCAACAGCATACCCCTGCGAAGTCCAAAGTCAACAAGGGTCGGTGGAACGCGGTTCAGGTTTGCCTACCAGATACGGTCAGGATTCTCTCTGCACCTGCCGCTTCGTTTTCGAGAGCCAGGACGTGTGCCAAAGCAATGTCACGAACGTCGACCCAAGCAGGCGATTGGCTGAGCGCATCCTTGGTCTTCGGAGAGTCGGAGGCAACCATGTTATACCAGGTCTGAAGGGAGAGGTTCAAGGACTTGAGGGAGGTAATGTCGTGAATGGGGGGCTACGAGGATAGACAGATGGATGAGCCCAACGGCAATAGCGTACGAACAAAAAGGCTACCCCAAAGACCTGAATTGCATCATTAAAAAGATCTGGAACTCAAATGAAGGATAGCTCACGGCAGGAGGATTGATAACGGTCAAATCCCATTGAACCTGTGCCTTGTGCTCGTTGTAGAAATCCCATGCCGCTACGGAGCGGAGATGACGATTGGCACGATCGTCATTACAGGTCACGATTTGAAGAAAAGGGTTTTGCCCACCTTTCTCTGCAAGAGGCTTGGATGCACGGTAGATGGTCATTCCCGAAGCCTTTGAACCAAGCTCTTCAACTTCCTTGGGCGAAGCGTCGTTCCAATCCTGTTCGCTGAAAACCCTGGGCTCAGTTACTAGGTTCAGAGCCACGATAGCTGCGGTGGAAGACGTGATCACGACGCGTTTGACCTCCGTGCTGTGGATTGGGTGTTAGCAGAAATCAGACCGGGAATAGCGGACAAACCCGTTCTTCATGGCGCTCTTGAGCATGCTGACTGTTCCCTGGATGGCAGGCTTCAATACCTCTACACCCATTGAGATGAGATACGAGAAGTAGCAGCGTATAGAGTACCACTCGCCTTGCGGATCGCCGGGATTGAAGTTGACCGGGGATGCCATATGCTCAATAGCATCAACGTCTTTGACGACTTCGTCGAACGCGCCATCCTGAAACCATTTGTCAACCATCAGAGTTATAAACGAAGAAAATAAACGCATACCTTGACGATATCTTGGACAATCACAAACTCGAATGCGTCTCCGTAACCGATTTTTGCAAAATAATCGCTCATGAATTTACCCTTCTCCGCTGAGCGCACTGTCCCCCGCACGCGGTATCCCTGCTGGAGAAGAATTTTCACGGTCCACATGGCGATGTAGCCGTTAGCTCCTGAGACCAGGACTTTTCCACCTTGAGGCACTGTCGGCATGGTGCTTTGGAACGAGATGGTCCTGAGAGGGAAAGATGAAAATAGATGAAGTACAACGGCTGGTTATGGGGTATTTATAAATTCAGCACGGTGGTGGGCACTGTCTTCGTATCAGTAGTTGTCGCGTAGGCGGAACGGCATCCTGCCTCCTCCGTGAAGCTAGAGGGACGGATCGAGCGTCAGCAGTTCAAACGAACGAATCATGGTCACAGATAAAGGCCTGAGTGAGACCCAAAGATGATTGACGGATGGAAGAGGACAGTATGGTGGTGTGACCACGTAGCAGATGCCACGAGTGAGTAATGTAAGGGGCTGCCCTCCACTTACGAAACAATATCGGAATCAAGATGGCGAAGGATTACGGCGACAGGAAGTCACGACGCCGAACTTTGGAACGTTCGTCTAGTCCGACGTTCATGATGCGAAAGAGCGTTCGGTATCGAAAATCTGGACGTTTGCCGTATCCTCTACATCAGGCGTTTGAGTTTGGACAATGGCGGGTGTAATAAGCACACAATGGATCAGATCGTGGTAGGATAGATGGTCATGGAGTCATAGGATTTTTCTGTGGAAGGCCATGCTAACAAGCTAGCCATGCATCAAACCCTGTAAAGTTGACAATCCTGAAGAGAGCATTCCTACCACCCACGCCTCGCGAAGTCCTCCAATGTATCCTTGGCCGTCTCCTCCATTGTCTTGAACTTGATGCCTAAAATTCGTTCTTCCTTGGACTTGTCATAAGTAGCTAGAATCGCTTTCTCCTGAAGAATTTCGGGGTATCCGACAACAAATTTGTGCGACGGAAGCGGGTTTGGTGTCAGGCTATTCGCTACGTTGACTGGGAAGAAAAAACAAGCATTATTCAAGTTCTGTGGATCCGGAAGACTAGCAATATAGTACTTACTCCACTCTTGCCAAAAGTGCACCCCTTGCGAGATTCGAAGTTAATAATGTGCAGCGGAATACGATTAAATTCTGCCTACCAGATGTGATGAGTATCCTCTCACCGCCTGCTGCTTCTTTCTCGAGGGCTAGGACGTGCGCCAAAGCAGTATCACGAACGTCGACCCAACCGGCGGACTGGCCGAGTGTTTCCTTGTCCTTCGGGGACTCGGAAACAACCAGGTCATACCACGTCTGAAGGGAGGAATTCAGAGACTTGGGGGAGCTGACATCGTGAATGGGGGACTACGAGAATAGACAGCTAATATAAGACCGATGACGATAGCGCGTTAGAATAGATAGTTACCCCAAAAACCTGAACTATATCATCAGAAAGTTAGTCTAGCATATGAATGGAAGGATATGTAACGCACGAAGGAGGGGTTGATAACGGTCAAGTTCCATGACACTTGAGACTTGTGTTGGTTGTAGAATTCCCATGCGGCTGAAAAGTGGTAGTTAGTCAATAGGATGATAAGAAAACCTTCTCGCGTACCCCTCTCCGCCAACGACCTGGATGCACGGTAGATAGTAGTTCCCGAAGCCTTTGAACCGAGCTGTTCCACTTCCTTAGGCGAGTCTTCATTCCAATCCTTCTCACTGAAAACCCTTTGGTCAGATAAATTTGGAGTCATGATCGCTGCTGTTGAAGAGGTGATCACGATGCGCTTGACCCTTGGGCTGAGTACAATTGTAGGTCAGCAAAGATCGAAGCGCGAATGGGTGGGAGAACCGTGACGAACACATTTTTCACTGCGCTCTTGAGCATGCCAACCGTTCCTTGGATGGCGGGCCCCAAGATCTCTGCCTCCACAGTTAGATGAAATTAAATGATTATGAGTGAATGTCAGACTTGCCTTGCGGGTCACTGCTGTTGAAATAAGCTGGGGATGCCATATGTTCAATGGCGGCGACGTCTTTGACGACTTCGTCGAACACGCCATCCTGAATGCACTCATCAGCCAAAATTATACAGGAAGAAAATTAACCCCAACCTCGATGATATCTTCAATAACCACGAACTCAAACGTCTCTCCGTATCCGAGGTTCGTAAGATAATCGGTCATGAACCTGCCTTTCTCTGCTGAGCGAACCGTCCCTCGAACTCGATATCCTCGCTCAAGCAATATCTTCGCGGTCCACATAGCGACGTAGCCGTTCGCGCCTGAGACTAGGACTTTTCCGCCTTGAGGAACTGTTGGCATGATGATTGTGAGCTAGACGGGTTGACGAAGGAGGGATGGGAAGGCAAATGGCTGAAATGGAAGGCGTTGGTTGGGTCTTTATACTCTAATCCTGGGATGGTAGTGCCGTCTTATCATAATCAAAGCTTGTAGAGTCCGCGGTATGTTGGGCTGTCCTGCTGGAAGCGGGACGAATCCGGTCGGTTGGCAACGTTAACAGCCCAGGACGAAGCTTAAGTACGACCCGAACAAGATAATTCAGGTCGAATGAGGAAGTACCCAACTGGCCGCTAGTCTCGTACAAAGATCATTCAGCTCTTATCGACCGCGTACCAGACGAAAGCCTACCAAAATGTCTGGTTTTGAATCATGGGACGATAGGAGCAAGGCTGGGACGAAAAGTCACGTCGAATCAATGCAGGTGAAAGTTACGGAGTTAGTATAAAATCTCGAAGGTTCTCCCGCGTCGGCTGGTCTGGCTTCCGCGACATAAGACTCCGAAAGAGGATAGGCATTTCGGCGTATCCTTCGTCTGGCCAAAGCGGCGTACGTTAACGGTGTGATGGAGGTTTGGAAGGTAGACAGTATGCTCACGAGAACAGGCGGAAGCAACGAGGGTGCGATGCTTTTTGGTCAAATTCATCGCTCGCACAATAGACCATACACATAAATCGGAGTGAGATTATCGGAGAACGGAGGCAAGGATACACCTCATGAAGTCCACGCAGCACACTGCATATTGCGCGACATCAATAATAGTAACGCCCATAGAGGAACATACTGTGTAAACATAGGCATGTATGTACATACGAAAATGATGACGGGACGACTGATGAAGCTGCGCATCTTTCGAGAGCATGAATGTCTGTCACGAATATGTGAAACAAGGACCATGCTTAGAGCTTGCCAAGAGCAGGGTTGGTGGTGCTCTGACCGGCAGCCTTAGCGCGCTTGCGGAGCATCTGGGTGGACTTGGTGCCACGAATTCCTCCACCCCATTGGCGACGAGCCTCGTCGTACTTGTCGGTGCTAGAGAATCCATGAGAACATGTAAAGGAAACCAACCATGAAAACGTACAAGTTGGCCTTGGCGGCGCTAATGAGGGTGGCGAGGTCACGCTGATCCTCACTCCTAACTTCCTGGACCGCGAGGACAGCGGAGGTCTTTTTGTGGACGACGGTGCCGAGACGGGCCTTGCCCTTGACGATCACATAGGGGACACCCATCTTGCGGCACAGGGCCGGCAGGAAGACGACAAGCTCGATGGGGTCGACGTCGTGGGCGATGACGACGAGGGAAGCCTTCTTGGCCTCGATGAGGGCAACGATGTGGTTGAGACCGTACTTGACGAACAGAGGCTTCTTTGAGTCCTGTCAAGTAAGGACAGATTAGGCCAGGTGCGCGTTCTTAGAGAAAGAACAGACATACCTTAGCATCCTTGTCCTTACCCTCAGTGGCGGCGGCAGCGGCGGCCTCGAGACGAGCCTTCTTCTCCTGCTTGCTCTCAGGGCGGTACTTGTTGAGGAGCTTGAACAGCTGGGTAGCGGTGTTCTTGTCGAGGGTGTGGGAGAATTGGGCGATGGCGGGAGGGACCTTGAGGCGTTGGTGTAGGATAACCTTCTGGCGCTGAAGGCGGACATACTCGGGCCATTTGACGAAGCGGGTTAGGTCGGTCTTGGGGCGGATATCCTGGCCTAAAGAGAGTGATGCTAAGGAAGGCCATCTCCAAAGAAAGGATGTATGACACACCAATGCCGAAGTTCTTGGGGGTGGCCTCGAAGAGAGGGTTCTTCTTAGCCTTGGTTGACTTGCCAGCACCGAAGGGGGCAGCAGCAGGCTTCTTGCTTGATCCAGTCTTTGCTTTAGGAGGCTGGTCATTGAGACGAAGTCAGCAACGCGATTCTCAGCAAAGGAGATGCGAAGCGCCTCGGAGCTCTAGCGCCGCGTGTATGAAAACACGAACGGCCCAGCAGCGCGTGTCATCGTCAAGAGACTCTGCGCTGAAGGTGAGACAGGATGTCTGCACTTTCCACGGTGCTGAAACGGTTCTGAATGGCACTGATAAGTTTTCCGCAGAACGTCATCCGGAGTGCAAACTCACCATCCATCCAAAATCCTCCACGTATCAACACGAATTCACCATGGATGAACCACTGCTAGACGAGCTCCTCGACGATGTTTTGCTTACCATTTTGACGTAGGTTCTTGAGGATGCCGGCGATGTCGATGGGGGGCGTTGAGGATGGTTGCGATGTGCTATAAGAATATGTTTCAAACTCCGCTTTAAATCCGGTCCCGCCTTCGAGTCCACATCCATATCGTCGAAGTCTTTGAGTGTCTTTCTGACATGAGTTCGGTTCTCAAATTCTGCGCTGGGCTACGCTGGATAGCGTAAGAATGACTCAAGTATCTTTTAACTTCGCAGGAAAGCCTCGTTTTTAATTAATTATGAGTCTGTCGAACTCTACAACACCCCACCGCTAGTCCCTTTCGCGAAAAACTCGGGGCCTGTCTCAGTAAGCCGATACTGCAAAGCAGAGCCTCTGGAGATCAACTTTACAGCGCCTGAATCGCTTGGCGGGTAAGAAAATCCGGCATGAATGGCGATCTGCCAAAATCAAGGAGAACGCAGTAAGAAAAATTCCAGTTCCAATGGGAGAGACACTACTAACCTCCCCACTGACAGCACCGCTTCTCCCACTGGCAAGTGGTCTCACTTCAAGATGATACGTGCAAATCTGCAGCAAGTGTCGAAGGAGCTCGTCGGGCTCGTTCGGCGTCACCACATGATGTCGAATGAGGAGCGTCGCATTCGCCTTCAGTGCCAGGGACCTCAGGGCTCGTATGAAGCGCTGTACAGATGTGAGTGAAAAGCCGATCCACTCCAATACCGATATGTCGTCCAGAATGATGAGAGGCCGCTGCTGAGAAGGCGACGAATTCTCGAGAGCTGAGAGGACGCGGTCGAAGACTCTTCGTAGGTTGGCTTCCGTGCCAGGCTCCACGCAAGACAACAATTCTATGAACTCGAGCGTCCCTGCATCAAGATGCGTTTGGAGGTTGATGTTCTGGCATCTATGAATATTAGACGAACTCTCAAAGAAACAGAAGGTGGGGACTGCACCGATTTCATTGCTAGGGCTTTCCACCTCGTTATACCCTCCGATACCGAGAGTATAACAGATTTCGGTTTGACCCGTCCGGAAACAAGTCCCGCTTTGAGGTGTGCCCCGAGAGTGCGATGCAAGATAAAATCTGCTGGAGCTGCGAGTTCATCTAATAGCAACAAGACGATACCGTCTGGGAGATCAAACGGAGAGAAAATCGAGTGCATCTCGGTGGGTTCGACCCGGGATATCTGCAATGTATGGCTGCCAGGTGTAATGAAGGAGATGGTGAAGTTGTGGTAAAGATCCCAATCAAAGACTCATGTATCCAATAGCAAGTCGTGGGAATATGGATCCACCGGGCCGTACTCGCCTACCATCAGTGCGCCACAAAATCAGGAAATAAGGAATATCTTTCAGGACTCAGGGCTTCGCTGAAACGTACGAGTTTTATTTGACATGATATGGAAACAATCATAAGATAGAGAGTAATTCTTTCCTCGTCGTGGTACAGAGCGGCCGTGTTCAGATCTTACTACTTACTCATCTCCCGTGGACTGATTGTAGTGTCTGTATGCCGCAACTTGAAGTGGAGGAAGCCTTCAATGTCGAGAAAAGGATGGGTTCAATTCCTTAAAATGGGCTCAGCTCATAGTGGGTCTCCTGGTGTACCTATACCCCCCCTCATATCATGACGTGCACTATCCCAGCGCCTAATTTAAATCAATCTCAGATGGAGGACTGATTTCTCCAGCTCGGGATGAAGGGGATTGGTCGATGACACCGACAGGTGCGGAGTTCGGATGAAGAGAATTTGGGGACCTCAGCGCCGCTCGCTTTAAAACAGGCACAGACCGCCACGGAGAGACTCTACTCAATGCTTACATGACTGATGACGCTAACTTCTTGTTGGCGCCACCATCAGCAAGGAGAGACCTTTCTGTCAAACCTTTTTGGTTGTTTACAGCGCGCATAAATATTCATTTGATCTATGTATTCAAAGTAATAAAATAACTGGTCATCGCATCATAATGCTCGTCGCCTTCAAGATAAGAAATATGGATAAATCCCTATCCTATTTATTCGCCCCCAGCCTGACGGGCATTTCACCATATCAGAACCGTTATTTCTTCCTACTTTATCGCTCTTCACTTCTCGGACCCTCACTCAACTGTTCCCTACGGATTTCCTGGTTGCGCCACACAACAGCGAACCTTCCATCAATGATCCTCGTCCTCGTGATCGACGGATCGACTTCCACGCTTGCCACGTTTCCGCCTTGACAACAAATCTCAACAAACGTTCAGCATTTTTCTTCAAAGTCTGAAAGCCCCCATCGGGCGCCTTTCAAGCTCCAATAGGATCCAGGAGACTTCCTTATGCGGATCGAGATGTCCATCAAGCGACGAACTCCCATTGGCCGCAAGAAATAGCCTCGGAAATGCCCGTCCGTCACCGAAAACTCTCCTCCTTCAACCACCTCACCGATTACTGCGGTGCCTGCTGACACCAAGCTGACATTTCGTTGCGGTGGGCGGACTCAATGGAATCTCCCTTCAGCTAATTCGACCGTGAAGCTATATATTCATGCCCCACCGAGCTTGGGTCCCCCCACAACCCACAGTCGACTGCCAGCAATGCAATGGAGCTGAGTAAAAGCGACTTCATACGCCTGTACGAGTCGAACCTGATACCTCTGAGAGTCGTTTGTGAGTCCCAACGATTTCATACGTACAGAGCTTTGAACTAATCTGGAACTATTCAGTGGCGGCCTTGGTCTGGGTTCTCCACGACTACTGTAAGTGGGTCGAACAGGGTGGAGAAGAGATTCTCTAACATGGAGCGATGGAAGTTATTACCTTGGAGGACGAGGTGGTATACATCTGGGTAAGTGCTACAGAACTCAAGGAAAGGCAGGACTTTGATGTCCCCTCTAAGAGTCAGAAACGGAGTTTAGGGAAATTTATGTTCTTATGGGTACATTGGTGCATCTCACTCTCAAAGACAATCACAGTTGAGGCTATGTTGGCACACCAGGTTCGGTACTACACTATATTTCTGGTCGCTTTCGACACACTCCAAATCCATACCTTCGCCATCCCGGGGGTTGCTACCGATAAGTTGTGAGCAGAAAGTGCACACGGCATTTTAGAGTCGCTGACCATTTGTATTACTCGTCAGATGCGTTGCTGCTGACCCTGTCACCCGACTAGCAGGGGCGATAAGCCTCTGGTCGGTTGAAATCATCATGCAACTTAGGATCTACGCCCTCTTCAACCGTTCGAAACCTGTATGTTGTCGAGTTTTTGAAAGTTTCCTGGCATTCTGAACCATAACCAGGTTGCCGTATTCAATGCCCTGCTCTTTCTCGCCTCGATTGGAATCTTTCTCTGGATTATGATAGTTAACGCTATGAAGCGGGGGAAGGCAATCTCTCAAGCTCTCCACCTACCTCTCCCTGGTTGCCCAGTCATCAATGGTGGAACCGAGTGGTCGCTCTGGATCGCCCGTGAGCTGTGGATACCATTCTTTTCAAAGGCTATCGGCACTGATTTTGTTATTCCAGCGACTGTCTTCGAATTCATTCTCTTCCTTTTCGTGGTTTACAAGAGCCTTGTGTCAGTATCAGCGCGTATTAGGCTCAACCAGCGTGTATCCTTGACTGCAGTGCTGTTGCAGGAGAATATGCTGTACTTTTTCAGGTGAGTTCCACGCGGAGTCTTGAAATGTGCGGCCTAATCTATTTCTAGTGTCGCCTGTCTTTTAATATTTAATAACTTGATGGTCGTGGTGAGACATTTTAGCCAGCTCTACGTCTGGGGAATGAATTTCTCCTCTTTCCCCGACCAGGGTGCCACCCACATTCCGTGGTTTGGATTCGGGTATGTCATGCTCCAACTTCCATTCCCTCTTCTCGGTGATCCGATATGTGTTCTATAGACCATTTCACGCAGCGATAGGGATCGTAACATGCCGCATGCTGATCCATCTTCGTAAATTCGCCCTAGAGAGCCTTGACGGTTCTACGAACACGCATGGAAGGAAAAGAGGCACACTCCGATTCGAACATACGTCCTACACAACATCAACATACGACTAATCAGTAACGAAAAAGACACATAATCGTCACGTTTGGAGACTCATTGTAAACTGACCTTGTACATGAGTGCAAGTCTAGAGAAGACAAACCTGTTGTCCTAAATCCATGCACTTCCATCCTCATTCTCGAGCGTCAAGATCCTCAACTCCATCAGCCTAATCAGCTCCCAAATATACAGTGGGTCCGTATATTCCGCGATCGTGAATTCGTTCTGATCAGCTCTGATTTCGATCTTCTTCAAAACTGCGATTGAATCGTCCAGATCTGTCGTGCTGTGTGTGAGCGTGTTTTCGTTGAAGTACCGTATACGTGAACGGATAATAAGAGGGTCGAGGAAATCGATAGCGTAGAGCCCTAGTCTTCCGTGGTAGCTGAAGACCTCGAGGCGGGGTAGGAGCGCGTCCTCTGGGTTATCGACTTGAAGGGCCTCGAAGAACGCCGTAGTCAAACCTGATGCCGACCGACCCTCGTTGGAATCGGTGAGGTGCAGCTCCCGTATCGAGGAAAATGGCGAGCTGAATAGGAGATCGATGAGAGCAAATTCCTCCCGGATGGGGTACGTCAGGGAAAAGGATGTCAGCGTGCAATCAAATAATTGGATGAGAGATGATAGTTGTGACATGGAGACAGGGTCAGAATTAATCAGGTCGAGGTTTAAATTATTGAGCGCCGGGAAGGATAGAGCGCTAAGGTGCTGGAAAAATCTCGCAACAACTTTCCACAACGATGATCGAATGAATATCGATGCAAGGCGGATGTGGCGCTGGATGTCCGTCCGCCTCATCGTTGGAAACCTCTTCGGAAGACTAGACAGAGCGAGTTCCTCTAGCTGTGGATACCGTTTCAAGATGGCGATTAGGTCAAGGTGTGTGCCGTTGGTTAGGGAAAGGCGTGAAATCCCTCCTGGTTGGTGAATTATGTATTCGTGAAAATTTGTGCTCTGAAAGTTGATGACAGAGAGGTTGCTCAAAGCTGGGGATTGAGAGAAATCGAGAAGGGTGATGTTCTTGCTGGGGGCGTGACGATGTCGATGCACGGTGACGGAAGCGAGCTGTGGAAAAGAAATGGGGGTGTCGAACATGCTTTGACTCGAGTTCGAGCTAAGCATATGAGGTATATTGGCAAACTTAATCGCGACCCACTGCTCTCTGTAGTGCACAAGGAGGCGTAGGAGTGGCTGGTGGTAATATGGGATCGATGTGTCGAAGTAGATTTCCAGTGGGCGCCCTTGTGTGCGTTCCAACCATTCTTCCAGCAGCTGTCTCTGGATCTCGGCAGATTCGATCTCCACTTGGCGAACCACCACCGTCGTCCACAACGAAGAGGTCGCCCAGGCTAGTTGCCGCCAGGCTCTGCACACTCTCCCAAAGTAGAGTGGATAGAACGGGCGGTACCAGCTGTCATCGTTGGCGTATCGCTGGCATGCATAGAAAAATATTCTCTCGGTAATCTCGTGAGGTAGGTCGATGGGGTCAGGCCATGGGCTCTCGGCGTCAGTCTCTGAACTATCGGCGTCTATTTCGTTGGTGTCGCCAAGGGATGCCAACACATCATCGTAGAAGGAGTAAGGGGGTGGAGAGCTACTTGCGTGGTGTCGAAGAGTGGAGGATGGGAGGCTTGCAGGGTGACTGGACATCGCGTGGGATATAAAACCGAGAGCGATACGAGAACTCATGAATTCAAGGATTGGTCAACTGGGAAACATGCATGACCGTGAGAGTTGAGTCTAAATAGGGCGATTCGCATGAACAGTCAATTATTCCCGGACACCTTACTTTTCATAAGACTTCTTTGAGGATGAAGGTCTCTTCTAAATAGGAGGAAGTTAGAACACGGGCTCTCCGTCGTATGGATGATAGATGAAAGTTCCGGTATCGCTAGGGCATCCGTCATGTTTGTGTGGCGCATCTGGTGGACCAATTTCGGATCCGAGACGGGAGGGCTGATTATTAATCAAATATCAGCAGCGGGCAATTACACCCACCCCACATAATATCTATTGGAAGAAACCCTTCCTGAACTATATATTCATGTAATTTATTCGCATCCTGCACGGTGAAAACCGAACCAAGGAACGATCATTCATTAAGGACCTCGTCGAAGAGCAACTTCGCTTTTCATTTGCCAGCTTAAATGGTGCGCTAACAAATGCCAGTGAGCCCACCGAGTTCCCCGATTGGGTGTCTTACTTACCTTAACATTTACCCATTGCACGGCAATATCTTTGGGACGCGTCCCAAGTGCGTCCTTGCATTGTTCACACCTAAGCCGATCTCCGCGAGTCCGTTAATGTCCCTTGCATCGCATGGACCGAAAGATCTGTTGACGCTAAGCAACCTCAATAACACACTTAAAGCCCACGCATTCAACGTACCTGGTTTGCAGTCCCAGAGGCTGCAAGTGCCCAAGCCCGACTCAGCTTCTTCTATTGCGAAATATCACACTCTTCTGTCGGAGGGTGCAGATGTGGCGCCTGGATTGTAAGGGATTTAAGTGCCTCTTGGCGTGAAAGACGGAGTTTCATGAGGTGGGAGAGATACTTGGGGCCCATCCTCGTTGCCATATCGTCCGTGATATTAGGCAGGTAATAAGAAAGAAGATGGGAGGATGCTCTCTCAGCCAGCGTGTGGAGGTCGTGGTGGCCAGCCAGGGTATAAACACACATGGCGAAAAGGGAATGCGAGAGAAGGAGATCGTATAGGGGGTTACCTGGCACGATGACCACAGAAGGGACTAGACCGTAGGAGGGCATTTTGTCGACTGCAACTTCACTGTCGTCGAGTGAAGGCAAATTCATAGCACAGAATAAGCCGCAGATAGTATGAAGGAGGATATTGAGGATCGGAGCGCTGTCTGGTATATCGGTGATTCTGTCGCGAAACTGTTTCCCTTGCAGAGAGGCGCCGAAAAAGGGCGAAAGGCGTTCAGGTAGTCTGCTAAGATCGCATTCGAGTCAACGCAGAACAAGACACCATCCGAAGAGCGGAACATCATATCCTATACCTCATCGTGGGCACCGGGAAAGAAGGTCAAAGATACCGAGTCCATCTCGCTCTCGCTCTCGTCGTTGTGCTTCTCGATCTTAGGCGGCTATAAAATCAGGAATAAAGTACAGCAAAATACTTGGAATTTTGAAGAGCCCACCATAACCAACGATTATGAGTGATATAATAAAGCTTTTGGAGGGCCAAGTTCACATTCTGATACGCAATCTTGACCAAGATAGTGTGTGTGTGACAGAATGTTTCGAGGCACTCGGCGTGCAAGTGTATCGAGAGCTCAGGTTCTTGCAGCAGTGACTCCATTTAATAGTGCATTGGATGTCGTCTCTAAACCACGGAAACAGACTGAAAATTTGTCAGTGAAATCCCGCAGAAGGCCAACTACCTCTTACACACCTGTACTTCCCTATACCTGCGCAGATCGTAATATTAGGAGGCGACGCTCATGAACAACTCTCGCCGCCCACAGGCCTACTTCAACTTCTTGGGTTGTTTGTTGTGAAACTCCACCTGGGACTTCAGGAAGCTATCCCGGCCTAAGACTCCTAGAGCTTTCAAGCTCTAGGCAGATGGATAACATTTGATGGTGGACCCCTGGCGAGGCGGCTACGCTACAGAGTAACTTCGGCAAGCGGAAGATCCCTTCGTCGAAGGTGAATTCGACAAAGCTCCGGAAAAGGAGGACGACGGAACCACTTTCGGTTTCGGTGTCTTCGCCCTTCGCGACCTCAAGGTGAACGAGGAGGTCATATTAGGCTGAGAATGGGACGACGGTAACGCTTTTCAGAACTTACCTGCGTTTTTGGAAGCACTGCACACATTCCCATATGTTCTCTACTTGCTTTTAATTTTTTGCTGTCGGTTACCAACGTCTAGCCCTCGTTCGCCTCACACCACCTTTGACTCTTCTGCCTCCTCCTCCGACGACGGCAAAACCGCTTACGGCTCAAACGAAATCACGTAGGAATCTTCACAACCAAACGGCAAATATCCTTCGAGTCCCGACAATGTTGTCGCCTCCCCAGACAAAGGTTCGTTGAGGTAACGATATGATGCGTGATGGGCCAAAAAATGCTCAGCGGACGAGGAGAAAGTCAGCGGCCCGATGAAGCATTGCCTAACCTCTGCAGTTTTCTTTTCACAGTTTTGAGGGTTTTCCGATTATTGTACTGGGCAGTCAACCGTTTTGAAACCGTTTTTGAGACGCTTGCCTTCAGTGTTTGTATTTGGTGTTGCTTGGGCGGGCACATGATTGCTGAGACGCGTTGAATCCATGGGCGCGACTGGACTGGGACAACCACGACCATCGATTCAGGTTCCTCAGCACAGCTCTCGCGCTTGTATCACTTTAGGCGTTCATTATGTCAAATCGAGCACTGACACCTCCTCGACGCTTGGACACTCACATCCAGCCGGAAGACACGGAAGGACCTCATGATGAGGCAGACTCGCAATCAGATCCCAATCCATCCACCCCGCCGACGCGCAAGCGACACCTGGACGACGAACCATATATTCCCGATGCCCCTGGTTCTCAAAGCGACGCGAAGGGCAAGACACCCAAGAAGCGGAAGAAGACGGCGTCCTCCCTGCCGTCCTATGTCAAGCAGAATGTCATTCTGGAAGTTGCGACTATGCATGGAGTGCCACCCAAGGATGCTCGACCCCAGTGCTTTATCTCCCGTGCCAGCGACGAAATGACGGTCCTCGAGTTCTCACATGTCACGAGTGGCTCAACGCCTGCAAAAGAGGTCTGTGAGACCTGTTCTGAGCCGACGCAATACTAGTGCTGACTCGATTGACGACAGATGGATTGTCTGGAATGGGCTTGGAAGAGGAAATACTACACTCTGAATGTCGACACGAGGAAGAACATACAGACCCGTGAGCGATCAACCATCTGACCGCTGTTCAGACTTATTCACCTTTCCTTCAGTCCGTATCAGTCTCCACCGATGGTTCGACAAGACGAAAGGGTCCAAGCCTGTCGGCTGGTTTTGGCTTCCCGTCGATCTCAACATTGTTCTCCATATGTATGCCGCCTACGTCGGTAGTGATGTTATCCTCCCTGAGGCAGGCACCACTGCAAATGTGCGGAAGGACCCGCAGGTCGTATGTGCATTTCCACTCTGGTTCGACAAATGCTGACCACCTTCAGTTCTATAAATCCGAAAAGTTCCAGTATCAACTTATCCCTCTTCCTGATATGAAGCTTTCGTGGTCGGTCAAACATTACACTGCCGATCCTCTTCGCCTATTCGATCCCAGCCTCATCAACTACAGTGTATACCCCTTCGACGACCTCCCGCCCTTCGAGCTCCATGTCCCCTACCACTTTGTCATCGCCAACACCGGCAAGAAACTCTTCCAACTATATGGCTATGGCACAATCGACTTTCAAACCCATTTTTATTTCCTGTCGCCCCTCGCCAAAAACATGATGAGAGCTGTGCGCAATATCTATGTGGCGTGGATGATGGCTACACCTAACCCGAAATGGCTCAGTGGAGAGGGCTACGATGATGAACAGGACTCTGCTGCAGAGCAAACGCACCTTCGTGGAGGAGCTGGTTCGGATGGCGGTCCCCAAGGTAGAGGCGCGCCCTCTGGTGGTAAGGGCGGCATGAGCCGAGCTCAAGATGCCGCTCCCCACCCTTCCGGTACACCAATGGGACAACGACGGCCCACTGCGGAGTCGCTTGCGCCTTGCGACTCGGCTTCTTGTCTCGGGGCTTTCGAGCTTGTCGACGAGGTGAACGGCAAAGATGAGGACAAACCATTTGTGGATGACGAGGATGAGGAGTATGAGGACGACGAGTTCTTCATGGGCTTAGAACAGTGGGCGAGCGATGTATGGACCGCGACACGTTCTGGTTCTGATAGCGGATCTGACTCGGCGATGACGCTGGTTGGAGCTGCAGCGCCTGCTTTCTGCAAGGGTGTAGATGTGGTGACCTTGGAAACACCACCGTATCTTTCCGTCTAGTGACTATTGACTGTCCGTTTATCAACGTACATGCTACGTTTCTTGTTATCACTACCGAAGTCGACCCTCGATTCAAGGAGTAGTTAGGAGGTGTGCCTCATTCGAGTCAAAACCGACGCGTCAGAGGACAGCGTTGATGACTTGAGGCAATGATTGCTCCAGAGTTCACGAAAAAACCTGAGCAGGGTATGTGCACGCCTTGGACCTATCTATATTAGTCGGGCGGTCTGGCGTAGACTTCCAGACCAATACAAAGAGAAAATAATCAGCGTTAAAGAGCGGATCCATTACTTTGTCCGGGCAGGAGGACCCGGGAAGCTCCTGATAGGTCTTGGGCGAAATTTACGGAGTTGAGGCCCCAGGTTTGGCCTCCACGGACAAGCGCAGCGTCGAGCCTTTCTTCGCGGGAAGCAGCGTTTTGCTTATTTATCAACGTTTTCTGCCTGAAAAAAGATGTAGGAAAAGTAAGAGGCGGTAAGGATTTAATCGCCGGACACTGGAGCCGGGGGTGGGGAAGTTGGCCAGATTCCGGGGCGAATGGGAATGATTTATTGAGGGTGATTAGGCCTCCACAGAGCAACTTTGGCGAGGGTGCTAGAACCCTTCGTCAGAGATGAAGCTTTGAAGTCCAATGACAACAGGTCGGCTATAAATCATGGGAGAAAGTGGTTTTCTCTGAAAAGACAGAAGACGAGTTCAAGACGCGCTGCGATTTCGCCAGCGAGATTTTCAGTGTTTAACCAGTCGCGAAAGCCAAACAAGCCCCTATTTATTGTACTACAACTTACCACAAGGATATTTAGCTCGAGTTCCATTTAGATACAGAGAGCGGCGTCTGGGTAGGAGAATTACACGTACTTGTCCCCACCCCTTTTCAGGCGTACATTATTTAGTGATGGGTCGCGATATCGTGGGACCCGATTACTTCGTTTCAATCGGTCTTCCGAACTGGCCGTGTTTTTGTAAGTTTGGGAGGCTCTGGGAAGCTACTTGGCCTACAATTCGGAATACACGACTGGCATGCCCCATAGAGTACCCTATCGAAGTTCTATTGAGAGGCATGATTGTTGCTTAAATAACAGGCTTTCTATTACAGCCATTCGCGGAACATAGGGCGCGGGTCGTTTTTTTCCAAAACGGGTCAAATTGATGGTTCGAGGGGGGTCGCGGGCCATTCGTAAAATAACTTTGTCAATTCTTGTCCGTTTTCAATAAAATTATATGCGTTAGACTCGCATTGAAATTGCGCGTTGATTGGTGCATTATATGTCTGGGGAATACAGTGGTAGGCTGAAGCATTTCGTCCATGCTCATTTTGCAGCCCCTCGATGAAGTGGCCACAAAATCCTGCACTTCCGTCTCCCATCTTCACATAATTTGCATTCATAAAGGACTGTTTCACGTAGTATACACTATGGAGTTACAAAATCCTTAATGTGTGGAGAATAGCATCCCAAATTGTGAGGGCTTCCCCAGTGGTTTCATCTGGACCTGGGATGGCCTGAAACTTGACTTCCTTCATGAAACAGATGAAGTATTCAATATATGGGCAATACATTGACATGAATTCACCATATCTACAACCAACTGGGCCAAGCAGCTGCCTTTGGACATGGTAGAGATTGTGTGTCAGTGTTCAAGTGCCCAATGGAAGGTCCACTTGTTTTTGTCCTTTTTTGCCCCAACTGAACAGGAGATACTATGTAACAGTGTGGCTCAGGTGAATATATAATGGTTCATGGAAAGGGAGAGGCTTCTGAGTTGGAATATGGATATCTAAGTACATTGGTGGTGATGTGGTCCAACTAACTTCACCCCAGCATATCAAGCCCTGCCCTGTTTCCTTGACATTTCAATGTACATAGATTTTTATTATGATGCAGCTCTTCTTAAGGGGGAATTAAGGCAGGAGGAGAGCTCTAGGAAAGCATACATCTGCCTACTTGTCAAAAACCTCCTCAGGATGATGTTCTTCTCATTCCTTCATCCTACCATAACTTTTGGGGGTACTATTCAACACAGAATTTCAATGCGAGTCCAACGCATATAATTTTATTGCAAACGGACAAGAATTGACAAAGTTATTTTACGAATGGCCTGCGACCCCCACTCAAACCATCAGTTTGACCCGTTTTGGAAAAAGACGGCCCGTGCCCTATGTTCTGTGAATGGCTGTAATACCAGGCCCTTGTCAGCATATTGACGGGCTTCTGGAGACATCTTTCTTTCAAAAATGGATGTTTTGTAGGCGGTGTAAAGCAGGACAAGCAGGCAAGAGGGTCTTCATCGTCGTAAATATTCTCTATTTGGAAAGAGTGGTGAGAGCCAATGGTGCCTTCAATCACAGTATACAACGCACATTCCATATCTGCCCCTTTATTGAGAAGGTACTTAGGCTCGTTACAATCAGGCGTAAGTAGAAAGGGCTCTAGTCACACCACCCATGCCTGGCAAAGTCCTCCAAGGAGGCTGGAATCGTATTCTGCTGAAGAATTTCAGGGTACCCAGGGGTAAGCTTGTGGGATGGGAGCAGGTTTGGCATCAGATTATTCACTACGTTTACTAAGAATAAGAGATAATCATTAGTCAATTTCTGTGGAAGACTAGCAATATGGAACTTGCTCCATTCTTGCCAAACGTGCACCCCTTTCAAGCCATAGTCAACAATGTGCAGCAGAATATAATTAAAGCATGCCTACCAGATGTGAGGAGTATCCTCTCACCACCTGCCGCTTCCTTCTTGAGAGCTAAAACATGCACAAAAGCAGTGTCACGAACGTCGACCCAACTGGCCGACTGGCTAAGCATTTCCTTGGTCTTCGGAGACTCAGAAACAACCAGGTCATACCACGTCTGGAGGGAGGAATTCAGAGACTTGGGGGAGCCAACGTCGTGAATAGGGGGCTATGAGTCGGACTGCTAAGATGAGACCAATGACAATAGTGTGTTAGAATAGATAGTTACCCCAAAAACCTGGATTGTATCATCAGAAAGTTAATCTGGCATATGAATGGAAGATAATGCACAAAGGAGGGATTGATAACAGTCAAGTCCCATGAGACTTGTGACTTATGCTGGTTGTAGAACTCCCACACAGCTGCAAAGTGGCGGTCAGTCAGCAGGACGATAAGAGAACCTTCTCGCATACCCCTCTCCGCAAGGGACTTGGATGCACGATAGACGGTGGTACCCGCAGCCTTTGAACCAAGCTCTTCAACTTCCTTTGGCGAAGCTTCATTCCAATCCCTCTCGCTGAAAACTCTAGGCTCAGACAAGTTTGGAGTCATGATTGCTGCAGTTGACGAAGTGATCATGATGCGATTGACTTTTGGGCTTTGCAAAATTGCAGGTCAGCAAGCATCAAAGTGGGAATGGATGGCAAAACGAACGTGTGTTCCACAGCGCTCTCGAGCATACCAACTGTTCCTTGAATGGCAGGTCCCAGGATTTCTGCTCCACAGTAAGATGAGACCAAATAATTCTGAGTGAACATGGGACTCACCCTGGGGGTCGGGGCATCGAAGTAAGCTGGCGATGCCTTATGCTCAATAGTGTCGACGTCTTTGATGACTTCGTCAAATGCACCATCCTGAATGCACTCATCAGCCAAAATTATACAGGAAGAAAATTAACCTGCGCCTCGATGATATCTTCAACAACCACAAACTCAAAAGCCTCTCCATATCCGGGCTTCGTAAAATAATCGCTCATGGACCTACCCTTCTCTGCAGATCGGACTGTCCCTCGAACTCGTAACTTCGCAGTCCACATGGCGACGTAGCCGTTTGCGCCTGAGACTAGGACTTTTCCGCCTTGCGGCACAGTAGGCATGGCATTGCAAGGTGTTAGGATGCACGACCGAGAGGACAATTGGGGATGAATTAACCAGGCCGAGAGCAGCGTATAGGCGTGTATCTAAATATAGCATAGGCTGACTGTGTGGAGGCTGGATAGGACGAGAAAGGAACGGGATCCCAGGAGCCCAGGAGGCAGACGGGGGGTGGACCAGGACATCGTATAACAAGGCTACGATGGAGCCTTTGTGAGGGGGAAATGCGAAATGCGAGGAAAAGTAGCTTCTTTGTATTGGAAGGCCATTATTGGGCCACTACACATTTATAGTTCTGGCGTGTTTATAGCGTCTTCTGATTCTATCCTGCACATCGCTGATAATAATTCATCCCATAGAAGGGGCATGAATGCAACCCCAAACCAGGCGAATTGAGAACGAGATAAAAATTTCTTTACCTTGATGGCTTATTAAATGGTTCACTGTGTGGTGTTCATCGGAAGCGAAATTGTGAAGGGCTGCAAAGCATTGGTGTTTTAACACACAGATAAGAGAAGGAGATTCCAATCGACCGTGATTCTGCTACAAAAAGTAGAGCCTTCTGTAACTTTGACGATCAACAGAGAGGAAACTCATGGCCGATGCACATTGCAGGCTCTAGCAGATTGAAGAGTCACTACCAAATAAAATTCTCATTTAGCGTCAAGATTAACAACATGAGGTACGTATGATCTTATCTTCTTCGATGGGCGTAATATTTCTACCACCCACACCTCACAAAGTCTTCCAATGTATCCCTAGCCGTCTCCTCCATAGTCTTGAATTTGATTCCGAAAATACGCTCTTCCTTGGACTTGTCTAAAGTAGCAAGAATCACTTTCTCTCGACTAATTTCAGGGTACCCAAGAGTAAACTTGTGAGATGGGAGCAGGTTTGGCTTCAGATTGTTCGCTGTGTTGACTGGAAGAAGGTACTGATTGGGAAATTTGCTCGAAATAATAATATATGACTAACTCCACTTTTGCCAACAGCATACCGCTGCAAAGTCCAAAGTCAACAAGGGTCCACGGAACGTGGCTCAATTTTGCCTACCAGATACGGTCAGGATTCTCTCTGCACCTGCTGCTTCGTGTTTGAGAGCCCGGACATGTGCCAAAGCAGTGTCACAAACGTCGACCCAAGCAGGTGATTGGCTGAGCGCTTCCTTGGTCTTCGGAGACCCGGAGGCGACCATGTCATACCAGGTCTGGAGGGAGAGGTTCAGGGACTTGAGTGAGGTAACGTCGTGAATGGGGGGCTACGAGAATAGATAGATGGATGAGCCCAACGGCGGTAGCGTATGAGACAAAAAAGCTACCCCAAAGACCTGAATTGCATCATTAAAAAGATCTGAAATATAAATGGAGGATAGCTCACGGCAGCAGATAGGGAAGCCGTTGAGGTGGGACAATGACCGCAGCTGAGAGGTAATTGCACAGGAACAAGGACCACAAAGCTAAGTGAGCTGATGCCTAATATATGCAGTATGTATCTACATAGAGCTGAAACCTAATATACATGCATAATACATTGCAGGGCTGAGCGCTACTGTGGGCCTAAGAATCACTGGCGTTTGAGGCTGATGGGGCGCCAGAGCCGGATGCAGGAGAGGCATCGGTGGTGGCAGCCAAGGCGTCGTGGAGTCTTGCACGGAACCGATCAGGCGAGCATTGATATGCAAGAGATTCCGGTTGTGGATGCTGGCGAGCTCCATCAGCTCTTCGGTGCGTCTGATAGTCCGATTGCAGTTCGTAACATAGCGCTCCAGCGTTGATTCAATACCCGGGATGTCCCGGATGAGCACCCGGTGCAAGGAAATGATCTCCTCCTGCTTAATGTGCTGCTATAGTGTCAGAACAGCGGACTAGGGGTGGCAGCAGTGACTGACCAGAATTAGTAATGGCGGCAGAGGGTCGGCTCGGGGTGGGGGGGCATGATGAGGTACGCCAAAGCATTGCTCAATGGTATGGCCTTCAAACAAGGCGTGCACATACACCAGATCGATGGAGGGGTAGTGAATGTAGTCCCTGAAGACATCACGTGGACTGAGGTGGAGGGGTGGAGGGGATGGCGGGGGGGAGGGGGTAGAATTGAGTTCAATGACGGCACCGCGAGCATGGGCCGGTACAAGAAAACGATTGGCGCCTTGTTCGAAATCCGGTTCTGGGTCTTCCTCCGCCTCCTCCACTGTGTGCTGCATTGTGCCGGTGGAGGTAAATTTCCATAAATTCCTGCTTGACATGAGTGGGGGGAGGTAGATTGGTTTGTTCATCCTCATGGTCGTCGTCTGGCTCATCTTCATCGCTGTCCCATTCCTCCGCCTCCGCTGTGTAATTGTCATCGTCGTCGGTGTTGTGCTGGGCAAACATTGTTCGAGGCGCATTGTCAATGACCATTGAATCAGGGGAGGGGCTGGCAAGGGTGTCGGGCGCCACCGGCGGCAGGTGCTTGCTTGCTTCCTGAACTTGCCGGTGAAGTTCAGCAAAATACTCAGGACCAGGTTGAGGACGCAGAGGCCTTCCCGGTTCCGCAATCGAGTGGTTGATGGCAGCTAGCTGTGCTGGTGGAGAAGGCGGTAGCGGGTTGAGCTGTCGTGCGGGGAGGGAGACATCAGCACCAGCGAACAGCGGTGCAGTGAGAATGGCGGCGGTGCCAGATGAAGAGGAACTGGCAACAGGAGGTGCAGGAAGGGCAGATCGAGGGATATCTCCTAGCTGCATCCGTGAGAGTAATCCAGCACAGGTATCAGGCAAGGCCATTGAATTTTTGCTCAAAAGGGGGTCATCAGTGGTGGCGGCAGAGCCCACTGAAGACACCTCGACAGCCTGCATTGCTGTAGACTTGGACTGCTGCATCAGCGGGCCAGCCTGGGTTACCTGCTGTTTTGATTTTGCTCATATGAGAGCACCGAGGTCAATGTATTTGCGGTGTGCGGCGTCCATGGTCACTGGTGCTGGTGCGGTTGAAATAGGTGGTGCAGTGGCATTGCGGGCGAGATCCGCCATTGGAGAGGATGATGCAGCTTTGAGAGCCCGGCGGGCAAGGATCTGCTCACGAGCGCGTGCAAAATCTGCGGCAGGGCGTTTACTGGGTGGCAGTGGCGGGGGTTGGGTGGGAGCCGCTGGACCCTCGGGCTGCGATTCCATGGGAGTCATTGGTGGCTGTGGTAAGCTAATGATGTGCCTCCCATCCAGGCTGTAGATAGGACCGCTGACCTTGTCACGGTGCGCAGGATGGACCTCGTAGAGGGTGGGACTAGGTGGTGCGACGATTGCCGCCGGCTCTGGTCCCATGATGCAGAGACGCTTGCTCTTTCACCAGTCATTGGTGTCATTGGGGGATTGCAAGGCAGCAGAATCTACAGGGGCAACTCTTTTTTTATCATACATTTGTGGTTCAGACATAAAGTGTGAATTTGGTGGTGGGGATGGAGGCAGTTTCTTCAAATCTTGCAAGGATTGTTTCAGAGTTCGAAGGGCATCCTGGAATGTCAGATAGAATTGTTAATAGGCTCACGTTTATATATCAAAATGAGGGTGGTCCATACAGATTCAACAAAGTTTGTGGATGAGCGTGACGACATGCAGGGGAGCGGCGGATGTCAAAGAGTAGCGGTCCCAACTGGACTTGCAAGCTCGTGGGATGTTGAGGCTGATGTTCACATGAATCTGCAGATCAAGGTCGGCGGAGCGGCGTCCAACCTTGACGCAGCGTTCACAACATCGACAAGCTCTCACATCAACGATGACAACTCTCAGCACACCCGAATCCCACATCGTGTCTTCCACAGCCAAGATGGAAGACTTCAATTCCAAAGTGAAGAAGTGGAATGAGGATGTCTGGTTGGCAGGGAGCGATGAGCGATTTCTGAAGGAACATGGGCAACTGCTTGTGCATGCCTGGGTGCGTTCCATTAAAAGTTTCTACCTAGGCACAACTGAGATTATAACTACAGGTTGAGATTGCGGAAACCGTGTTGGGCCTTGATACAGACTTGGCGAAATGTGGGCTATTTGAAACCCTCACTGAGATCTGCAGTGCAGCAGGAGCTGCAGACGCGATCCTGAACTATGTGGAGTGGATGTCACGACCCGTCCCCGGCTCCCGGCACAATTATCCGGCTCCCGAGGCTGTATCCAGCTTCCGAGGCTTGTGGTAATGAGCCGTGCTCTTCCGGGACACTTCCGAGACATCTGGGAACGAGCTGTGCGCTTCCGAGGCACTTCCGAGGCGAGCCATGTTTCCGGCTCACTCCATTGTGTCTCCCAGCCATTGTCCCATTGTCCTTCATTGTTCTTCTTGTCCCGGCTAAGTTATCTATTACATAATCATGGTCCATTATCCTACATAGCATAAATACCCATGTACAGTAGTAGATTCCTCAGTCGGAATATCGAACTCAACATACCCCCTTTGCTCTAGTTCACTGCCGGAATCCGGCTCCTCCCTGTTCATCCGAAATCGGGGACACCCAGACGTTGCGTGGTGGCGCAGCTGCCCTTTCCATCAAGCTGAAGCCAAGTCCCCACCCCATCCGGCACGGTCGTTACAGTGGAAGGCTGCGATCGATGCGTACGACGCGGCCATTGCGAAAGGCCCCGAGCAGCCATCACCACCTGCACCTGTGGGAGACTGACAAGCTCCCTGTCCTCTGACAACAACACCGGCCACCCTTGCACCACTGCCAGATGTTCAAGCCCCAGGGAAGCAGCCGGCACCAATGACACCCCCGCCCACAATTGCTGCGCCTGTCTCACCCCCACAGGAAACGCCCAGTCGCATCAAAATCAAAGGGCCAAGGGCTCGAACTGCCTCGGAGGCTGCTGCTGGCGAGAAGGCGACTGCCGCCGCCGACATTGAAAAGGCCCCATCATCAGTGCTGCGGCCTGCAGCCGCCATGGATGTTGAAGAGAAACCAGAGACAAAACGCCCCAAGCCAAGGAAAGTCAAAACCGGGGACAGAAGTCATCAGCAAAAGGCTACCGTGACCTCTGTTGCTGCCGCTGCCACTGCTGCCGCTGCCGACCTCAGGTTTGGGCCTCCTAAGAAACAGCAGAAACCTGACACTGAGGCTGCAACGGGTGCGCGAACAGAGATGGATCAGCAGCCAAAGCAGAAGAAGCAGAAGAAGATGAAGCAGGAGGATATGCAAGGCCCATCCATGGGGGTCGATGAGGGCACCAGCAAGAAGACCGCAGTGAAGGCGCCTGCAGGGGAAGCACGCATGGACATGGTGGATGAGGATGGACAAATGCAAGCCAAAGGGAAGAGTATTGAGGTGGGCAGTCAGGAGGCTGTAGGGGATCGAGCAAAGGATGTGCCTGTGCCTTCTGGAGGAAGAGGAAAGGACCCAAATGCCTACATCCTGCACCCACCCCAGCGGCCGCCCAGCATTTCGGATATGGACGAGGATGAGGACAACGAAGATGATGGCAGTGAAGGCAATGCAAAGGAGCAAGGGAAGAAGTCAACAGGGGTTGGGGACGGCAAGGAAATGAAAGCCAAGGCTAAGAGGAGGCGCAGCAACGATCCGGAGGCATCGTACATGGATTCGGACAGCGACGTGGAGAAGCCGAAGAAGAAAAAGACCAAGACCCAAATGAAGTCAAAGGCAATGATTGATGATTCAGACGCCGAAGCAGAGACCTCAACCCGTTTCAAGTACACCGCCCCAGGTGAAGATTCGGACGACACCTGCTCCTCAGTTGAGGAGCAGGACTACAAGAACGACTCCGATGCCCCCTGCTTCGACGACAAACCTTTCCACAACCGCGAGCAATACCCCATTCGGATTGGGCGATACCAGTGCGACCAGTGCAAGAATGGTCGAGGACGATGGTGCTACTGGTTCAAGCTGCCTCCCAATCACCGGCGGGCCAAGGAGGTCTGCCGTGCCTGCGCTCGCCTCTGGAACAAGTGCTCGGCGAGGGATACTTGCAGGGCTGACAGTGACAAGGCCTTCACTGCCAGAGATCGAACAGCCAAGCTGTTGGACCAGGCGAAGGAACGGAAGAAGCTCATGAAGAATAGGCCAAAGCAGGCTCGCATCTCAGAGGTGAAAGGGAGGGAGATGTTCAGTGTGTGAATTTATTCTTCTTTTCTCATCCTTACTGACAATTGGCAGAGAATGGAGCCCATCTGGCGAGCCATCAGGCTCTCGCCAGGACTTCCTCGCCGCCACCGGAACACTAATTGAAGGGCTGAAGCGCAGCAACGCTGAACTGGTGGCTGAACTGGGGGCCGACCTCTGACAAGGCCAATCGAATGTCGAGCGCCAAATTGCATCTCTGCAAACACAGTTTGCTGAGCTGGACATGCGTGTCAAGACTCAGGGCCAGTTCATAGAGTCCAAGGCGGCTACAGCTGATTGAAGGGGGACGCAGCTGGAGGAACGGATGGATGCAGCGGAGACGCGGACCAGCACTCTTGAGCAATGCTTGGAACCCACTGAAAGCACCCTCACCAGACTGACCGACACCCTCCTGCAGACAATGAGGGCTCTGCCAGAAATGATTACAGGTGCCATTGACCAGAGGGAAGAAGTCAGGCGGATGGCAGCTGAAGATAGGGCGGTACAACTGGCAGCGATTACCGGCGATCCCGTCATGTCTTCACAACTCATGTGTCTGCTGGAAGGGCAAGGGCATCCTAAGGAGCAGCAGCCTGCCGCTCGCATTGCCGGCCCCTCCCATGCCACCTCCACCCCCCCTCCAGGAACAGCATCCAGTGAAATTTTTGTTTCGCCGTCTGGGCAGTCCGACTACCTCGACGAGTACACGAATGGAGGCGATTATGGCATCAACATACAGGGTAAGTTCCAAGTGGTCCTCATTTCTATTTTTTATCCTGCGCTGATACGGCGGCAAGGTCCGCCAGAGACCAGCCACTATGCTGCGCCCATCGAGGATAGTGATATGGATGAGGCAATGCCTCCCCCCCGGCAGCCCCCTTGTCAGCCCACTCTGACAATGATTGAGGAGACAACAGAGCCCAACACTTCACAACCTGTCAGAGACAATGCAGAACCTCTGCCTGCACCGGTCGAAATCAAACCCCCCACACCAGAGACGGCCTCTATCCCTCCTCCTGCCTCTCTCATTGTCACCTGTGGGTCCTCCCTCCCTCTTGTGCCAACTCACATCACCTCCCCTCCCAACGTGCCTGCCCGAGGACGAAGTGCATCCCGGCCTCCATCTCGAAGCAACCCCCCCTGCGGTGCAAGGAGCAAAACGCCGGCGCCTGAAAATCGGAAGTCGGCACATTGATGGATGCAGGGCATTGGACATCTTACGGACTTTATCATCGGACAATTTTTTTTGATGTCGTTTATCCTTCCCCGTCTGTATATAGCTATAATGAACAATAGCTATTTAATGCGTGCAACTCAGAGGGGAAGATGTGGCGGATGCTGAGAACCAACTTTGCCGCCGCTAGGTGCAGCGGGCGACCCACATGAATATTCATGCTGACTTCCATACTGAAATGTAGCTACCCTGCTCCCTGCCAAACCGACCATCCGCAATTCTTCCCAACTCATTCCAAAGGTGAAGTTGCTGCTCAGCATACTCCAGGACACCCGGCACAGCCTCTGTTCCACCACCCAGCATTGTTGCTTTCCACCATTCTGCGCAATGCATGAAGTAGCGGGTTGTCCACTCCATCTCATGCCCTGTTAATACATATTCCTCGCTCCATCTTTCCTTCTGGGCCCGAGCCCGGAGCCAGTGAATCCTTGCAACTGGGGGATGTGTCAGGTATTTTCAGGAAGGGCTAAGAGGGACCTACATTCTGCCATCCTGCTGCTGTCACTGCTAAGGTCCGCCGCCGCCTCTGGTGTAAACCCATCTAAAGCCCCCCAGAACCAGGCCAGGCGTGCTTGGCTCTGCCCAGCAGCATTGACATCAGAGATTGCAGTGCTAACAGCGCAGTCTGCTTTGGACAGATGAGGGTACCATTCACGTAATGTCGGAGCGAGTCACGCCAAAATGCCACTGTTGAGATTGTATGTCCTGCAATGATAGCTGAGAGTCTGATTCAGGAGATGCACACCAGTCCAGGCGCGAGTATTCTGGGCCTTCGTTTGCGATCGACGGACTTTGTCAATGAACTGAAAGGACAGATTGCCCAACATCTCATGGACACCCTGCAAGGCATCATTCGCTTTTCCAATTTGAAGCTCCTTTTCCAGCTTTTGCAACTCTTGATGGGGAAGAGCACCAGAGGAGATGCTAGATGGAAAGACAAGGAGACTATTTTCAACATCTGTCAGGAGGGGCTGCGGTGTGTCAGGTAGGTGAGCGTCGCTGATATTACTGTCGATGTCCTGCCGGACATACGCCCAGCAAGCCAGAGTCCTCACTGCCTGATCGCCAAACTCCTTGCACAATCACCGGTGGAACATGTGTATGCAATTCAACAATCACTGTCTTTTCCATCCAAGGTCAAGCCTCTGGGTGCTGGTGGTGTTTCTCCCAAGGCGGCGGACAAATTGCTTGAGGTCAATCCTGTCAATGTATCAGAATGCCGTTGCACCAGAATTAAAGTCGCCTACTGTGCCTGCTCAATAGCTAGGCTGGACACGAGCCAGTCGGCTGCTGTTCCATCTGGATCTGGCGCCTTATGTGCCCCCAATTGGTGGTCGATCAGCATCGTGCGGATTTGTTGCAGTGTCTGCCCACGCTTAACTTTTGCCAGCATGTAATCCATAGATGTAATGTCTGCCTGGCGCATGGTTTCCGCCGTCTCAATCATGTGCCACCACTCGTCAGTCGCTGCCGCCATCGCCACCCATGTGAGGGCTGCAAGGTACAATTCACTCTCCACCTTGGCAGCCCTCGCCCGCCGGTACTTTGCGATAATTGTGTCAACTACCCATTGATGATTGGGCAGAGCGTTGTGCAGCACAGCAGTGTTACATCACCTATATGAAGCATCTTCTTAAAGTTTGAATCTCCCAGAAAGTCGTCAATGGTCTCCGTCCGATTAGCCAGAGTGGCTGTCCGAACCATTCTCGATATTGAGTTCAGCACTGCCCAGCAGCCCAAATAGTTTCCATCACTTCACCATCCACCTGCACAGCGCCTGGGACATAGCTGGTGGCGAAGCGGTATAGACATTTGTCCTGGTGCCCGTGCACATGGAAGAGACCAATGGCGTGAATCAGCTCAATCTGGTCTGATTTCTGCAAATAGGGACTGGCTTGGATGCGTTCCTTCAGGTGCACATAGTACTGGCAGGCAATGTCATAGATATGAATCACTTTTTTTAGGCCATCCGTGTTCGTGGTGGCCAAGGCTTCGCACAGAGAAAAGTCCATGTTCATCTGGCGCTCACCTTTTTGAAAGTCGACAGAGCTCCCAGGCACCATGGCACCGTGGTGAGCGCAACAGTGACCCGCATTTCCTGTCTGGTTGGTCCCATTGTGCTCCGCATCTGCGCCATCCTGTGCCCTATATCGCGAGCATGTAGCAGTCTAGAAAATATCACACATAGCATGAGAATATAACGGGCGCAACACATACCTGAGGAGAGTCCACCGCAATATCCAAATGGTCCTTGTAACGCTTCTCATTGGTCATGAACCCTTCGCCATCTGTGAGCCACACATCTTGCTCATCGTTCATCTGGCGGACATGATCAGCGGTGAAATTCCCATCCGCCGCAAAAGATCGTATGAAGATATTTCTACTCCTCCATTAGCCCATGAGGATGGTGCATCATAAATCCATCACGCTCACGGGTTTTTCTCCTGCAGCTGTTCCCACCCAACAGGCAAATTTATTCCAGGCTGTGGACAGGCAGCACAGAAGAGCGCC